TTTTAAATTTAGATTACTTTTGGAAAATGTAGTAAATTTTTACAAAACAGTTGACTTCTTAAACAATGATATTTCCGTACGCATAGCAAATGCTTTTTGTGGTTTTAACACTGAGTCCTTGGCTGAGCTTAAGAATAGGTTGAAACGCTCCGAAAATTGGACAGATTTGTCTAATTACTTTTGTATGACACTTCCATTTGACAATCATAATGTAATAATAATAGGTTCAAAAAAATCAAATGACATAAATGTATTTGCAAATATTTGCACTGAAGAAGTAGTAAGTAAAGTAACATTTGCAATAGAAATTATTTTCGAAGTGTTCCGAGATGTTTTTAAGCTTACTTCAAGAAATAAAACAGTAAATTTTAAAATTTTTTCTTCCCATGACACAAGTGGTTTTTTTAATAATCTCAAATGTTTGCTATTAGTATATGCATTCTATCATGATTTAGACATGATAGAGTGCATAAGTTTGAGTGATGAGAATTTAAGATTATTAAATTATTTCTCTCAGGTACCCGAGCATCAGGGACATCAAACAGGCGATGGTTAGGATGATGTATTGTTTTATTGCAGGAAATTTTTAGATCAATAGAGTTCGTTAAATTCTTGGAAACAAATATGTAGTTTTGTTTAAATATATTTTATATGTGCTTAAGAAAAAATACATAACAAAAAAAAATATAAAAACAGAAAATGAATACGAATTTAGTTATAGAATGTTATCGTTGCTTAAATTTACTTATTAACATTGCAATAGCAAATTGTTAAAATGTTTGAATCAGAATGATTTAAAAACGTATGTGGTTTACATTTAAAATTTAAAACTTATGTTGATTATAATATTTTAATAATAGTGAGATATTATAAAGTGAAAAATAAACTTTGGAAAAGAATAGTTTATGCGAAATTGAAGAAACTCTTTAATGGAATAAAATAAATGAAAGTTAATCTGGTCCAAAACTTACAACATATCTGAAAAATTATGACACAACAGATAGAGTAAATAGCAGATTACTTGTTTTAGAATTACAGCTACCAATTTCCCTGTTCATGATGTAGAATGGCCTACTGCTCTCCTATAGCTACAACAGCTGCTGAAGAGGAAGGTATTTCTGTGGTACCTACAGCTGCTGCACCTGTAGTGGTCCTATGCTTACCAGACCTATACAGTATACTATGAATATCAGGATGTTTCTACTCAGTACATCAAATCAGACCCTGCATTTCAAGATGCTCCTATTGCAGAAGCTGTTTTGCTACATCAGTGCAAACTTCATATGCTTCCCAGCCTGCTGACGCTATTGCTGCAATTTAATCTGAGACTGCTCCCATCTTTTCTCAGTACAATACACAGGCTGAAGATACTGTAAAGGTGGCAGCAGCTATACTATTATGTTCCAGTTATTGTTCCTGTTATTTATGCCAACCATGTTGCATAAATTGCTAATCAAGCTGCTCCAATTGATTGTGCAAAGCTGTTGTAGGGGGAACTCCTAATCAACATGATTAGGTATGCTGCTGATAATACTACCAACGGTGAGGAGAATAAGCTTCTAAGGATTATGAAACTAGCTTATGTTGGTTACCCAGATGTTCAAAATGTTCATGTTATTTATGCCAACCATGTTGCATAAACTGCTCATCAACCTGCTTATACTCCTGTTTACGTCATACCTGCTGCTCCAATTGATTATGCAGCGCTGTTGTTCACTGCTACTGATCTGGACCAGATAATAAAACTTTCCACAAAAAAAAAAGTTAAATTCCATCATCATCATAGTAATTTTTTAAAAGAATTTTTGTATCATAGTATATATAAAGAGAGGCTTCAATATTTTTTCCCGGTCCAGATTGGACAAGGGGGGGAATATTGCAGCAACTCTTTCTTTTTATGTTGAAAACCCTTTTTCTACAAAACAGGCTTGCTCAGCTAGGCTGCGCTCGCTGGGTATAAAAAGGGTTAGCAACGCTTTATAACGGCCCAGTTTTTCCTGTATGTTTGTCTCTACCATATCTTCAATATATATGTTTCAAGGTATTTTTCTTGATAAGTTTAAGACAGAGTTTTAGAAGCTTTAGTTTAGAGAATTGATTCTATATGAAAAGGGTTTATTTTCACTTGAGAGTTTCCTGGATAGAATAGAGAGAGAGATTTATTTAAGTGTTAAAAGCAGTATATTTTTAAAAGAACTTATTCAGATTTAGTCATACTTTAAATGGGGTAATTCTTAAAGGGTCATTAAAGGGTCATTAAAGGGTTACACAAATCATCTACACGTGTGATATCAATATTGACTCTAGTTCTGAACCCTGTAGTAATAAGTTATAAGAAATATATATATACTGGAAGTTATTTATGCGTTTTTATTAGAGTCTGACTCCCGTCCTCTATATTGGTGACCCCTGACTTTGAACATACAGTTAAACGCTATCCAGTTGCGTGATTTTCTTGAACTTTGAACATTAAGTGATACATCCGAGCATCATGACCGACAAGAAAGGAACTCCAACCGAGTTTGTCGCCAAAGTCTCCGTCAAGCTCCTGGATTTCTGGACAGAGGACCCCGACCTGTGGTTCCTTCATGCAGAGGCGGCCTTCAGAAACGCCCAAATCACACAGTCAATAACCAAATTCGACCACATCGTGCAGAAACTTCCCCAGAAGATTATGTTCTCGGTACGCAGCCTTATCATGGGTTCTGCTGCCTCCTCAGAAACCCCTTATGAGGATTTAAAGGCCAAACTTGTCTCCTCGTATACTCTATCACGCTGGCAGAAGGTTTCCAAACTAATTCATCACCCTGGGCTGGGAGACCGACGCCCTACTGCTCTCATGGACGCCATGTTGGCCCTTCTCCCAGAGGACAAGAAACCAGGTTGCCTGTTCCAAGGTTTATTTCTGGAGAGGTTGCCCGTCGATATGAGGGACCATCTAGTCTCCTGGGAATTCAAAAACCCTAGTGAATTGGCGTTATATGCTGATAGTTTGTGGGACGCCAGGAAAGCTATACCTACTGACCACCTCCTAGCCGCAGCATCGACCTCATCATCTTCCCCATCATGTGGAAGAGCTCAGGACCGCAGAAGCCCATCACCAAACCGCCACAGTCAAACCCCAGGTCCATCAAACTCATGGTGTTATTTCCACAAAAGTTTTGGTCCTGCAGCCAACAATTGTCGCCCTCCTTGAAGTTTCCAGGGAAACGCCAGAGCTGACGGGAGGAGGAAAAATTAAACAGCCCTCCCGTCAGCGGTTATCTCGTGTACCTTCAAGATGCCCTGTCAAACCGCGATTATTCATTTGAAACTGGAGCGTCAAGATCTGTGTTTCCTCATCGTTCCTCAGCTGCACCGACAGGCCCCCGCCTCCTGATGGCTGATGGACGTCCAACTAAAGCTTGGGGTTCCAGATTGATTCCTCTACAGTTTGGTTCCTGCCGTTTCCAGTTCCTCCTCGCCGACGTGGACCAACCTATCCTGGGAGCAGACTTTCTGGCACTTTGAACCTCTTGCACCACCTAGGTTTTCTCCTGCCGATTCTTCCGTTGCCTCTGTGTGTTAACTTGCCCCTGATGTTGCCTCTCTCCTGGATGGGTTTCCTGCAGCCTGGAATCCACGAACACCTGGTAAACTCCCTGAGCACAATGTGGAGCATGTGATTGAAACAGAAGGACAACCTTTTTATGCTTGCCCCCGCCGTTTGGATCTAATTAAGTTGGCACAAGCTAAAGCTGAGTTCCAAAAATTAGAATTGACGGGGGTTATCCGCCGTTCTGATAGTCCTTGGGCCTCACCTCTGCATATGGTTCAAAAATCTGATGGATCCTGGCGTCCTTGCGGCGATTACCGCCACATGTTTACTGCAGCGATAGCAAGAAAGATAGTTAGATACAAGAAGATAGATAGATAAATTCACCGGCGCCATTAAGCGCTGAAGATAGATAGATAGCACACTATCACTATTGGTCGAAAAATCGCGCTTGTGTTTTATTGGAGAAAAATCCTAATGGACTCTTGAAACTACGGTGGTGTGGTTAATCTCCAAGCTGTAACGCCAAAATAAGACTCGAAAACCTGTCATTTTCTGCAAGAATTCTTTTGATTTTAGCCTTATATTTTTTATTTTAAATTTTGTGATTAGATTTAGATCTATAAACGATCAAATATGACATGTGTACATTCTACAAGAATATAGTATTGTATTGATGAACAGATGAGAGGTTCGGTGATTTCTAAACGTTTATTCTACAAGTCGAGCTATTAGTAAATATAGCCAAGCCATATCTACATTAAATAAAACAAATTAGTATAGTTGTATATTTGTAGTACGCATTGTATGTTTGTAGTACGCATTGTATATTTGTAGTACGCATTGTATTTTTGTAGTACGCATTGTATATTTGTAGTACGCATTGTATATTTGTAGTACACATTGTATACTTGTAGTACGCATTGTATATTTGTAGTACACATTGTATATTTGTAGTACGCATTGTATATTTGTAGTACGCATTGTATATTTGTAGTACACATTGTATACTTGTAGTACGCATTGTATATTTGTAGTACACATTGTATATTTGTAGTACGCATAGTATATTTGTAGTACGCATTGTATATTTGTAGTACGTAGAGTACATTTGTAGTACAAATCATATATATCTATTTGCAGTAAACACTACAAATTGTACATTTGCAATACACATTTTTATATTCAGAACACATTATATATGATTTGCAGTACGCATCGTGTATTTGCAGTAGGCATTGTGTTTAAGTAGATTACATATATGATATTGTTGTGGAAGACGATACCTGGCCGCGTTAAACTAGTTCCACAAGGTTCAACAGAATGAGATAGAACGAATACGGGACATAGTACCTTACCCTCATCTAATGGTTTTACATACCTTTTCACATGCATCGACAGATCAACAAGATGGCCTGAGGCTATACCTCTAACTGGGATTTCTGCGGTGGAGTGTGCCTCCGCCATGTTCCATGGATGGATCTCAAGGTTTGGCGTACCTGCAGTGATTACAAGTGACAGAGGAGCCCAGTTCACTTCATCCCTATGGTCCGCCATCTGCTCCCTACTCAAGATCAAGCACAAGACCACCACAGCTTTCCACCCTCAGTCCAACGGCATGGTGGAAAGGTTCCACAGGCAGTTAAAGAATTCCTTACGTGCTCGTCTAGCCTCCTCCGATTGGTTTGAACACCTGCCATGGGTTTTGTTAGGTCTACGTACATCTCCCAGAGAAGACTCCGCCACTCCGCCTCGGAAGCAGTTTATGGCTCTGTATTAACATTGCCTGGTCAATTCCTAGATGTACAAGATCCTCCAACCAATTGTTCTATGAAAACCTTAAGAAGTCTATGTCTGGTTTTCAACCTACTCCGCCTCGTCATAACACTCCTGCAGCAGAAAATCTCCCAGAAGTTATTCCTGCAGAACTCTCATCATGCCCAATGGTTTTTATACGTAAGGATGGACATGTTGCTCCTCTAGCCCCCCTCTACGAAGGTCCTTACAAGGTTTTGTCCCGCTCCCTTAAAACCTTCCAGCTCCAAGTTGGCAAGAGAGTAGAAGTGGTTTCAGTCCAACGCCTCAAACCAGCTTTCACGGCAGAGGATGAGGCTCCAGTAGAACCTCCACGACGAGGCAGACCCCCACGCCAACCTCCTCCAGTCCCTCCTGATCCCCCTAGACGTAGAGGACACCTCGAAAAGCTGTTGCAGAAGCCTCCGCCGTTGCTCCGCCAAAGAGGAGAAGAGTAACTTTCAACCTAAAACCAAAGATTTTACACCAAAGGCTTCAACGTTAAAAAAGTTTTTTATCGCTAGCCTCCGCCTTCATTCTCCGCCTTCAGCCTCCGACTTCATCCTCCGGCCTCTCCGCTGGGGGGGGGGGTAATGTGGAAGACGATACCTGGCCGCGTTAAACTAGTTCCACAAGGTTCAACAGAATGAGATAGAACGGATACGGGGCATAGTACTGATACCATCATATACAGTCTACACGTGCGATATCGATATTGACTCTAGTTCTGAACCCTCTAGTAATAAGTTATAAGAAATATATATATACTGGAAGTTATTTATGCGTTTTTATTAGAGTCTGACTCACGTCCTCTATATTGTCATCTTTATAAACTTATATTCTGCTTGAGGGTAGAAAACCGTTGTTATTGTAATGAGAGAATGTACCTATTTAATAATTAATTCTTCAAATACAAGAAATGAGAATTTATGGCAGTAGGATTGCATGCAGTAAGACCCGTAATACGTAGAAATATGAAGACGACATTTCAGCAAAATTAGCAGTATTATATGCTGTTATAAGGCAAACAGTTTTACCTGTTGCTTGAAAACCATCTTGTTAAGTTAAATGGGTCTGTGTAAACTACACAATTGCTGTTTTACTTACTGTTCTAAAGTCAATTTGAGTCTAAAAGTCGTCTTCCTATTCTATAGTTTAATGGGCCTGACTGTATACAATCTATGTATGTATCTTGTGTCTGATAAAAAAAATCAACAAATTCAAACATTAAAAGGGACTGTGCACGTAATTTTAAGCTACTCTTCATATTGCGATATTCACAACGTTACCCTTCAAATATTTATTTGTTCAACTAGAAACTAGAAGGAAGTTACGGTAGTTCTCCATCTCAAATGGTTAACAACCGCACATCACTCCAATAGAGAAACCGAAAAAAGAAGTTATTAAATGTTACGATAGAAAAACGAGAAAACAAAAGTTTAAAGGAACCGTGTGAATCGGATAAGCCCCATTTTTAAATGAAATATCACTTTTAATGTCTCTTTTAGGGTATTTTTCCATCACATCAATGTTTCACCCATAGTAAACATACAGGAATTACATTCAATATTTTCACTGATCTAAAGTAAAACCTAGCATAAAATAGTCTTAAATCATTTCTATACTGCGAAACCCTAAACCTTTAAACTTAGAATTTATCAACTCAACAGATCATATTTTGGTTACAACAAGGTTTCAGCAGTTTGTCTCACTCTATATTTGTTATTTGTAGAATCTCAAATCTTAGTTCATTAAGTATTTTATTCAATTCAGTTTTGTACATACATACAGGGTGTCCCACAAAGAATGAGATCTAAATGACGACCTAAATGTTAAACTAATAGGGTCTGAAACATACTCTTTTACAACTCACTAAATATAATTGATTTGGTAAGGGAAACAAACAGTTTAGTGAATAGGAAACCATCAATGGTAGAAAAATAAAAAATCTAAATCTCATCCTTTGTGGATAACCCTGTATATGTTGAGATCAACGTTTCCCCCCGGCCTCTGACATTTTTCCATGTAAAGTCTTCGATGCATAGTTAATGGTATGGATGGTAAATGGTATTGATATAGATTTGTTAAGATCCTGGTTGTGTTGTAGCGCTATACTGGAGAATCGTGAGCTCCACCCTTCCTATATTCTCAATACATCCAACCCAGATCCAACCTTCAATATTCATTCCATTCCATATTCCTATACTCATTTCATTCTTCTCATCCTTATATATTCATTCCATTCCATATTTCTATACTCATTCCATTCTTCTCTTCCTTCTATATTCATTCCATTCCTTATTCCTACTCATTCCATTATTCTTATTCTTCAATATTCATTCCATTCCATATTCCTACTCATTCCATTCTTCTTATTCTTCTATATTCATTCCATCCTTATTCCTACTCATTCCATTCTTCTTATTCTTTAATATTCATTTCATTCCATATTCCTACTCATTCCATTCTTCTTATTCTTCAATATTCATTCCATTCCATATTCCTACTCATTCCATTATTCTTATTCTTTAATATTCATTTCCACCCTTATTCCTACTCATTCCATTCTACAAACCCTTCTTGAATGACAAACTTATTCTCAGACCCAATGGGTTTATATTATAATCATGGGAAAGAAAGTCTTTGAAAAAAAAATAATTAAAAATTCGGAAAAAAACTAACAAATTTTCTGAAAGTTCTGAGAAAAAAAACATCCTTCTTTTTACCTCGTTGTAGTTTAAATTATACAAATTATTTTTCTTTCTATCGTAACGATTTTTGGATGCTGTATGTTGATTGAGAGAAATGCACAACATAGAAATTCATGAAGCTCCCCCCCCCCCCTCAATAAATCATGATCTCCATTTTCCCCAAAGTTCCCTTTTCTACCTTTATCCTCCCTAGATACACTAGATTTTATACAATTTACATATAATCTTAGAAACGTGTTCAATTCTACACAATTGCAGGGAACACAGTAGATAAATATTCTAGGGTAAAGAGAGGGAGGGGATACAATATAAAGATAGGAGGAGAGGATAGTATTAGATCAAGAATAAATGGATTTCCGTTAACGTTGCTCATAAAAAAGTTTTAGAAAAGAAATTGAGTCTTTATCACAAACTCTGATTTTCTAATCCCTGTATCATTGCAATACAATGTCGTAGATTTCAAACTATGCATTCTGTTGGATCATACGATCTAAGAAAAATCAAAGGTTTACATTATCAGGTTGCAAAGATAAAAGGGATCAGAAAGTTTGAGTTTTTGGCAAAGAGTCAATTTCTTTGTAATATAAATAAGTTTTCTCTTCTAGGCATCATGATGAACAATGTCTGAAATAAAAAAACTTCTTATTTATTAATTCTTGATCAAGATTATACTAATCCCAACCTTGATCTTGAATCAATTATTCCGTAAAATCCAGATTCTCTCTTTCTCGAGGCAACAGTTTTCAACCCACGCGTGCAACACACGCGCCATTTTCTCATGCGCAATGCCGGGAAACTTTACAAAGCTTGAATCCAGATCAAATTCTTGGAAAATCTGTGATCGGTCAAACAATAAACATCCGTTGAAATTTGGGAAATTTATTCAACATGTAAAACTAAATATTTTTAACTGACCCTACATGGACGTTTCTTGGCATCAAGATAATTACCCACAATGGATCAGACTTTAAAGACTACCTGAAATTCTTATAGCACATTCGTCTGCCTTAGATATAGTATCTTCAAGTTATATTTTATAATTTGTCAAGGAAGTAAATAAAGTTGGATCTGCTATAAAAAAGTAATCCGTTTAAACGTCTCGTGGATTGGTTTAACGAGTTCCTCCAAAAGTCTCTTTTTACAAAAAATAATTTAACTGAAAAATTAGGTTTTTTCTTTTATTTATCCGGTGGCCGAATTTAAAGAATTTGAGCGACGGTTTAAATTTAAGCCGCGGCTTAAATATGGTTGGTTCCACTTAAAATTGTATCAAATGTTTCAAGATTTAAGCCGGCGCTTAATATAAACCGGGTTTGCTGATTTAAACCGCAGCTCAAATTCTTTAAATTCCATCTCGAGACACTTAAAGTGACATTTTCTAGCTTGACAAGTTTTTAATTCTGATAACAACCGTATATTTTCCTGAAGTCGAAATGTGTTAGTCACCATTAAAAATAGTCCCTTTTTAAAACTTTAAACATTTATTTATAATTTATACTTGATCAGACAAAGCTTTTAAGGGTACCGTTGTGAGGTTCACTTGAAATTACGCTTACAGTCCCTTTAACGCTGAATAAGTTTCTAATTTTAAATTTGATTAAATATTTTTTACAGTTTTATTTTGTTTGTCATGATAATATTTGATATTGCGTGATGAAACTTATATTTAACAATTCAATCAATCAATTATGTCAATCAATACTAATATGCAATTTTTTATGTAACTGTTCAAAAACAATATTAAAGGGACTGTACGCGTGATTTCAAGTAAACCTCACAACGGTACCCTTAAAAGCTTTGTCTGATCAAGTATAAATTAGATAAAAAATTTGACAAAGTTTAAATACAAAATAATTAAAAATAAGCAAGCTGAACAGGGAAAATTTCTCTCCTAAATCTAATGAAAATGAGAAAATATAATAAAATAGAGATGAAACAGAAAATGTTTAAACGATGCTTGAACGGGAAAATTTGATTTTATTATTTATTAATTATGTTAGCGCGCATTAATGAAAGAATCTTGTTCGCTGTAAATGCATTTATATTCGCAATGTGCATAGTGCAACATTTATGGTTATTGTTTTATAACTTTTTATAGTTACAACAATTTGCATGTTTAATTATAGGTATCTAACACTCTTTTAACACATAAGCTTAGATAGCCATACAATCCCACCCATCCCATTCCTACTGTCCTTCCTATCCATCCTATCCATTCTATTCATCCTATCCATCCTATTCATCCCATCCATCCCATCCATCCCAACCATCCCATCCATCCTATCCATCCTATCCATCCTATCCATCCTATCCATCCTATCTATCCTATTCATCTTTTTCCTCCTATCCATCTAATTATTCCTATCCATCTAATCATTCCAATCCATTCTTTCCATCCTATCCATCCTATCCATCTTTTTCCTCCTATCCATCCTATCCATCCTATCTATCCTATCCATCTAATCATTTCTATCCATATAATCATTCCTATCCATCCTATCCATCCTATACATCTTTTTCCTCCTATCCATCCTATCCATCCTATCTATCCTATCCATATAATCATTCCTATCCATATAATCATTCCTATCCATCCTATCCATCATATCCAGTCCTACAACAGCATGGATACTACACCTACTCCTATGCTCCTCAATCCATGAGAAGGACTGGATCTGAAAGGAATAATCAGTAAACAAAGACTGTATATTCTGTATTGTTCTGAAACTGAGTTCCATCCCTAAACAATGCCATCATCTGGTGCCGGAGCAGGACGGGTTGAAAAATGTTTATCCGATGATATTTAAAGTTTAACCATGAAACTTCGACATTAAATTCTTTGAAAATTTTGACTTTTATTAACACGCATTCAAGCATGCACATAGTGTATACAATTTCAAGTATCAGTTCACATACAAAGGCTCCGCTTTATTCTTTAAATTATGAAATAACAATTTTTTTAATAAAGGGCCAATACAAGTATTAATAATAATATAAATAATGTATATTTTAAACTAGATAGCAGTTCAAATAGTAGCAATATATGCACAAATTAAAAGTAATGGGATAAAATAAAAACACTGTCATATTACATACATATAAACAATTACAAAAGCTATTTAGTTTACAAAAATGTTTGAATCGGAATTGAAATTTAGGTGAGATAACGTGCTCAAGGTATCGTTGCTATCTACTGATGTTTACAAAACTGGATAAGGATACATTTTAAATTTTACTAATACATAGATGGTTATTAACAAATCATATATCCATGGTTTAATATACATCCATGGTTTATTTAGCTAATTTTATTTCCGTATGAAGCTGAATGTAATTCCAGTTATTTAAATTTTTATCCGCATGAGGCTGTTGATATTTCCATAGCTTGCTAATTCAACTTTCTTGTCAATTTGTAGATATTTCACATCATTGATATTTTGTTAACTAGCACATTCAATTTTTAGATTTAGGAATTGACATTTTCATATTTAGCTTTTAATATTTAGGTAACTAAATAGTACTAGTTGCAAGGTACTAGTAGTTGCAAGGTACTAGTTGCAACTAGTAACAAGTGACTATAGTAACTAGTAACTTGTCACTAGTTGCAACTAGTAACTAGTGACTATAGTAACTAGTAACTAGTAACTAGTGACTATAGTAACTAGTAACTAGTCACTAGTCGCAACTAGTACCTTGCAACCAGTAACTAGTAACTAGTCAATAGTTGCAACTGGTAACTAGTGACTATATTAACTAGTAACTATTAACTAGTCACTAGTTGCAACTAGTACCTTGCAACTAGTAACTAGTGACTATAGTAACTAGTAACTAGTATCTAGTAACTAGTAACTAGTATATATTAACTAGTAACTGGTATCTAGTAACTAGTAACTAGTATCTAGTAACTAGTAACTAGTATCTAGTAACTAGTAACTAGTATCTAGTAACTAGTATTTAGTATCTAGTAACTAGTAACTAGTATCTAGTAACTAGTAACTAGTATCTAGTAACTAGTAACTATTAACTAGTATACTAGTAGCTAGTACTACCTAGTAACTAGCAACTAGTAATTAGTAACTAGTTACTAATTACTAGTCACTAGTTAGTAGTTTGTAGTTACTTGTGTACTAATTACTTGTTACTAGTTGCTAGTTACTAGTTACTAGGGTACTAATTACTAATTACTAGTCACTAGTTACTAATTACTAGTTACTAAGGTACTAATTACTAGTTACTAGTAGCTAGTTACTGGTTATAAGTTACTAGTTACTAGGGTACTAACTACTAGTTACTAGTTACTACTTACTAGTTACGAATTACTAGTCACTAATTACTTGCTACTAATTACTATAGTAACTAACGTATGAATCTGTTATTAAGAGCTCCAAATAAAATCCATACTGAATTCATCAATAACCTTGACAAAGGCCTCATCACTCATACATCCACTATGAATTCATTATTCAAAACCTTAAAGATTAATCTAGGGTTTTTGTAGAAAAAAATTTAATTCGAATTCTAGAGTTTAAACAAAAAATCAGAAAAAAATCATGAAATTTCATTTTAAATTATTTTAAAGAATAATTATTTTCCTGATAAATTCATCTTCAGTCACTGATCCATCCCCGTTCAGGTCCAACGCTGAGAAGATTTCTTTGGCTCTTTTACTAAAATTTGATGTTATTTTCTATCTTCTCGTTTATTATTCTTTATTTCTGCATTTTTATTCAATGTTCATGTTGATAAATGTTTTTGTTAATACGTTAATGTCTATCTTTCTCTTAAAATTTTGTGTTTTTGTCCTTTCTCAATCTTTCTTTATCTTTATTTTCATGTTTGTCCAATTTCCATGTATATACGTCATTAATTGTAAAATACATATGTGAATATTTGTACTCATGTTCATGTTTGTGTTTATGTATGTATCCATTATAATGTTCATTAAGCTCTTGTTTGTGTTCATGTATGTATCCATTATAATGTTCATTAAGCTCTTGTTTGTTTTTATGTTTGTATCCATTATAATGTTCATTAAGCTCTTGTTTGTGTTTATGTTTGTATCCATTATAATGTTCATTAAGCTCTTGTTTGTGTTTATGTTTGTATCTATTATAATGTTCATTAAGCTCTTGTTTGTGTTCATGTTTGTATCCATGGTAATGTTCTTCAAGCTCTTGATCTTGTTTTGAGTTCATGTTTTCAGATCTTTGAACTCCTATCTTTAATCACCTACCTTGAATCTTTAATCTCCTACCTTGAATCTTTAATCTCCTACCTTGTATCTTTAATCTCCTACCTTGTATTCTTAATCTCCTACCTTGGATCTTTAATCTCCTACCCTGGAATCTTTAATCTCCTACCTCGAATCTTTAATCTCCTACCTTGTATTCTTAATCTCCTACCTTGTATCTTTAATCTCCTCCTTAGTATCTTTAAACTCATACCTTGTATCTTTAATCTCCTACCTTGTATCTTTAATCTCCTACCCTTGTATCTTTAATCTCCTACCCTGGAATCTTTAATCTCCTACTTTGTATCTTTAATCTCCTACCTTGTATCTTTAATCTCCTACCTTGTATCTTTAATCTCCTACCTTGGATCAAACTTTTTACAATCTCTCTGTGGATCTTTAAGCTGCTGAGCAACAATTTTTAATATCTCAACTCTATCTTCATCATCACTAGGATATAAAAATATTATGTAGAAACGGAAAATTAAGCATAAATGATTTTTTTCTGAATTCTGATATTCTGATCCATATATCTTTGCGACCTCACTTCGTAGATCTTTGATATTTCAATGAATGAATTCTGATGGTTTTAAAGATATAGGGATTAGAAAATAAGAGTTTGTTCCAAGCATTCAGTCCCTTTTCATAAGATTTTATTTGTTGATAGAAATAGGCCGATATTTTCAGAATTACAGAGCATAAAACAGGCAGTTAAACGCCATCGTTGGAAATACGGTTTCCCAATTTATTTTCTAATTTTAATTTGAAAGTAATGTTGATCATTATCTAAAGATGAAACATGTAAGTTTGGGCCCTGCACTAGCTGTAAACAAAAATTTAAAAAGTTAAAAAATAACGTTAAAGTATTTTATTTGAACTCATTTTTTTTACCTTTCCTTTTCGTATTCTTGCGGTTTCTTGAACTGTTTTTTCTTTAATTTTTTTGTAGATTTTTGTAAATTCTTCTTCAACTCTTCTCCTTGTCTTTTCTTTTGTGAAATCATGATCATCCAGCTGTTTTTCTCGTCATACAATTCATCTCTAAACACAATAATTTTATTAATTAATGTATGATTTAGGAGAGTTATTTACAAAAAATTAAGAAAAAACACACAGATGTTTTTTTTAATCTGAAGGAGAACCCGTAACTTATCCACATTGGCCATAAACTTCTCAATAGTGTCCAAAAATACTTTTGGACCGAATGGGCTGAAATTTTTTGTTGACACTCAAAAATATTTTTGTTCATATTTGAAAAAAAAATCTCTAATTTTTTAATTTTTTAAAAAAATTTTTTATTTTTTCCACGAGCAACTTCAGCTATGTATTATTATTTTTTCACATTTCGATAAAAATCTAAGATGATAAAAATATTTTCTCCTAGAACTTTAAATACTTTTCGAAATGAAAACTTGAGAATCTATTTTCAGATTCTTAAAACACCTAAATTAAAAAATGACAGAAAACAGTGAGCTCACGTGGCCTGGGCAGTTGTCACTTGAATGTAGCAATGCCTATACTTCCCTTGATTAGCAAAACCAGTTTAAAACAACTGTGAACAGGTTTGCATACGACCCAGAAGCCAAGATTAACTAGGAACTAGCTTCTAATAAATACTTCCTCTCAAATATATTTGATCTAAATACTGGAAGATTATGCAGCAAACACCGTAACATGAGGTAATATTTATTAATGAACAGGGAGTCCCAGGAAATATGCGATTAAAAGGAAGAGAGTATCTATGAAATTGATGGGAACAATAATCGAATGAAATATCTGCAATTCTGCAATCCTTACGAAGGAATTTGCAGAGCTGATTGATAGTAAAATTTAAAAGAACTCATGTATATTCAATAATGTATAAAAATACAATTTTTTGGGATTTTCTGTACTTATATAACAGGACATAATGCATGCAAGACCAGGAAGATGTATCAGTGTACACCTCAGCAAATCTAAGGATTTAAAATATTTTTACAATTAGTCTCATTAGTCGTAATATAATCAGACTAATTAGTCACAGTTTAATTCAAGTCTATAAAATGTGCACAGGGAAACAAATATGCAAATTATTTAATATTTAGATACTAGGACACTCATTTTTATTCAAACTATTATTGCATGCTCTAGAACACACATGACATGGTTACACAATAAACATTGTTCGGATCAATTACATTTTATTTGATTAATATTTCAAACCTAAGTTTACCGCTAACGATGTAAATTCCTAAATATCAATGAATATCAAAAAAAAAACATGCATAAAATTACATTATCAAAAAACCGTATTTCAAAAGCCGGAATAATTACAAATTGTCCCTAGTCATTGGTTTGCCAGAGATATAAAGAATTTCAATATTACCAGAGATATTGAGAATTTCAAATTACCAGAGATATAAAGAATTTCAATATTACCAGAGATATAAAGAATTTCAATATTACCAGAGATATAAAGAATTTTAATATTACTAGAGATATAAAGAATTTCAAAATTACCAGAGATGTTAAGAATTTCAATATTACCAGAGATATAAAGAATTTCAATATTACCAGAGATATAAAGAGATATAAAGAATTTCAATATAACCAGAGATATAAAGAATTTCAATATAACCAGAGATATAAAGAATTTCAATATAACCAGAGATATAAAGAATTTNTACAAAGTTTAGTAAATATATCCTCTATCTAGGATATATCTAATATATGATCTAACCTTACAAAGTTTAGTAAATATATCCTCTATCTAGGATATATCTAATATATGATCTAACCTTACAAAGTTTAGTAAATATATCCTCTATCTAGGATATATCTAATATATGATCTAACCTTACAAAGTTTAGTAAATATATCCTCTATCTAGGATATATCTAATATATGATCTAACCTTACAAAGTTTAGTAAATATATCCTCTATCTAGGATATATCTAATATATGATCTAACCTTACAAAGTTTAGTAAATATATCCTCTATCTAGGATATATCTAATATATGATCTAACCTTACAAAGTTTAGTAAATATATCCTCTATCTAGGATATATCTAATATATGATCTAACCTTACAAAGTTTAGTAAATATATCCTCTATCTAGGATATATCTAATATATGATCTAACCTTACAAAGTTTAGTAAATATATCCTCTATCTAGGATATATCTAATATATGATCTAACCTTACAAAGTTTAGTAAATATATCCTCTATCTAGGATATATCTAATATATGATCTAACCTTACAAAGTTTAGTAAATATATCCTCTATCTAGGATATATCTAATATATGATCTAACCTTACAAAGTTTAGTAAATATATCCTCTATCTAGGATATATCTAATATATGATCTAACCTTACAAAGTTTAGTAAATATATCCTCTATCTAGGATATATCTAATATATGATCTAACCTTACAAAGTTTAGTAAATATATCCTCTATCTAGGATATATCTAATATATGATCTAACCTTACAAAGTTTAGTAAATATATCCTCTATCTAGGATATATCTAATATATGATCTAACCTTACAAAGTTTAGTAAATATATCTTCCATTTCTTCAGGATCTATTTCTCCGTTTCCATCCTTGTCATACAGTTTAAACATCCATTTTAACTTCTCCTCAACTAAAAAAAATTGAAACTTCAATTTGAGAAATTTCTATTAAATTTAGACTTGAAAAGAAAAATCCTTATAAATTCCTAAAAGTTTGAAAGGTTTTTGAATTGAATTCCAGATTTTATTGCAAAGGCGTTTTTTGAACATTTTCTAATAATGAATAGTGAATGCGATATTAAGTTCGCTTACATGAAAAATTTTAGAAAAAATATATAGAAGATACCGATCGAAAAATTAAACCAATTATTATGTTTTTTTAATGAAATTGTTTTTAAATATATATCAAGGCTGTTTTGTTTTCGGAAAATGCGGAAAAAATATTCTCCAGGATAGAGATTTTTTCCAGTACTGCCAGAATTATTTAGAGAATACTTACATTGGAAAGGGAACCAAGAGCTTCAGAAAACCCCCGAGGCTTCCTTTAGAAATTTGGAATGTCTGTGATGAAATTTTAAATAATGAACCCACCACAAACAACCAAACTGAAAGATGGTTTAGAAGTTAGTTTTACAGCTGACCAGCCTGAAGTACAGACTGCAGGAAAGTCCTCACGACCTACACTGATCCGAAGCCAGCTCAATCGGCAAGAATTCTTGAAAGAAATGTTCGATTTAAACTAATTGTAAATTCTTTTGATGTATGCAATTTAAATTATCTTTTACAAATAATAAATAATAATTTTTTGTCAAATTATTAGTGTTATTCATTACTGTAATTTTAAGTTCATTTCGTATGAACACTAATATTGAAGAAATTATGTTGTGTTAAAAAAGCAGCCCTGACTGCAGTTTCAGTAATTTGCCGCCAACACAAGAAGGTGAAACGTCCGGCTATCGTAGAATTAGTCTATTTGAGTTGGTGGCAAAGACTCAATAACTTTCATTTATTTTTAATTATTTAATTCGAATATGTTTTACCTTTCCCTTGAATGGACATTGAGAAAACCCAGATCAGTTCGTTTGGAAATATTTTGCCTGTATTTGAAGTATCAAATACTTGAAATATATTCTTCATCACTATACCAGCGTCAAATCTAAAAATTTAATATGACTAATATTAAAAAATATTATAGTTCCGTTTTTAAACTATTGCTAAATTAAGAAACTTATTTTGGAAAATTTGAACAAATTTATAATGTTGTTGTTGCTCCAATAATGATTATCAAAATATTAACAAAAAGCTTTTACTAAATAAAAAATTTAAACACTCGCCTCAAACTCTAATGTTCTAATCCTTATATCAATGGTCGACCCGACGTGTTAGGTCGATCTGACGTGCTAAGTCGACGGGTTCAATCGAAAAATACCATTCCCATTTTGTACTGTTAATCGACATCATGACCCTGTACTAACAAAGACGACTTTTTCCTTCAATCTGTATATTTAGCCCTCTCTGATGTAGTCTCTGTTTGTTTATGTTTCTTGAAATATGTTTATGTTTGAAAAATAAATTCCGGCTTTCTTGCAAACTCTCAGTTAGGAAGTGACAAATTTCGGGCAATTTTTGTTTAATGTTATTTCTCTTTCCTCCCCTTAAACTCCATTAATTCTAGAATCTTATTTCTCTTCTCAAGGATTTATAGCAGAAGTTAAACTAAAAATTAATGACTGATGTCTTAATATTTTCAAACACTAATTAACAATTTTTTTAACATCGAACTTTTCTCTTTGTAAATTCAATCTAAATTTACAAAAACTCTAAACGTTTCAACTCCTCTTTAAAGATCACAAAGGAACTGAAAACTATAGTTTTATATTCTTATAAACCTTTAATATTTCAAACTTTTAACAATTTAAAAAATTTATTTAGTAAACTAAAATTTTTTTTTTTAAATAGTTCTAAAATACCTTGGGAAAATTTTGCTTACAATCTCCTTTGTCTGGGGTTTACTGATATTTCCGCTAGGAAACTCTACTTTCAAACTTTTCCCCAGTGCGATTATATCTTCTTCTGTAATCAATCCGTTCTAAACATATACTGTACTGTACTGTATTGCAAGTTTACATGTGTATACAGTGCGATTATATCTTCTTCTGTAATCAATCCGTTCTAAACATATGCTGTACTGTACAGTGCGATTATATCTTCTTCTGTACTGTACTGCAAGTTTACATGTGTATACAGTGGGACTCATAAAACTGTAGAATTTGATGATGATATTTAAGCGATCTAATCTGTATTTGATGTTGTTATAAAGCAAACAATTTTACCAGAGCTTGAAATTTAAAACATCGATATAAAACCCGGAATCGGAACCTAGGTTTCGTGAATGGGGTTTAAGATAAGTTTGATCCAGCTATCATCACTTAACACGCACAACTGATCCTTTAGTAAAAGTAAATTCAACCTAAAGTCTGACCGCGTCAACCTTGTTGCTCCGGCTAGTCCTATTGAGTGTCTGCTTTATTTACCCAATGTCCGGGCTATACAGTACAAACTGGGACAGGAAAGGTTGACCTGGCTCGGAAATTCAAATTTACTACGGCAGCCCGTCACTTTTTGGCTGGAAGTATTATTTTATGTGGTTGGCTTTGTAGTATATTATCATTTTCTGGGTTAACATCTGTAGATCTCAGAAAGAAAACTCGGGAGTTTTATTCAACACTACTCTTTTACATTTCCGGCTCATTTGTTTTAAAATCATGTTATTATGGAAAATATAATATTCTGAGTTTGAATAAACTACAGATCATGGCCATCAGTTAACACGGGCAGCCGTAGTACATTTGAATTTCCGAGCCGGGTCAACCTTTCCGATCCCAGTTTGTACTGTATCGCCTGGACATTGGTTAAATAAAGCAGACAATAAATAGGACTAGCCGGTGCAACAAGGTTGACGCGGTCAGACTTTAGGTTGAATTTACTTTAACTTAAGGGTCAGGGGTGCGTGTTAAGTTCATAATCTCAAAAGTATATATTACACTTACAAACACTTTCTTTCTTGTATTTTTTTCAGTTTCTACTTTTCTTCTTTTTTCATTTGCTCTCTTCATTCTTTGTTTAGGATCATTATCTTCTTTCAGAACTATGGAGTCAATAAAATCCCTGAAAACAGATCAATAGAATTTAAAAATTCATTAATATTAACAAATACTGATTTTTAAACTTTCGCCTCAGTCAAAATTTAAGAATTGTAAAGTAAATCTAAATGATTTTGGCAGATTGCAAGATGGTCTGCAAATATGCATCTTGTATTTCTCATATTGGACAATATACAAAGAAATTGAGTCTTTGCCACAAACTCTGATTTTATAACCCCTATATCTTTGAAACCCAACGTCGTAAAACTTTGATATTTCAAACTTATATTGTTTGATCTAACAGAATTCATAGTTTGAAATATCTAAGGTCTACGACATTGGAATCCAAAGATATAGGATTTAGAAAAGCAGAGTTTGTGGCGAAGACTCAATTCATTTCTTTTTATTTCAATTTAATAAAGGAATTGAATCTTTGCCACAAATCCCAATTTTCTAATACCTATATTTCTACAACCAAATGATGTAAACCTTTGATATTTCAAAATATTGTTTGATATAAGAAAAGTCATAGTTTGAAATATCTAAGGTCTATATCATTGGGTTGTTGAGATATAGGATTTAAAATTCAAAGTTTGTGGGAAAAAATCAATTCCTTTGTTGAAAGTATGTATTGTATACATTCGTTTGAACATGAGAATTAGATAAAATGAGATTAACAACAAAAACTAAGACGAAATATATTTACAAAAATGAATCCTGAAAATACTCTTGTTGAGTATTATTTAATACCTGAGATGGTCTGGATACTCTACATGTTTGCTCTTCCTTCTCAACCCTGCTCTTCTATCCATGGGATCACCTATAGTCCTTGAAGCACCTGAGTACCTGGAGAAATGTTCTCTGGACACCCTGGGGATATTTTTTATAGTTCTATGGTTTTTTCGTTCTACTTTTTATATTATAAAAGGCAAAAGGATTATAATAACTAAACATTGAGAACAGGAGATTCTCAAAACATAGAAGATTGAAATCTTAAAACCTTCTTGAGAAGCATATGGACCTAGAACTTTTATATCTAGAAAAGCTTTAACCTCAAGAGCTAGAAAAAGATCTAGTGAAATCTAAAACCTGAATATCTAGAAGAAAAAAAAAATAAAATCTTGATTTCTAGAAAACTTGGAACCTTGCATTCCGGTGAAATCAAAAATCTTGAGTTTTTACCAAAAACTAAAATTTTCAAATCCTTAGATTTTTTCAACCTGACAGTGTAAACCTTTGATATTACAAACTTTTTGATCTAACAGAATTTAAAATTTGAAATATTAAAGGTTCCCGAAATAGTGTTGAAAAGATATAGAGTTTGTGGCAAAAACTCATTTCATTTAAAACCTTTGTATCCAGAAATTTGAAAAAATATTCCACACTCTTCGTCCTAACCAAGTTCTATGTAGAAGGTTTGATAAAGAACTGAATCTAATCCAACACTAAAGAAACATTGATTGACACTAGAGCTTGAAAACTTTTTAGCTACGACGAGAAAAGTTTATACCCACCCCCCCACATCAGCTTCAGACAATATACAGCAAGGATCGGTGTACATATAGTATAGGATTCACAGCATTGGACTCCGTATACTAAAGTTTACTGTGTGTAAAACTGAGATAATGTCAAGGAGTATGAAATAGAAGGGAGATACCACTGACGCAGCCCGCCCTACCATACGATTATAGATGCTTTGCAGACGGTACTCCATTTTTATAAGAAATATTTGTCCGACCGCGTATACAATAACCTATTCTGAATATGTCTTATACAAATGTAGTGCCGTCTGCAATGCATGCATAATCATATGGTAGGGGCAGGGCGGGCCGCGTCAGTTGTATCTCCCTTCTATTTCATACTCCTTGGATAATGTTAATCCGTCCCAGTTTTGAAAATCTTTCAGTTTTCTCTCAAACCTTGTCAAATAATTAACCCCGCTGAACTTTATCTTTGAGTTGTACTTGTAAAGTTTCTTTAATAAAAATGAATTCAAGACGAAAATTGATCTTATGGCGCCGTAATTTCAAGTTTGCATAGTTCAAGGGATATCAAAGTTTGCATCAACTCCGATTTTACAATTAGCTAAAAAACTGGTAATTCTTACATTAAAACCTAATTATTAACGACATCGAGGCAAACTTTAATAATTCCTAATATTTCAAACTTTTTTGCAACGTGATTGCATTCGTTTATTTATTTTTTTTAAACTAACGATAAAATTCATAAAAAAAATAAAGTTAGAATTACTTTCCCAGTATAATTTGTATGGAACAAAAAGGGTTGAACTTGTTTTGCTAAATGAATATATTTGTTTTAAAATCTGGCATTATGCCCTGCAATCTAGTGTATTCTTGAACTAAAAGTAATCAGTCTTATTATGTCCGACAATCTATTCCGGTCAACATAGAGTTCAATCCAGATCTTAGTTCTTAGATACTTTACGTAGACATCAGTTCTCCGGTAAATCTTAGATAGTTCACGTAGACATCAGTTCTCCGGTAGTTCTTAGATAGTTCATGTAGTCATCCGTTCTCCATGGTAGTTCTTAGATAGTTCACGGAGACATCAGTTCTCCGGTAGTTCTTAGATAATTTACGGAGACATTATTTCTCTAGTAGTTCTTAGAGTGTTTACGGAGACATCAGTTCTCCGGTAGTTCTTAGATAGTTACGGAGACATCAGTTCTCCAGTAGTTCTTAGATAGCTTACGGAGACACCAGTTCTCCGGTAGTTCTTAGATAGTTTACAGAGACATCAGTTCTCCGATAGTTCTTGGATAGTTTACGGAGACATCAGTTCTCCGGTAGTTCTTAGATAGTTTACGGAGACATCAGTTCTCCGGTAGTTCTTAGATAGTTTACGGAGACATCAGTTCTCCGGTAGTTCTTAGATCAGTTCTCCGATAGTTCTTGGATAGTTTACGGAGACATCAGTTCTCCGGTAGTTCTTAGATAGTTTATAGAGACATCAGTTCTCCGGTAGTTCTTAGATACTTCACGTAGACATCAGTTCTCCGGTAGTTCTTAGATAGTTTACGGAGACATCAGTTCTCCGGTAGTTCTTAGATAGTTCACGTAAACATCAGTTCTCCGGTAGTTCACGGAGACATCAGTTTTCTGGAAGTTCTTAGATAGTTTACGGAGACATCATGTCTCCACCAGTTCTTATATAGTTTACGGAGACATCAGTTGATAAATTCTCCGAAAGATCTTGGTTATTAAAAATAAGGGATCCCAAAGCTCACGTAAACTTAGTGGCGCAAAGTGCCCCGAATTTCTAATAAAACATCACAAAAGTAAACAAAATAAATTGTGCTGGAGTTTTTGGAAGATATTTATTAGTTTTCCGGATTTACTTAAATCTTTAAGAATTTGATGTTTAGAATACCTTAATTCAATTTATTGTTCTTTAGTGTGAAGTCGAGAACATTTAGAATAAACAAACTGTTGGATAAACATTATACAATATTTATATTTGTATACAAAGTAGAAATCGATGTTTGTTTGTTTATTTAAATGTCCAAGCATAGCTCAGTCTCCCAGAAACCTCTGAACCGATCTTCCTTAAATTTTGATCGGCGAACTTGGTAGGATCAACGGAATATGTTCTTATCCTGGTTTAAAATTCTAAATTGAGTGAGTTGACTTTTATAGGGAAAACTGCGGGCAAATACATGTATTGTGGGTCGGACGAAATTTGAACTTTTAGGGGGATATTTTTAGATTACAGCTCAGTAGTGAAAGTAGGGAGAAAATGAATTGTGAGTATATGGGAAAATGACATTAAAAAAAATATGGAGACAGAAAGGGAAACGTATCTGGATGGAAGGAAAACGTATCTGGATGAAAAGAAAACGTATCTGGATGAAAGGAAAACGTATCTGAATAAAAGGAAAACGTATCTGGATGAAAGGAAAACGTATCTGGATGAAAGGAAAACGTATCTGGATGAAAGGAAAACGAATCTGGATGAAAGGAAAACATATCTGATTGAAAGGAAAACGTATCTGGATGAAAGGATCTGTATAAGTAGTTCCAAGTGACCCTCCATGCAAACATGTCAACAATCTATTCCTAACGGTAAAAATTTAAAAGCTTTGTCTGATAAAGTATGAATTATATTTATCAACGTTTATAATTTGGATAAACTTTTTTAAATTGTGACTTGCAAATGTACCGTTAATTGTTGCGAATAGGATATTGCCATCTATGCATTATGGGTCACTTGCAATTACTTACAGTTCCTTTAAGAGATCTAAATTTAGTAGTGGATGGGAGTCAAATCTGAACCTAAACCTCTCGTCTCTTTTTGTCTCTTGGTGTGCCGGAACTTTTAGCTGGAATTTAAACAGACTATTTACGAGTTTTCTCAATGAATTAATATCTTTCTTTTATTCTCTCAGTTCATATGTGCAGGCAATAACATTAAATTTTATTTTGTTTACGAAAACATCAGTTCTCCGGTAGTTCTTGGATAATTTACGGAGACATCAGTTCTCCGGTAGTTCTTAGATAGTTCATATAGTCATCCGTTCTCCGGTAGTTCTTACATAATTTACGGAGACATCAGTTCTCCGGTAGTTCTTAGATAGTTCATGTAGTCATCCGTTCTCCATGGTAGTTCTTAGATAGTTCACGGAGACATCAGTTCTCCGGTAGTTCTTAGATAGTTCACGGAGACATCAATTCTCCGGTAGTTCTTAGATACTTCACGTAGACATCAGTTCTCCGTTAGTTCTTAGATAGTTCATGTAGTCATCCGCGCTCCGGTAGTTCTTAGATACTTCACGTAGACATCAGTTCTCCGGTAGTTCTTAGATACTTCACGTAGACATCAGTTCTCCAGTAGTTCTTAGATACTTCACGTAGACATCCGTTCTCCGGTAGTTCTTAGATAGTTCACGAAGACATCAGTTCTCCGGAAGTTCTTAGATAATTTACGGAGACATCAGTTCTCCGGTAGTTCTTACATAATTTATGGAGACATTATTTCTCCAGTAGTTCTTAGATAGTTTACGGAGACATCAGTTCTCCGGTAGTTCTTAGATAGTTTACGCATCGGTTCTCCGGTAGTTCTTAGATAGTTTACAGAGACATCAGTTCTCCGTAGTTCTTAGATAGTTTACGGAGACATCAGTTCTCCGGTAGTTCTTAGATAGTTTACGTAGACATCAGTTCTCCGGTAGTTCTTTGATAGTTCACGGAGACATCAGTTCTCCGGTAGTTCTTAGATAGTTCACGGAGACATCAGTTCTCCGGTAGTTCTTAGATAGTTTACGGAGACATCATTTCTCCGGTAGTTCTTAGATATTCGAATTTTGAAAATCTTCTAAACTTTACAAGAATGTTTAAAGTATTTGTCAATGAATTCAAGCCAATTATGCATTACAGCAAGCATTACTGCACATTCCTGATGCGCATGCTACAATTCTTAACAGTTCAATTTTCACACAGTGGGATTCAGAAAGGTTTATTTTGAGTCTAACAGTCGTCTTCCGTTTCCAAAATTTATGGTTTCCACGGTATTAATTTTCATTTCTCAAAATTTAAGATTTTATAAAAATGTCGAACTAATGGCGGAATCTTGTGCTTGGATTGCCTCGTATGCCGAGGGTAAAGGACGGATCCTGGTTGCAACCAAGGATATTTATCCAAACCAAACCGTTCTTACAGACTCAGCTTTACTCAGGTTTAGAATTTATATTTCCAAAAATGTAAAAAGGTTACATAAAATGTTGCTGTACTGAGTTGTTAATTGCAGCTGAACTACAGTGGTCGGTAATAAATAGCCATGAATATGCGGGAACAGTTTTAAAGAGTTCCATATAATCATTTAATTAAAAAACTAAATATCTGCAACATTCCATTATCAGAAAGGCAAGAAGACGACATTTGATGAATTCTTTCGATGTATTCGTTATTAAGGGTTTCACTGTAGCAAACGTTTAGTTTCCAGTTAAAGTTGGGTACCCAAGCTGTAAGATATTAAGAAAAAGATTTATCCTAATCCGTCGGATTGGTTCTTTATGAATGGATTAACGGTACAAAAGTTCCATTCCCTTCACTATAAGAAGTTTTTTGTTATTTTTTGTCTTATGCAGTCTCCCGGATGGTTTACCCGTCTGCTTGGGTTGCCTGACTCCTGTGCAGTCCTCTTCTCCTCCCTGTCCGTCCTGCTCCTGGCTGTCCTGCTCCGATCTCTGTCCTCAGGAGGAGAACCATAGATTAGAGTGCAAGATACTAACCTCAGCAGGGTTGAGAGTAGATATCAAGGAGTTTGGGAAACCTAATATTTTGTACTCTGTTATAGCGATTTTAAAAACTCTTCTTTTTAAAGGTAAATAAATAAAAATATCAACTGAGTTTTTGAATCTCATTCTTAAAACCTTTTTTAGCATAGCAGTAACCAGGACAACCATAGATTCCATATAAGCATGTTTAGCTGAGAACCCTGAGAAATATGAGATTATTGAAACCCTGATGGATCACTGGGAGGAGCGTAGAAAAGATCTCCAGGTTGGAGGTAACATTTCTCACACTCCATTCTTTAATCCTAGGTTGGGGGTAACATTTCTCACACTCCATTCTTTAATCCTAGGTTGGAGGTAACATTTCTCACACTCCATTCTTTAATCCTAGGTTGGAGGTAACATTTCTCATACTCCATCCTTGTCATCCTAGGTTGGAGGTAACATCACTCCTATTCCATCATTTAATCCTTGGTTGTAGGTAACATTAATCCTTCTCCATTCTTAAATACTAGATTGTAGGTAACATTACTCATCCTCCATCCTTTAATACTAGATTGGAGGTAACAATCCTCCTTCATTCTTTAATCCTAGGTTGTAGGTAACATTAATCCTTCTCCATTCTTAAATACTAGATTGGAGGTAACATTACTCCTCCTCCATCCTTTAATACTAGAGTGGAGGTAACATTACTCCTCCTTCATTCTTTAATCCAAGGTGAAGGTAACATTACTCCTCCTTCATTCTTTAATCCTAGGTTGGAGATACCAGCATTCCTCCTCCATCCTTTAATCCTAGGTTGGAGGTAACATTACTCCTCCTCCATCCTTTAATTCTAATGATGGAGGTAACATTACTCCTCCTTCATCCTTTAATCCTAGATTGGAGGTAACATTACTCCTCTTCCATCATTTAATCCTAGGCTGAAGGTAACATTAATCCTTCTCCAGTCTTAAATACTAGATTGGAGGTAATATTACTTATTCTCCATCCTTTAATACTAGAGTGGAGGTAACAATATTCCTCCTTCATTCTTTAATCCTAGGTTGGAGGTAACATTACTCCTCCTCCATCCTTTAATACTAGATTGGAGGTAACAATATTCCTCCTTCATCCTTTAATCCTAGGTTGGAGATAACATTTCTTCTCCTCCATCCTTTAATTCTAATGATGGAGGTAACATTACTCCTCCTTCATCCTTTAATCCTAGGTTGGAGATAACATTTCTCATCCTCCATCCTTTGATTCTAATGATGGAGGTAACATTACTCCTCCTCCATCCTTTAATCCTAGGTTGGAGATAACATTTCTGACACTCCATTCTTTAGTTCTAGGTTTAAGGTAACATCCTCATTTCTTTATCCCAATTTCTTTCTCCATTTTTGTAATATATTTCTTCTCCATTCTTCAATTTCTTTTCAAATGGAAAAATTACTATTTTGTTGATTTCGTATTTATGATTTTAAGATCCCCCTGGTCTCTAATATCATTAATAATTAATCGAGAAAGTTCCAAGTTTACCGAGGATACAAAACCTTTACCTTCAAATGTATTATTAACAGATCTTTATCGTAAAATCGTTATAGTGATTATTTTACAAAGTATTTATATTATGAAACCAATATTTGGTTCTTTAATAAGACGAAAACAAGTTTTGCGTCCTAGAAAAGACGATATTTATATTTTATAATCAGGATTTATACTTTTTAATAAAATTATGGGTATAAAATAAGGGGTTTTCTGGTGCAGATCTCTTGTTCGTAATTATTGAAATATGCTTTATACAGCGTGTCCCACAAAAAATACAATCTCTCTCGTTTGTAATTATTGAAATATGCTTATATTAATACAGGTTGTCCCACAAAAAATACAGTCTCTCTTGTTTGTAATTATTGAAATACGCTTAATACAGAGTGTCCTACAAAAAAAACAGTCTCTCTTGTTTGTAATTATTGAAATACGCTTAATACAGAGTGTCCTACAAAAAATACAGTCTCTCTTGTTTTTAAATATTGAAATACTCTAAATACAGGGTGTCCCACAAAAAATACAGCCGAGAGAAGATTTAAGGTCGTCTGTAATGTTTGAAATAGTTTGCAGAATTAATAATCACAAAATACCCCTCGTCTTTGTAATTCTAAAATGGGTGGTCTGCCTACCAGCCTGAGATGTGCAGCATTTTAGTCAGAATTCAACAATTTTTGTTTTACTGAATAAATCGAATTGAATTATCTCCGGTAATATTAAAAGCACAACAACCCGTGTAAACCCAAGAGGTCTAATTCATAGACTACTGCGACTTTCCTGACTTACTGGTCGACAAAATCAAGATGAAGCATGGAATCTCTGTAACTTGATACAATTTTGTAAATATATTTTCCCCCACTACCCCCCCTACTTCCCTATTTCCATTTTTAGCCTGGATGTATAATTTAGCTGACAACCCGACCAAGAAAGTTATACCTCAATATATCCTTTATAATTAACACATGTGTTACCCCTCCAATATGCTGCTTCCCTTTTCCCCATTATTGGCTAGATGTCTAATTTAGTTAGAAAAAAGTTACCCCTCATGATACATCCGGATCAAATTTCAGATATGTTTCCAGCTGTGAGAAAATTTCCCCTCCTCTACCCCCCCCCCCTTACCCCAGCACTCTGTTAACATATGCATATGTTTGTGCATGTCTAATTTTGTGTGTTTGTAAAATATACAAGCTGTTGACTCAAAACTTGAATCTTTTTAGTTTTTATTTTCACCACTAGGTGTCTCTAAAAGTTTTCCATAAAACTAAAAAAGTAAGAAATTTTAAGATTCAATTTTCTTAATAAAAGTTTATAATTTAGAAGTGAAGATTTGGGTTTAAAAAAATTTTAATTTTTTCTAAATATAATAATTTCATTAAGAAAATGCACTGAATTTTCTCTCAGGATGTTTTATGTATCTTTTAAGACTCTTTGACAATTATATCATTGGTGAAATGTTTACACTGAAACAGGAATCATTTCCGAAAAGAACTGGTTATGGGCAACCTTTGGAGGCACATATCAATGACATGCTTTTATCTGAGTGACATCTAAACGCTGATAATTCAAATTGACGTGTATTAACACTAGCTTTTTAAATTAAAAAAAGCTAGCCTTTAATCAACCTGAAAAAGACTAAATAAGTTAGCAAACTGTCCAAGCTGTCAGCTAGCAGCTGCAGCTACTAAAAATAAACACATGGCAACATGATGATTTATGATGGGGGGTAATGCACAGAGGTGGGTATGAAACCCGACCCTTTCCGTTTTGAGGTATAGCTAGATTGTTGGTGATCGAGGCCCAAAAAGTCAGAAACACTACTTAAGATTCATGTACTTTTAGTCTACTAATTCTGCATGATAAAAGTCAACTTAAAGTCGAAAGAGGGTGACTTGAGGTTTACACGGGAAGTCAGACTACATTTTGTAAATACCAGGATTAGAGTATGTTTGTGATTATGGTTTCAAGAATAAACATATAAAAGTAGGTTAAAAACTGAATACCACAAATTACTTCAAAGCTCTAAGACGACCTTCAAGTCGTCTCTCAACTGTAAGTGTCGTGGGACACTTTGTACAGTGTACAAGTAATGTTACTTCAGATATTTTCCAAGTTCATAGTTTGGTAATGATTGCAAGTGCTGTACACGTTTCATGTTCCTCTTGATGAGTAATTACAAAATTATATTTTATTCTTAAATCCGTCTTTTTACTTCAGGTTTATTTTTAAGTGTAATGTCTCATCCTTTGAATGCATTCTAGGCATGGTTAAGTATATCGGAGCTCTGATCAGAAAACGTCTCGGCCTCCAGCACGTGTCAGATGCCGAGGTTGAACACGTGTTCGGGGTTCTCAAGACAAACGGGGTTGGACAGGGGGCTGGCCGTGCCTGTTATATTTATCCAATAGTATCTCTCATGTCTCATGCATGTCGGTCCAACCTGGAGATAGTTGGAACCCCTGGTACTCAGGGATAAGATTAAATCTATAGAATTTAACCTGAACCCATGGTACTCAGGGATAAGATTAAATCTATAGAATTAAATCTCAAATCCTGAGATAGTTGGAACCCCTGGTACTCAGGGATAGGATTAAATCTATAGAATTAAATCTCAAACCCTGAGATAGTTGGAACCCCTGGTACTCAGGGATAAGATTAAATCTATAGAACTTAACCTGAAACCCTGAGATAGTTGGAACCCCTGGTACTCAGGGATAAGATTAAATCTATAGAACTTAACCTGAAACCCTGAGATAGTTGGAACCCCTGGTACTCAGGGATAAGATTAAATCTATAGAACTTAACCTGAAACCCTGAGATATTTGGAACCCCTGGTACTCAGGGATAAGATTAAATCTATAGAACTAAACCTGAAAACCTGAGATAGTTGGAACCCCTGGTACTCAGGGATAAGATTAAATCTATAGAACTTAACCTAAAACCCTGAGATAGTTGGAATCCATGGTACTCAGGGATAAGATTAAATCTATAGAACTTAACCTGAAACCCTGAGATAGTTGGAACCCATGGTACTCAGGGATAAGATTAAATCTATAGAATTTAACCTCAAACCCTGAGATAGTTGGAACCCATGGTACTCAGGGATAAGATTAAATCTATAGAATTTAACCTCAAACCCTGAGATAGTTGGAACCCATGGTACTCAGGGATAAGATTAAACCTCAAATCCTGAGCAATTAAAGAAATTTTGAGATTTTTGTCAACAAATCTATTTTGCTGTTCTTTAGAAACAAAAGAAATGAGTTCTTGTCACAAACTCTGATTTTCTAATCTCTATATCTTTGGTGTCCGATGTCGTAGACCTTCAATATATCAAAATGAACATTGTTGGGTCAAATACTTTAGGTTAGAATATCAAATGTTTACACTACCAAGTTGCAAAGATTAAGAAAATAGGAGTTTGTGGTAAGAACTCAGTTCCTTACTAAATATTTTTTCTATTGTCATATAAAAATCTAAAAAAAACTTTACATCAAAATTTAGACCATGCCGTAAAATGTCTCTTAAAATCCAAAAGTTTCGATCACATCTCACGTATACCTTGGTTTTATATTTAAAACTCTCCTGTAAACTCTCTTCTGGTTTTTTGTTCGATCTTTTCAATTCTTTGATTTCCTCTTAAGTTACAGATTCAGTTTAGAGCGAAAACACACATTTTAGCAGGTAATAAAATACAGTTTTATAGTATAGAGTTCCTTTACAACTTCATTCATATAACATACGTTAATACTAAATTGCGGAAAACCATTGAACTTGTTTATAATTCTACTTGATGAATACTTAATTTAAGTCTATTCATTATAATTACTCCGGTATCTTAAACTAACACACATACATTTCCAATTCCCAATTATTAAGAACTATATACAGTACAAGTGTATATACAGTACAAGTGTATTTACAGTACAAGTGTATATACAGTACAAGTGTTACCCAAAAAGGATAAGACTTCAAAGACGACAATAAGAAATGTAAAAGTCTGTTTCTCATGTTCAAGATTGTGTCTTTCTTTGCCAAATAACTTAAACAGTCATTTCAAGACTTTTTCCAGCCGGAAGACTTAACTGAACCTGGTGATCGTCAAAATCTTAAAAGTTCCAAGTCGTCTTTATACCATCTCATCCTTTATGAGAAACCCTGTATGTGTGTGGTTTCGGTTAAAAATCTGGTTTCTAGGTGAAGAGTTAACCTGGAGCTACACCAGTGTTCTAGATACCCGGAGTAGGATTCGGGAGAGATTAAAGGAAACCTGGATGTTTGAATGTACTTGTTCCAGGTATCTTCAGATAAGGACACCTCCTCTTTTAAAGTTTCGATATTAAAGAGACTTTCGTTTTTTTAAGTAGCCTTCTATTTATTTAATTAGTGAATGTGGAAATAATGCGGTTTTAAAGCTTAAAAAGTGTTTATTTCTACATTATTTCTGCAGTAGAAATCCGCAAGTCACTTTTAAAGCGTAACCACAACTGAAAATAGTCAATTTTCATTTAGAAAAATGTTAATAATTCATTTGATCTTGATCAGACAAAGGTTTTTTGATACTACGTTGAATATACAGAGGATAACTTAAAATGACGTCTTTATTCCATTAAATCTTTAAAATGGACTATAGAAAACAATTCGCTGCAGTTTCTAAGTGAACCCTTTAAAAAACAATAATAAAGGGATCGAAATCAATTTCATATTTATTCGTGTTTACCAAAACAGTTTCTAACTTGCATGCGTATGNCCCCCATGTTGAAATCATTGAGAAAATCTGATGATATTTTAGATGTTCGGATCCAACAGAATTTGGAACATTTTTTTCTTCCACTAAGGTAAAACTAGTAAATTACTACATTACGAAAAAAAGATTAGAAGTTGGAGAGAATATTAATCTCAAGTTATCTTTTCATAATTTTCTCAAAAATAAAAATGTCTTGAAACTTTTTATTTTAGAGGTGTTTTAGAAATTAATCTTAATTTCAAGATGATTTTTAATTAGATAATTAAACATTTATTTAGCTACTGAAATTACAAACTTTAATCTAAAATAAAATGACCTTTTCTAATTTTGAATTTTGATTCTATTTTGCAGTGTGCATGTGGAGGATATTTAGTTGAGAGAAATGAGGGAAATATTTGTTTACTTTGTGGAGATAAGGAGAATACAAATATAGTCCAGGTTAAATTATACATTCATTTTACATGTACATTATATATTGTACAGTATATAATTACATAATAGATTGATGAGCACCAGAGGACAGAACGTTCTTCTGAGATTAGATTAATTGTGTGATACAAACATAAAATATATAAATCTGCATTTAATCTTCCTAAATCTAAATACAATTTCAATTGAAATTAGAAAACGAAAGACTGCATGGCAGTGAGACCCATACAACTGTGAAAAAAGACTCTTGCAATTTGAAATAGTCAAATGATTGTGAATCACAGAAACTGTGCAGTGTACACAGACCTATTTCACTTAATCAGTTGATTTTTAACTATGGTAAAACTATTTTCTTTTTTGATAGCAAAACATATGGTACTGCTTAAATGTCGTCTTCCTATTCCATAGTTTTTTCTTCCACTTTAAGTTAACCCACATTAGGGATTTAGTGCGATAAAGCTCGCGCGTTATGATTTTTATTTTTATCATTCTTTTTGGTAATCGCACAACTTATCAAAATATAAAAAAAATCCACTTTTTCTTCGCTAAAATCTATTTCCTTATTTATCCATATGTCAAATTGAAAGTTCGAATTACTGAAACAGCATCTATTGCTTCTATGTATAGATATCAGATAATCCCTCTACAGTCAAATTCTATTTTTTAAACAAAAATACTTTTACTCTTTCGTGATTTAATCCGATTTCACCTTTTTTATGTGTTAAAAATATTTAATGTTTAGGAAAGTGTTGATCTAGTTGAGCAGATACGATTGTATGGCTCAGATGAGATAATCAAGTTGGTTGAGAGATTAGAATCCAATTCTCATTATCATCCTAGTCATCATATATACTCCAGGATAACTATGAGGTTATAGCTCCTCTTTCTAGGGGTTATTTAATACTAGATGAAACCCTGCAAAGATTGACAAAACAGTCTAAATTACCGTTTGTCAGAAACAATCTCTCGTTTCCTTATTTGTCCTATACTGTCCGTCTCAGTCCTTGTTTCCTTATCTGTCCTACTGTCCGTCTCCGTCCTTGTTTCCTTATCTTTCCTACTGTCCGTCTCTGTCCTTGTTTCCTTATCTGTCCTACTGTCCGTCTCCGTCCTTGTTTCCTTATCTGTCCTACTGTTCGTCTCCGTCCTTTTTTTCTTTTCTGTCCAAAAATCTGTCTCCGTCCAAGTTTCTCCAAATATCCGTCTCCCTCCATGTATGTTCAATTTCCGTTTTTTCCATGCCTGTCCAAATACTCGTTTCTTCTCTTGTCTATTCATTGTCCGACCATGCCTGTCCTAAGTTAAATCAGTGTTGAGTAACTTTCAAATTTTTGATTTTTTAAATTTAATAAAAATTCGACAAAGATAATTAGTTTTGAAGGTATAAATCAGGAAAACCCTTTTTTGGAAATAATGGTGTTTTTAATTCTATTTCAGAGTTATAAAGGAAGTTTATTTTAACGGAAGAATAGTCACAGTAAAAAATCCAAGGAAATGGAACTCTTTGTCGGAATATATTTCTAACTTTTGAAAATATTTGGATAAATTGAACTTTTAGAATTTAATTAATTTTATTTTAGATTACTAGATACCTGCTTTCAGAGTTTAAATGAAGATCTGATTTTAAAACTGAAGACGAGAGGAGAAATTTTACTCCGAACCTTGGAAACCTTACTCGGAGAAAATAGTAGACCTTACTCCCGATATAAATCCATCCTGGAGCTTATTACGAACAAGCACAACAAATCTTTATAATCAAAGAGTTAACAAAGGAATGGAGTCTCTGCTGCCACAAACTCTGATTTCTAATCCCTGTATCTTTGCAACCCAATGCCGTAGACCTTATATATTTCAAAATATGAGTTCTGCTAGATCAAATAGTCAAAGTTTGAAATGTCAAAGGTTTACACCATCAGGTTGCAAAGATATAGGGATTATAATATTTGAGTTTGGGGCAAAGATTCAATTCATTTAATCTAATTTTATGTCTTCCATTTTTAATTTTATATAATTTTTATAAAAAATATTTCTGTATCATAAATCTATGATGTGTTATGGCGTAAGGAAGTGAGGATATGTAAGATTAAAGCTTGTCATCGTCATGTTTCCGAACTGTAAGATGAACTGTGCTCTCTGGTCAGACTAAACCACAGTGTAGTAATACAACAGAGTTTTATTGACGTAGGATTTTTATAAATTAACTTTTTAGATTTAAAAGTTCATAATGAATATTTTTTAATCGTTCATACATGGAAAGATATATAAAGCAAATTGATAATGTAAAATTTCCTTGATTTATGCGCAAATAGCGCGCATTTAGTTAGAATTTATGCTTTTTTTTGTGTTGTATTGTAACTTTTATATCTATCTCTAGATTTTTAACCATGCAGGTAAAATGTCGCGAATTTAAGCGATTTATTTGCTCTCGATGCCGAACCTGAACTACAAACTATAATCATAATTCAGCTTAGTGTGATCTAGAACAATGTAAAGGAATTGAGCCACAAACTCGAATGATCTAATCTCTATATCTTAGCAACCTGATGGTGTAAACCATAGATACTTCAAACTTAGATTATCTGATCTAACAGCATTTATAGTTTGAAATATATAAGTTCTACGACATTGGGCTTTTAAGAAATAGGGATTATAATATCAAAGTTTGTGATTAAAACTAAATTCCTTTTGTGGAATACTAGCTGAAATAAAAATGATTTTTGAAGAAAAAAACCCCCGTCTTGCATGTCTTGGTTTTATATTTCGCTTTCCTTATTGCATTTACCAGGAATCCTGACTCATTACAGCTGATAAGACTGTTTTGAATCAAAAGGGAGGGGTGGAAAGGGGCCAGGGTGAAGTAGGTTTCTGCAATTGTATTTAAGCTAAATCTAAAATTAGGCATGCCAGCATGCATTTTTTGTACTCTTTTATCTTCTTTACTTTTGGATGTTTTTGACTAATTCTTTTGATGGCGAGGTATGGATAATTTGGAGGAGTTGGAAGTTTGGAATAGGTTCGGAAGAGGCGTATTGAGGAATTTTTTATTGCTGAAAAAAGCCTACTAGTTCCTCGATTTATAGTCATTTCCAACTTTTATACAGTGAAACCCTTAATAACGAATACATCGGAAGAATTTATCAAATGTCGTCTTGACAATTTTTCAATAAGTTTTATATTATATTACGTAAATTTCAGTATTTGCGAAAATAAATAAATAGCCATGAATATGCGGGAACAGTTTTAAAGAGTTCCATATAATCATTTAATTAAAAAACTAAATATCTGCAACATTCCATTATGAGAAAGTGAAGAATACGACATTTGATGAATTCTTTCGATGTATTCGTTATTAAGGGTTTCACTGTAGTTTTGTACCACATTATGCATATGAGGAGTACAAATATCCTTTTTATATCCAACTCTGGATCAGCGTGTACTTAATCCCTGATTTTTGAGTTTCTGTATTCCTTCTTTTAGCTGAGATTGTATGGCAGAGAAAAGCTGAAGATGAAGTTTTACTATTTCCTTTATATCTTTATCTTGTCTGGGATGAATCGTAAGATAACCTTGTAATTTATAGAAAATGTGTATCTTTGTGATATCTGTTCTGTGTCCCGTGTTCTAATATGGAGCGGAGAGTTTAGTTTAAAATATCCGCAACTCTGTTGTCGGATTGAATGTTGATGGGTTCAAGAAGAGAGGTTAACTTGGGTCAGTTCCAGACCAATCCCTCAGATATTTAGGGAATATTGTAGTGGGCGGAACCAGCGATAATGCCGCGCTACAAATATGGATCCGTAGCAAGCAGATTATTTACAATTCTTTACTCAACCCATCAGGTTTAAACATGCAAGAATTAGGCGCGTTCCCTTGTTTTAATGCAGGAAATAACAGCTCAGGCGTATACCATTACAGGGGGAAAAGAAATCATGCATTTGAGCATTGTGCACGGTTTATAAATAAAATCAAGCATCTAATAAATACATTAAGAAGAAAGAGAATGAGGACTAAACTTTAGGCACACTTTTAGACTTTGAACGTCGACTTTGCGCTCAAACTCAGTAATTATACATCGTGGAAACATTTTATTTTGTCTCAAATGAATCCTAAAGAATGTGTCCACAACACTGCATACTCAGTTTAACTACCTTACATTGTCGGAATATCCCTTGAAGAATGAGTGTTTTATTACATTATATCCCAAAAAACATGGCATTTGAGAGACGTTTTTTTAGTGTCGTAAATCTGCACTTTTTTAACACAAAAAAATATGCATTTAAAAAAAAATCTCTTTGAAATTCATTCTTTACGGAAAACCAAAGAAGTTTTAAAAGTCATTTAATTTCCATTTTGTTTGGAACAGCCTGTATCTTTATATGATATCTAACTGAGTATATATTGATGAGATCAATGTATGAATTGACCCCTCCATGAATCCTGAATCAAGTGTGAAGAGCTGAATAATAGAAACGTTTAGGATTGCACATCTTGAATTACGGCAATCAGGGTTGGAGCGGAGAATATATATTATTAGGTTCCTCCCTCTCATTCTTCTTAGAACAAGACAATTTTACAAATATTATCTCAGGTTTAGATATCTCACAGACAGACATTCTCATGTCACGGACAAATCCAGATTACAGCGACGGCTGTGCAAATGTATTTTGTTCTCAAATTGTTTTGTATGAATTTTCCATCAAATCGTCAAAGGAATTGAATCTTTGCCACAAACTCTGATTTTCAAATCCCCATATCTTTGCAAGCTAGGAGTCGGAGGAGGTCGAAATGGATAATTAGTGAGAAATAGTTGTACTGAGAACAACAAAAACGAGAAAACTGTGGGATAGAAAGACGACATTATAGCAATAATTTGTGTATTCGATATGTTTGCAAAGAAAATAGTTAAATCTACCAGTAACTTATCGAATAAGTTTATTAAGTTAAATGGGTCTGGTCACACTACACAATTGCTTTGTCCCATGTTCATTGTTTCATTTAAAGTCAAAATTTGAGTCTGAAAGTCGTCTTTATGTTCCAGAATTTGCTGTTCCCCAATGTATTTTAACTAATTCATTAATTCCGAGATCAGGATTAATATGTTTAATCAAAATGTTCACTATTTAACTATAACCATTGGTTCTTCGCATACAGCTTTATAAATCCAATCCTCATTCAATCCATTCCGACTCCTTTGTCAACCTTTCATTCTTATATTATTCGTAGATTTTTTCATAGATTGGATACATGTATAAGAAGTTGACCATCAGCCATTCATTCATTAGTATTGAAGACGGATCGACTACTCATCCCCCCCCCCCCCTCCCTGACCCTGCATATATATAACCAGCTGCAGAGAGGGGGGGGGACGTGTATATAAGCAAATAAAGCTGGGTGGCATAATGGTACATCTATAACAATTGAAAATTAATTCATGAATCAACCTTTTTTCTAAAAAGGTTTACGTTTGATTAATTTAGACTAGTTAGGAAAGTTAGGAAAAGTTAGTAACAAATGTGATAATAACCTATTATTAAGTTATAAGTGATGACCTAAATCAGGGGTGGATACAAACAGGGTCAAAATTAATAACTAAAGGTTGTTCCTGTTATTGACTATAAATCCTAACTCATGTACAGTATGAATGACATTTTTTGCGTATGCTTCCTTTTTTTGTAGCTTCATGTGTTGATCATCATTTCATGTTTTACGAGTTACGTTCCCAGTTCTTTCATTTTTGTTGTAACTTGCTTAAAATGTTCCTATATTTGTTTCTAAGGAGCTAAACCTTAGCTACTCCTGGAGCTAATAAGCTGAACCTCAGCTACTCCTGATCTCTTCAAATGGCCTTTGGCCAGCCTTACATAAGGTTGATAAGTATCAGTCTCGACTCCATCTGTAGAGGATGAAATTCCCGAAAGAGGATTATAAAATCCGCGTCAGTTGCGTCGGATCCTGGAACCTACTCATCTTCCTTTTTCTTTTATACACTCGTTATTTATCATGTATTTTCATCTAGAAGCAATCTATGTACTTCTAAAACTTTATATTTTAAATTCAAAGGATTAAGATTAATGCTTAGTACCTTTAATCAAACAGGCAATACAACAATAATCGTAAATTAAAAAGAGATCTGAGCTGAAAACTTTAGAATGGTGGATATCGAGATTAATGCTTGATCTCCTCTTTTTCTTAATCTCCAGATTAGATAATGCTTGTTCTCCTATTGTTATTAATCTCCAGATTAATTAACCCGTCGGAATTAAGGCTATTCCTTTCTAAAGTTTTAAGCTCTGAAGATTTTGCTAAATTAAGTGTTACCCACAGTGACAATATGAGGATATAAAAAGTGCCAAGCGCTTGTTTTTTAGTTTGAAAGAGTATTGGTAAAATTCTGATTGATTTTCGAGTTCGACTGTGCAGATTTTCAAAGCACTGGTTCAATTGGAAGAAAAGTAGTTGAACCACGTTTACGTAGTTCAAAGACATCATGACAGCATCAAGGCGACTTGAAAGTCGTCTGAAACATTAAATTGATTTGAAATACTATCTTAGTCCTGGCATTTCCAAAATGTGGTCTACCTTTCTTATCCTATCAATATTACCTGATATATTGAAAATCTCAGATTTAAATTTTATTAAAAAACGAAAATTATCGAAATCTGAACGAAATTTTTCATATCCGGTAATATTGGAAGCTCAAAAATGCAGAGCACATTTTGGAAATGGTAAGATTGGGGGTATTTTGTGATCATTAACTCAAGAATTTTACTAATTAGACTAGTTTTACGAATAAATGTCACAAATTATTTAAAAATTAAAATTATGGACGACCTTCAAATCGTCTTGCTACTCTCATGTTTCGTGGGACATCCTGTATGTCTCGCTTTTCATTAAAACTGGTTCCAAACTTCTTTAAAATGTAACATTTTCCGGACAAGTGAACCTGTACTTGAACCATAGAGAATAGAATATATAGAGAGGAATTTACTAGAAAAAAGTGTAAAACGGCCATTTTGTTGTACTGTTTCCATACTGCAAGTGTAATTCACATATTTATGCTATATAACCTGTTGGACCCTGGAATATCATTTTATAGAAAATCTAAAATTATTGTTAAAAGAAAGCCAAATTATGAAATAGGCTGGTTTCATAATTGACCAATGATCATTTCACATAGACTCTATGCCTTCCACTTTACAAACGATGATTTTCCGTTATAACTATAAATCAAATGATGTTTTTATTCACCTAATTCATTATAAAGTTTATTTAACAGCTTAAAAAATTTCGAAATTAAAATGAATAGTCTAGGGAACATACTGTATTAATATACTCAATATACTCTACTGCATATAATTTGTGAACATTTACATGATTTGTACACTTTGAACTCCCTTTCAGGCTGAAAGGGACTGAAAAAATTCATACCGAGAGATTCTTTTAATTCCTCTCTATATATTCTATTCTATTCTCTATGACTAGAACACCTTGTCTTTCGGTCACCTAGCCATGTAACATAACACCTTGTATTCTGGACACCCAGGCATGTAATAGAACACCTTGTTTTCTGAACACAGCAGGTAAAATTACACCTTGCATTCCGGACACCCAGGCATGTAATATAACACCTTGTTTTCCAAACACCCGGCTCTATAATAGAATTGCTGGTTTTCGGACATCCGGCCCTGTATTGTAACACCATGTTTTCCGGACACCCAGCCCTGTAATATTACACATTATTTCGGAACACCCAGCCATGTAATAGAACACCTTGTTTTCCGGACACCCAGGCATATAATAGCACACATTATTTTCGGAACAACCAGCCATGTAAAAGAACACCTTGTTTTTCAGACACCCAGCCCTGTAATAGAACACCTTGTTTTCCTGACACACAGCCATGTAATAGAACACCTTGTTTTCCTGACACATAGCCATGTAATACAACACCTTGTATTCCTGACACATAGCCATGTAATACAACACGTTGTTTTCCTGACACAGAGCCTTGTAATAGAACACCTTGTTTTCCTGACACATAGCCATGTAATAGAACACCTTGTATTCCTGACACATAGCCATGTAATACAACACCTTGTATTCCTGACACATAGCCATGTAATACAACACGTTGTTTTCCTGACACAGAGCCTTGTAATAGAACACCTTGTTTTCCTGACACACAGCCATGTAATAGAACACCTTGTATTCCTGACACATAGCCATGTAATAGAACACCTTGTTTTCCTGACACATAGCCATGTAATACAACACCTTATTTTCCTGACACATAGCCATGTAATACAACACCTTGTTTTCCTGACACATAGCCATGTAATACAACACGTTGTTTTCCTGACACATAGCCATGTAATAGAACAACTAGTTTTACGGACACCCAGTCATGTAATAGAACACCTTGTTCTCCGGATACCCAGCCCTGTAATATAACACTTTATTTTCGGACACCTAACCATGTAATATAACACCTTGTCTTCCAGACACCCAGGCATGTACTAGAACACCTTGTCTTCCGGACACCTAACCATGTAATAGAACACCTTGTATTCCGGACACCCAGGCATGTAATAGAACACCTTGTTTTATTCGAACACCCAGGCAGGTAAAATAACACCTTGTAGTCCGGACACCCAGGCATGTAATATAACACCTTGTAGTCCGGACACCCAGTCATGTAATAGAACACCTTGTATTCCGAACACCCAGGCATGTGATAAAACACCTTGTTTTTTTCGAACACCCAGCCCTGTAATTTAACACCTTGGACTAGATAAAGTTTACTGTAACAATTAAATAAATGTTCATCTATTTGTCAATGTTAATTTCGTTCAAATATCCCCCTGGGGACTTACAAACAAACTTGGCACATAATAAGGAACTACAACGTAGTAATGTAAATATAATGTTAAATCCCAGAAGGCCTCTGTTATACAATGGTATTAAATGCACAGAAATATATATTTTTTTCGGGTCCAAATGGGCGCTGAGCACCCCCCCTGGAAAGAAAAAAAAATGTAAATGAAAAATCTGTTAAAAAAGCTTGGAAATCTGTAGGATACTTGAGATATGGTCTGTTACATAAATAGAAAATTTTAACATATGTTGGCTAATTTATAAAAAACCAATTCTTTCAAATAAAAATTGATTTAAGATCGAATAAATGTCATTTTCACCGGCAAAGAAAGTTTTATTTACTACTTTAAGATATTTTAACTTAAAAAATCATAATTTAATTAAGAAAATATTTTTAAAAATCTTCCATGCCCACTTAGGTACTATTGAGATTTGCATCTTTGAGGGTGCACCGCGTGTAAGCCCGTGTTAAGATTGAACAGTAATTTAAAACCCACAATTTCAATGCAAGTGGGAAACTTAACCAAATAAGGTCTGGACAAATTGCACCAATTTTATGCAAATAGATTATTTTGCATACGGGAAGTACCGGAAACTTTCAGTGTTTGTGGATTTAAACAAAACGAAAACCTAATTGTGTTTTCAATATTACCATTAGTTTATTTATACAAGAGAGTAAATAAAAACATGAATTAAAAACAATAAACATAAACATGTAAATAAACTCAACTCAAGGGTTTAATCAATAAAAAATATATTATCACAGTATTTCAAGTTTCCAGTATGGATTAATGGAGAACCTCGGAGCAAACCTAGCAAATATAGAATTATTATTACAAAATTTAGATTTCAAATATAGATATGACAAACTCCTGAAGAGACAATCATCTGTAAGACAAACTGGAGTCAAATACACGATTTACTTTATTATACAGTGAAACCCTTAATAACGAATACAACGAATACATCGAAAGAATTCATCAAATGTCGTATTCTTCACTTCCTGATAATGGAATGTTGCAGATATTTGGTTTTTTAATTAAATGATTATATGGAACTCTTAAAAACTGTTCCCGCATATTCATGGCTATTTATTTATTTTCGCAAATACTGAAATTTACGTAATATAAATTGTCAAGACGACATTTGATAAATTCTTCCGATGTATTCGTTATTAAGGGTTTCACTGTACTTAAAGGTAATGTCAAGTATTCTGTGCCGCCGTAAGCTGCAACCCACTACAGACAGAGACAGAAGGAAAAGGTAAAATTTATCCGACATTGCAGTTACGACTTTGAGACCTCTTAGCGCCTCTACTGTTGATTTTACGCACAAGTATGAGAGAAGCAAATTCATATGGTTACATATAAAAAATGCAAAACATTTCTGCTCTTCTAAATAGCTCTTTAATTGAAAGATTTATGATTGAAAACATAAAAGATTTAAATCTGACGTCCAATTTACTTTAGTTTACCGTGAAGCTAGGGCAGAATTAGGTGCAGAACAATTTTATTCCCCAGGAGTTTGACATTGCGCAAAAAAAAGGGTAGATGACACTGAGATTTAGACAATTCTGAAAATTATTGATCAAATTTTAGACAGACTCGACAAGAAAGTGACGCAGCGCCTCGCCTTAGCCTTTGCTTTTACATCAGCAACTTACGTATACTTTTTAGCAGTCCCTCTTATTTCTAGCTTTAGTTTAAACTTACGTATACTTTTTAGCAGCCTCTCTTGTTTCTAGCTTTAGTTTAAACTTACGTATACTTTTTAGCAGCCTCTCTTGTTTCTAGCTTAAGTTTAAAATAAGTGATATTCAAAATACTGATAGATTTTTGCGTTAGAGTGTGCACATCTTACTTAACTCTAAAAACCTGACTCAGTCTTGTCGATAATCTCTAAAAGGGAGTGACCGGCTATGTAAGGTAGTTGAACTGTGTATGCAGTGTTGAATTTGCGCTCAAACGAAGTTTTCCACAACACTGCATACTCAGTTCAACTACCTTACATAGCCAGTCACTTCCTTTAAGGATGAAAACTACCTGAGATAAGGTTCCATGAGCTCTAGTGGAGATCTATACTCTGTACTAGGAGCTGTACCCCGAACAATATCTTCAACTGTAGACTCAGGACCAAACCTCTCTTTGACAGGTTCCTGTCCAGGCCAAATCTTAGGTTTCACGTCCTCGCATAGTTTTAACAAGCACTCAGTTCCCTCCTGATATAATAATTACTGCGGGATATAATTATTATCTGCGGGTCGGAGGTTAAAACAGGTGCGGGTCGCTCCCCCCCCCCCGCGTTCGTGTACACTGCAGAATTGCAGTGTCTCTTGATCAATGTTCATTGGATAATTCAAAATCAAATTTTTAGTCCAAAAGTCGTCGTTTTATTCCATAGCTCTATAGGGACCACTGTAATTTTAGAAAATTATCTCAAACCTGAAGCTCTTTTAATCCGTCCTCCTGCTCTAGCTCCAGTAGTCCACGCAGAATATTAGAAACCTCTTGAACAAGTCCAGGAACTGCTGATATAGCTTCATGAAGTTCTGCAATAAGTCCCAGGTCCTCGTATTGACTCCCCTCTCTTGTACTATACATCTTCCTATCCTGCTTCCTCCTGTTCTTACTGGACTTACTCCTACAATTAATAATCAATCATTATATTTAACAATAAGTGCCCTTTATGTACTGATCTGATGGGTATCGATTTCTGGTCAAAAAATCCTATATGTCTCAAAACAGGCCTCAAAACGTACCTTAAAACGTATCTCAAAACGGACAACTAAACGGACCTCTAAACTGACATCAAAACGGACCTCAAAACGGACCTCGAAACGTATCTCAAAACGGACCTCGAAACGGACCTCAAAACGTGCCTCAAAACGTATCTCAAAACGATGCCGCATCAGTAACTCTATGTACTATGTAATATGTCCTACTAAACAGGAAAATTAAAGAAGACAACCAAATATAATAATGAGTTGCATTCTTATTGTACAAAAACGAGAAAATTACTCATAAAAACAATAAATAGCATGGGATCCCACTCCCAGCTCTGTCAGGAAACTAAATTTTCCAAATAAAACCAAATCCCACTAAAATCTGGATTCTCCAATCAAAATTTGGGGCAAGTTGGTCAAGGGGTTTATGAGCTAAGCTCGATCATACAAACAATATATAAAGATTACTACTTTATATATATATATAGATAATCTGTAACCAGACCGTTATCTGAATATATATTGACTTTTCTCGTCAGTTGGTTTCCAATAAAGGTAAAAAAGGTAGTAAAGCTCGCAAAATTTCAAATCGTTAATATTTTAGAAATAAATTCACCGAAGACGACATTTAAACCAATAGTAACTAACCTACTAGACTGACGGGTTGCCAGAGTTGATTTGGATTTGGTTGTAGTTGCAACACTTCCTCCGACAGATGTAGTTTCGGAGAACATATCTGCATCCTCGAGGTTTCTCTCCTCATCCTCATCATCCTCATCCGCAACCTTACTCCGGTCTAGTCGAACCTGGAGCAAACGCTCAACCTGAACAAACGAATCTGGGTTACATGGTTACCCACAGAGGAAACCCATTTAGATTACCACTACAAAATAATGTTTAAGGCCCGAGAATAAAAATTGACATTCATATCGTCAAACGGTGGTAAGCGATTATATCAATACAAAAAAAGACTTCTCTGTTTATGTGTGTCCATGCTGTTTAACAACTTGGTTTAATTGTTAACTGTAATTCCGTATGTTTAAAAAAGAGTTTTTTTCATGTCCAATTCTTTAAAAGGTTTAAATACCCCTCCTTAAACAAGCCGTTTCCGCCCCTCCCCCTACCCCCGACTTGCAAAAGTTCGTTAATAAGATCGACCCCCACCCCCACTCTATACACACACATCTACACAGTTTGTTTTTAATCTTTGTGAAGAAACAATCTCAGGAATAATAATAGTCTTAAAACATTTTTTTTTTAAAGTGAATATTTGCAAATTATCTTTTTTCCATCTCATAATCTGAGTTCAATTCCCTTATGTCCATTTGACAGCCCAAATTTTTATTTTTATTAATCTTTTTTGTTTGTTTATCTTCTTGTGATTTTTTACATTTAAAAATTTTTTTTTTATCGATTTTGATGGTTATTATATTGTTAGAACAACGAGGGTCAACCCAGACCGAAATATATTTTCAATAAATGTGGAACTAACATCTACTTTTTTACCCTACAGAGGTTTGGTCCATCACCATCACCGAATTTTAGATATAATCGCCTACCACCGTATGTAAAGAGTTAAACTTTGTTATTAAAGTCTTATCCTCTGTTGGTTACCCTGAATAAAAACGCAGCCAAAGTAAATAAATCTATATTTCGCAATCTGATAATTGATTAGTTCATTCAAGATTTTTAACTTAAACCACAAAATTAAAGGTACCCAAAATATTTCCTCTAGAATTGTTACTAACCAAAACCTTTTAAAATTCTTATAAGTGAACTATATCAATCTTAAGTACTGGAGACACTTTAAATTTATCCGGACAGACATCTTCGTTTATGCATCATAAACTTAAAATCTTTATTTTTTCCTCAAGTTTGATTCGTCTAAAAAAATCTGCAGAAACTAACCTGCGATGTAATTTTTTCTTGCGTAGATTCTATAGTAGACTCTAGAACAAGTCTTCTCTCCTTTAGTGCCGGGAGAACATGAGTTTCAAGGAGATCCGACCTATCCTGATCCCTACACAATCGGATACTCTCATCCCAGGACCTGGATCTCGAGAGAACGGCAATAGCCTCCTCAGGATCATGGAGCCAATCCCTCCAGATAGCAGCACTCTCTAGTCCTCTATTCTGTTCCTCCAACCTGACCGCCATCTTCTTCCACAACTCCACCAGACGGTCCTGTCTCCAACCGGAGCGACGGGCCAGTGTACCGGCCCGCTCCCAGCTCCCGGCCTGGTCCGCCAGGTTAACTGCCTGGTCCAGCTGGCCGGCCTTCTCGTACATGTAGCTGGACTCCAGGTAGTACCGTTTAGACTCCAAGTAAGTCGCGTAAGCACCACAAATACTCTTTAAGAAAAAAAGTAATATTTAAAGTTAGGATTACAAACTCTTGTTTATAATATTTACATTTATTAATAATATATTTAGAAAAACTGAATTCTTCTATACCTTAAAATGTTCTGAGCCAGGTAAGAATAGTTTCAGCGCCTGCTTATACATCCTGTTCTCCTGTACCAGAGCTAAACACTCTTCAAACCTATCCTCACACCTGGAGATGTTGACGAGGGCGGACTCGAACCTCTTCAGCTGCTTGTCTATGCTGTACTTCATGTAGTTCTCAGGCATTGCTTTATATCTGTTCAATATCGGCAAATATTCCTAAACAAAGAATAAATATTTTTTAAGTACACTTTGATAATTAAGAGGAAACTCTGTTTTAAAGCATTTGGGAGAAACAATTTAAAATCAATACCCTTACATAATGATAGAGTTAAAGGAACTTTAAGGCTAATTTTAAAAGTGGTTAAAAATTGCAAAGATGCCAATGTCAGATTCACAAAGGTACCCTTGAAACCTTTATCTTATCAATAATGTGGAAGATGTAGACTTTTTCAATGTTTAAAATTGTTTAATTCTGATAACTCTTATATGTTTTCCGGCAGTAGAAATGTCCAGGTCACTTGTGTTGAGAACCACAGTATGGAAAATTATAATTTCATGCTTGATGAGACAATGCTGATAATCGTACCGTTATATCAACAAACCTAATTATAAAAATGTTTTGACTTCAGATTGGAGTTTTTTTTTGTAGTTTTATTACATTTGGATGTTGAAAAATGTTGAAAAATGTTGAAAAAATGAACGAAAAAGGGGGGGTGGGTATTCTAAACCTATTATAACGTCATAAGAACGTGATTATGTATCTTGTTATATTACGAATATTCCCTCCTCATGAGGTTTTGTTCAAGTAGATAAAAGTTAAGTACAGACAATAGACATACCTCGGCTTCTGTTAATATCTTGTAGGAGGGGGGCGCCGGGCGGGGGGAGAAGTGTGGGGGGGGGGAGAGGAGAAGAAGGGAGACAAAGAGAAATATTCAAAAAGAGATAGGTAAGCGTGATTAATTTTTACAGAGAAGTTATTTCCATTAGCATTCAGCATACTCTAAGAGAAAGAGGAGGAAGGGGGGAGGGGAAGCACATATTTACACATTTTCACATTTTTATCACTTTCTACTTACTTTAGGATCCTGTTGAGACTTCTCTGCAACCATGAGCACGAGCTGGAAATCATATGTACCCAAAGCTACATTAAAGAGAAGGTTTACATCTACACTGTACAGGATATACCGGAGAGCTTCATCGCATAATCCGTCCTTACCACCATCTAAACATAAATAGAATGATCAACTGTTGGTTTTTAAATATGTCTTATGTCTTATTTATGTAAAAATTATTTTAATTTAAAAACTTTATTTTCATTAAATTGAAAATAATATTGAAAATAACTAAAAAAACTTTTAAAAACGAACAAAAGGCATTGACGTCAACAAAAACAAAAAAACAAAAAAAACACAACTATATGTATAAAGTAGTAATATCTGTTTGGGTGTTGGTTTGTTTGTATGTCCGATCAAAACTCAGGAACCCCTTAAACGAGTTGCCTAAATAGTTGAACCACGGAAATGTTCTTCGTTTGGGTTTAAAAGTGAAGTTGGTTGACTTTTTTTAGGGGAGACTTAGTTTCCATGCACAGCTGGGTACCCAAGGTGTTATAAATATATAGCTATATAAAAACAAATAAATCAAACTGTCGACCATCATTCCATTAAAATAAGCTCTCGTCAAACCGCCCCAACCCAAGAGAATAAAGAGTCTTCGAAGATAATACAACATAAAACGTAGAGGATAGTGGGGAAGTGAAGTTGAATATGATGGAAGAGTATAAACACAGTTAATGATATCATTACAAAAATATTCCGTTTAAATATTTGAGAATTCCTTTCCATGAGTATATTTGTAAGTATAGTATAGATGGAAAGCAGGTACTCAATATACACTAGAATACCGTTCCATCAAATACTACCCTTAAACAGTATTGTTTACAGGGGAATATGCAACACAATTATCAATATATTCCTAGTTAAATACAATTTAAATAGTTAAATCTAGTTTGATCCAGTTTAACATAACTGTATACAGACCCTTGTTAGTCCATTCTAACCTGTAAACGTAATTTCAACTTCAAATCTTCAATTGATTTTTCCATGCAAAAATGGCGATGTCCGATTTGCAATGGAACCCTTAAAACCTTTATCTGATCAAAAATGTGGAAGATACCGTTGTCACTTTCGCAGACAAACCGCAAATGAAAATAAAGAGTTTAAAGGAAGAAAAACATTGATATCTAATTCATACTTCATCAGAAAAAGCTTTCAAGGGTACCGTTGTAAATCGTGCATTGCCATTTTTGCATGGAGGGTCACTTGAAATTTTGCTTACAATCCTTTTAAAACCTTGTTTGATCCAGTCGAACCTTGGCAGGTCCACTTGAATCTTGTTTGATCCAATTTAACACGTTTTTTTTTTAAGTTTAACTTTGTTTTATTAAGTTAAAGACATATTTGATCTAGTTTAGAATAGTTATACTAGCCTTAGAAATTAATTGTGAACATGTTCTCTTTGTTTACATCGTAAAACAAAACAAAAATAATTCGCGGATTTTCACAAAAAATTTCGTGGATTTTTTAAAATTTTCAAAAATTTAATGAAGATCAAATTTTGATGGAGACAAATATTTAAAATTTCAATCATTCATAAACCTTCCCTGGGGTCCCTAGATGTCCCACAAAAAATTTGGGCCCGATCGGTTCAGCCGTTTTGACGTTTATTGGATACAAACAGACAGACAGACAAGCCAAATTTATGTATAGACTAGCCTTAGGGGGCGCTTCGCGCCCATCTTCTAAATTAATTGTGAACATGTTCTCTTTGTGTACATCTAATAGTAAAACAAAACAAAAATAATTTGCGGATTTTCACAAAAAATTTCGTGGATTTTCAAAATTTTCAAAAATTTAATGAAGATCGAATTTTGATGGAGACAAATAATTGAAATTTAGATCATTCATAAACCTTCCCTGTGGTCACGTGATGTCCCACAAAAAATTTGGGCCCGATCGGTTCAGCCGTTTTGACGTGTATTGGATACAAACAAACAGACAGACAAGCCAAATTTATATATAGATGCAGAGTAAACCTTAGTTCTTCCTATTGAACCTTGGTCAAACTTATTCAAGTTAAACCTTATTTAATAGATGAGCCTACTCTTTAACTTTGTTTGATCCAGTTGGTCCTAATTTGATTCGGTCTGGTTAACATTGTTTGATTCAATTGTTTTTTTTTTTTAACAGTAAAATCCAGATTCACTTTCTCACCCAGTTAAACCTAGTAATAGCTTTCCTCAATCCAAAAAGTTAAATTCCGTTCAACCACATTTATGTCCTTCATTTCCAATTCGGTTAAACCTTTACACTATACACTGTACAGGTTAAGAATGGAAGATTATGTAGTATTGGGAAGAATAGGAGAAGGAGCTCACGGAATAGTCATGAAGGTATAGAATAATACAACAAATCTTCACTGAAGGATTTGAGACTTTGAACAAACTCCGATTATCTAATCCCTATATCTTTGCAACACAGTGTCGTAGACCCTAGAATTACAAACTAATAATTGAGATATCAAAGGTTTACACCATCAGATTGCAAAGACATAAGCATTAGAATATTTAAGTTTGTAAACGGAAAGCATTTTTAACAGTTTCTTTTAATATTTTCTATCGCGTATATTTCTTTATTACTTTATCGATAGGGTCGTAGAAAATTGAGCGGAGAAGTAGTTGCTCTGAAGAAGGTTGCCCTCAAGAGGCTGGAGGATGGTATATCCGAGGCCACTATACGGGAGATTAAAGCACTCCAGGAACTGGAAAGCGTGCATGTTGTTAAGTAAGTATGAATGATCAAGTTTGTCAGGTTGCGTTTGAGAAATTAAAAACATTTTTGTTCTCCTCCATTGATCATCAATAAGAGGAGTTATGATCAAAAACATGTAAGACTTCAATCATACTTTAGTTTTATTGTGATGAATATATTTTATTGTATGTATTAATTTCAAATTATCTAATCTGTCTGATTGTATCTAGATTGTTCGACGTATTTCCCCAGGGTATGGGATTCGTCCTGGTTTTTGAGTTCATGGTTACAGATTTATCCGAGATGATACGGGATGCAACAAATCCTCTCACAACTCCACAGGAATAAATATTTAAAATAAAAGTTATCTTTTTCTCCCTCTTCTTTTCAGTTTCAGCTTCAAACAAAAATATCTTTAAAAGTTAAAAACATAAATACTTTTGACGGGACCACAGAAAATTTGCGTATAATATACCACATTAAAAATCTGACCGTTGAAAAACAAAGATAGTTTTTACTGTAAAGGGGATGTTTACCAAAAAAGGGTATAAAATGAATTTGAATCGTCCGGTATTTTGCTTTCCAAAAAAAAACTTTGCCTGTGCTGCTCACACAGCCTGTAGCATATTGGAGTCTGTAGATGAGAGATTATATATCAAATTCTCTTAACAAAAAAAAAATAGTAAATGGACAAGAAACAAGAAAACAACTGAATTGTTTAAAAGTTCTCATTTGTCAAATAAAGATATAATAAAAAGAACAGAATTATAAATATGTTATTTGACAGATAAAAAGCTATATGCAGATGTTGCTACGGGGAGTAGCATATTTACACGGGAAGAATGTGATGCATAGAGACATGAAACCAGCAAACCTTCTCATCAGCAGAGAAGGAAGGTTGAAGATTGCAGACTTTGGACTTAGTCGTGTACATACCAACGAGGATGGGAGACAGTACAGTCACCAGGTAAACAAACAAACAAACAAACAAACAAACACAACCAAACTGAAAAACATATGCCCAATTTGGCGAACAAATACCCAACCACACCGTAATCTCGTAAATTTGATTGGAGGGATAGAAAATAATAACTACTCAAAGGTACTGTAGACATAATTTCAAGTGAACCTCCACTTATAGAGCGGCTCTCCCATTCATAATGATAACCTTAAATTCTTTATCTAAGCCACAATTTGGAAGATATGGTTGTTTTTCCATAGTAATAAGAGTTGAATTTTGTCATTTAAATTCATTGTAACTACTGCAAAAAAGTTTGAAAGTAACTTTTATAAAGAAACCACAATAAGAAATTATCCATTTTCAGACAGGAAAACGAGGCTATTTTCAACATTTGGATATTTAAATTTAGTTTAAAGTCCCTTTAGAACTGTTGCAATCTCTTTAAAGATGTGGATTGTGCATACTGGTACAGATGTTCTTGAAACTAAGTCCTGCACAAAACTAATAAGAACTTACGTCAGGTTGCTACTAGATGGTACCGAGCCCCTGAACTACTATATGGAGCTAGGAAATATACTGAAGGAGTAGATCTATGGGCTGTTGGTTGCATATTCGGAGAACTTCTCAACAACTCTCCGCTCTTCCCGGGAGAAAATGACATTGATCAACTTGGAATAGTAATCCGGAAACTTGGTACCCCGTCCGAGGTAATTTTTTTTTCAATGCGCAAGACAATGTAAAAAAAGCAAAATAATTGTCATCTCTTTCAGTGAACTATATACACAAATATATAAATGTGATCGAAAAACCTAAATACGAGATTTTTTGTCTTCAGGAAAGCTGGCCTGGTATAACACAGTTACCAGACTATAGTAAAATAACGTTCCCGGATACAGCTGGAGTATCCTATCTGGAGATGGTACCAGAGGTAGGTTAAATATATTCCCAAATACAGCTGGAGAATCCTATATAGAGATGGTACCAAAAGTAGGTTAAATATATTCCCAGATACAACTGGAGTATCCTATCTGGAGATGGTACCAGAGGTAGGTTCAGAGTAAATATATTCCCGGATACTGCTGGAGATGGTACCAGAGGTAGGTTCAGAGTATATATATACCCAGATACAGCTGAAGTATCCTATCTGGAGATGGTGCCAGAGGTAGGCTCAGAGTAAATATATTCCCAGATACAGCTGGAGTATCCTATCTAGAGATGGTAACAGAGGTAGGTTAGGAGTAAATATATTCCCAGATACAGCTGGAGTATCCTATCTGGAGATGGTACCAGAGGTATGTTCAGAGTGAATATATTACCGGATACAGCTGGAGTATCCTATCTAGAGATGGTAACAGAGGTAGGTTAAGAGTAAATATATTCCCAGATACTGCTGGAGTATCCTATCTAGAGATGGTAACAGAGGTAGGTTCAGAGTAAATATATTCCCAGATACAGCTGGAGTATCCTATCTAGAGATGGTACCAGAGGTAGGTTCTGAGTAAATATATTCCCAGATACGGCTGGAGTATCCTATCTAGAGATGGTACCGGAGCTAGGTTCAGATACAACTGGAGTATCCTTTGAAACTCTTTTTTGTAAGTTCAGAGAGAAAAAACATTGAACTCGCACATTAACTCTAAGGAATCTATATTTATTTATCAAAACATCTATCTTAGGCGAATCCAATTGAAGTAGATTATCTAAGTCAATTCATAGTTTACGACAGTGATAAACGGTTAAGCGCAAAAGGTAAAAATAACATTATCATTTTTTAAAAATGTTGAGGATTAATATTATTAATGAATGTTTTTAGAGGCTCTGGAACATGAATATTTTTACACTCTACCCTTCCCAGCAAAACTGAAGTAAGTCTTTTTTTTTCACCATTAAAGGGACTGTGAGCGGATGTTTTAGTGATCTTCCAAACAAATATGACAATCCCCGATTAACAACGGTACCCTTAAAACCTTCATTGGGTCAATAATATAGAAGATATACTCGAGTCTGAAAACTATTTGATTCTGTTAATTTCGCCAAAACTACTTATCAAGGAAAAAATGCGCAAGTCACTTTTGTAGAGAAACCACGAATGAAAATGCTCAGTTTGTAAAAACCGAAAACATGAATATCTGATTCAGACCTGATCAGACAAAGCTTTTATGGGTACAGCTGTGAATCAGACATTGCCATCTTGAAATAACCTTTACAGTCTATAATTTTTTTTAAAGCATTAAAAAATTTAACCTAATTTAAAGATAGCATGGAGAAAATGTAGGGAAATTAAATTAACAATTTTTAGAGATATGCCAACCCCTGGTGAAAAGAAACTTGGTTTAAGGAGTAAAGAAATAGAGGTTGATGTTTCATTCAGAGATCATTTCAAGCATCTATATATTTAATCATATGATTATATTTCATAAAAATATAATTTCCGGAAACAAGCATTTTAAAATTGTTTTGTTTATATCGAAGTTCAAAACGATTATTTAAAATTTAATCCAAGATTTAGCAATTACAAGTCTAAAAAGGTATTTTTACAAACTGCATGCCCCCCCCCCCTTTACAAAAAAAGTCTTTACACTTCTATTAAAATAATTGATGGCCCTAGCTATGAAGATATTGCGTAAAAACGAGGAATATAAAATAATCATTCCCAAAAGACATTTGTTTTGTGTTATCTCTAGAGCATTAAAGTTAAAAATTTCAATTGCATAATGCATATGGCGAGAAAATTAAACAGATTTGTGTTTATAATTGTGATTTATCTTTTAGTAATTTCTGTAATTTTTAAAACTAATTGAAAAAATATATTTTTGTACATTTTTAAATGTTGAAGGTTATGTTAGTTTTAGTTAGAAGAATAATAAATCTGTGTGAGTATTGTATACATAAATGTTTGTATTGAACATATCGTTAAAATAACTTAACTTTTTGTTACTATTAGAGCAAGAATGGGGGAAGGGGAGGGAATATAGGAGGGGGAAGAACTTGTCATGGAGAGAAAATATAAGAAAAAATTTCGGAGTAATTTTGATTTTGAAGTATTTCGCACCTTTCTTGTGCATTTTTAAAAAAGCAGAACATTTCTAGTTCTTAGGAAAATTGGAAATAATCTGGTCTGTGCTGCTTCACATCAGCTACGTAGGCCGAATGAATTGCTTTTTATGCATTGCTGGTAAAAAAAAACCCATGAACCCTGAGTTCATAGAATACGTAACGTTTAGTCATTATCTGTATACTTAAAGGGAGTGACCAGCTATGTAAGGTAGTGTAACTGAGTATGCAGTGTTGTGGAAAACTTCTTTCGAATTCATTTGAGACATATTAAACTTTTTAAAAATCTGTAAATCCTGAGTTTGAGCGCAAATTCGACGTTCAAAACTACTACTTTGGGGGTGGATACGTTTTCAGAATTAGTTTTATCAAATTATTGAATAACGACGACATAAAATGTAAAAAAACGTTCTACAATAAACTACAGACGTCATGTATGGGACCATGTTGAGAAAATAAAATTAATCTCATCATCGAAAATAAGTAATCTTGTTCAAGTATTAGTTTCTATTTTCACATTATTCCGGTTTCTCATTATTCACAAAGATTTTCGCAGATTTTCTAGAATTATTATTGAAAAGACGACATTTGAAGAAATTGAAGAAATCTGCGAATAAATCGAAATAATCGATTTTAGCATTGATTTTTTGACGAATATGTTCCTCACCATTTTTACTTTATTTTTCGTTGTCGTCATTTAGTATAACTAGCCTTCTTCTAAATTCTTCTAAATATAACATCTTCTAAATTAATTGTGAACATGTTCTCTTTGTGTACATCGTAAAACAAAACAAAAATAATTCGCGGATTTTCACAAAAAATTTCGTGGATTTTCAAAATTTTAAAAAATTTAATGAAGATCGAATTTTGATGGAGACAAATATTTAAAATTTCAATCATTCATAAACCTTCCCTGGGGTCCCTAGATGTCCCACAAAAAATTTGGGCCCGATCGGTTCAGCCGTTTTGACGTTTATTGGATACAAACAGACAGACAGACAAACAAACAAACAAACAGACAGACAAGCCAAATTTATATATAGATATAACTACGATTGGTTGGTACTTTATACCATATCCTTAGACTTGAACTTCATCATTGTGTTCTTCTACGGTTTCCTATCAGTTAGGTACATTGGTTCCCGTGCTGGTTTAATATAACTGCAATTGGTTGGTACTGTATACCATATCCTTAGACCTGAACTTCATCATTGTGTTCTTCTACGGTTTCCTATCAGTTAGGTACATTGGTTCCTGTGAAACCTTGGAATATAATGACGACTTTTAAACAAAAAGATCTGATCAGCAAGTTACTCAGAAATCGTTAACCATACAAGAACCCAATTATACCAATAAGATAATTTTAAAATAAATTTAAAAATTATTTGCTGAACATCTTAGTTTTCAAGATTTTTTTTCTGTCTTTTAAGTCATGTTTCTATACCCCTTCATCATGTAACATATATATATATATTACATATACCCAGTTTGTTGACCAGTTGCATAAGCTTCTCAATTTGTTAATTTTAACAATTTTATAAATCATCGAGTTGTAAACTGAAAAATGTGAAAAATGTGAAAAATTTGAAAAATCTCCGAAATTCTTTAATCCTTAAAACTGTTTCATTTTCCCATAATCAGGATACTTCAATTTTAGAACGAAAATCTTGGGCCCCAATGGGCTAAGCATCCTGATACAGGGGGGGGGGGCTAAGCCCCCATAGCCCCCCCTGCTGGCACTCTAGTTTATCTGATTGATGATGTTGAAAAGATCGTCGTTTTTTAAGCCTGAACAGTTTTTTTTTAAATTCGGACTTCATGGTTTATGTAAGCAGAAATCCGCAAGTCTCTTTTAAAGATAAAACCACAGTTGAAAATAATAAAATTTCAAAAACGAGAAACATGGATACCTCATTCATTTCTCATCAAACCAAGGTTGAAAGGGTACTGTTGAGAATCAGAAATATCGCTCAATATATGGAGGTTCATTTGAAAATATTTACAATTGCTTTAAGAAGATTTAATCCTTGTAGAAACCCCTAGGACAAAAGTTCAACTAATATTTCAATGAACAACCTTTATTCGATCCGATTAATTGTAAAAGCAGAATATCGGAAATTCTGAAAACCCAACCATTTTTGTAAACAAATCAAAGTTCTAACCAAACTCTAGTTTTTTACCTAACATGTATTGTATATTTTTCTAGATAAATTGTATATTTGGAATATAAGAATAGTATTGTAATGACCTAGGGTGTAACCTAAAAGTGAAACTGAAAGTGAGACAGAAGAAATTAATTATCATCTTCTAGACTTCAGTTTAACCCGACAAGTTCATTTCCTGTCCCGTGAGTGTGGAATTGTCTGTGTGTCTGTTTGTTCCGCCGAGCCGTCTCCTACACGCTCTAAGGAGAATACTAATGAAAGCTTTTATCAGTTTATCTCCTATACTCCTAGAAGGAGGGTTAACCTATATATCAGTTTATCTCTTATACTCCTAGAAGGAGGGTAAACCTATATATCAGTTTATCTCCTATACTCAACCTATTTATCAGTTTATCTCCTATTCTCCTAGAAGGAGGGTTAACCTATATATATCAGATTATCTTCTATACTCCTAGAAGGAGGGTTAACCTATATATCAGTTTATCTCCTATACTCCTAGAAGGAGGGTTAACCTATTTATTAGTTTATCTTCTATACTCCTAGAAGGAGGGTTAACCTATACATCAGTTTATCTCTTATACTCCTAGAAGGAGGGTTAACCTATATATCAGTTTATCTCCTATACTCCTAGAAGGAGGGTTAACCTATATATCAGTTTGTCTCTTATACTCCTAAAAGGAGGGTTAACCTATATATCAGTTTATCTCTTATACTCCTAAAAGGAGGGTTAACCTATATATCAGATTATCTCTTATACTCCAAGAGGGATGGTTAACTTATATATAATTTTTTCTCCTATACTCCTAGAAGGAGGCGGAGTTATTTCAATAATTTTTTTTAATTTCCTAAATGTTATGTTTAAATTTGAATAAAACACGGGTTGTCTGAATTGCAAGAAAATGCACTTGTGTTCTTTAATAAAATCTGTGGAATAATGCAGAGAGAATGGTTAACTGCGGACCCACAGTTAGTTTCAGTTCGGAGAATAATTCGCATCCGTTTACTTCTACATAGAAACATATATATATGTGTGAAGACAAGATCAGAGATTAAGCAGATTAGTTGGATCTACAGTGATTCGAGTTGGGACTAAAAACAAAACAAAAATAAATCTTCAAAATGAAAATTCTAGGAACATAACTTTAAAAAAACAATATATTTTTACAATTTAGAAACGACCTTTCATTCTTTTATGCAGCATTCGTCATAGTCCTTAGCCATTTATCTTTAATTTGCAACTATTGCTGGGATTTCCTAATTGAAACTTGTTTTTTAGTATCGTTTTCTAATCAAGCAAGGTAAAAAAATTTCATTAATTTGTACTTCAGTTTTTTTCCCACTCAATTTATGTTGGTATTAAAAACGATATAAAGTCGCCCTTTTAGTTTTCATGTTCATGAAGACTCCAGGTTTGATTTAGAGTTGTGGTTTACAGTATTGATCCTGGTTCTGGTTCTCCAGAGTAAAACTAGAGCACAGGTTGATGAGGCAGACTTTGACTATTCACAGGCAGACTTTGAGCAGGGTTCAGGACAGGAGCTGACAGGAGGTTCAGAAAATGACCTTATAGGATCAGGAGATAATCTGATAACAGGGTCAGGAGAAGAGGAGGATTTAAGGTAAAGAAATAAATTCAGTTCAGGACATTTCGCGCCTCTTTTATATTAATAATTTTGGCTGTGAACCGTTGCTCTTCAAGCTGCCAATTTCCTTTGCAAATTGTATATCGGGGATTTTTAGGTTTAACTTTGACCATTTTCACAAATCTTTAAAGTTTAACAATTTTTCCGGACAAAAATGTTCATCTTTAACTCTGCATGCATGAACCTTCCCTAGGGTCAGTGAGTTGCCACCAACAAATTTGGGCCTTATCGGCTCATCCGTTTGAACTTTTTATTGGATACAAACAAGCAAAGTATATAGATAGATTGCGAAGTTAAAATGTGTTTTAATGATTTTTCATTTAGATATTTAGTCTCCGATATGGAAAGAGAAATGCTTGAAAATGAATCCAGAGAGAATGAAGATGATGAAAGTTTTGAAGAAGAAGATTCTGATGAAGATGATGATTCAGATGAAGAAGAAGAAGAAGAAGAAGAAAAGAAGGAATGCGACAATAAGTTATTTGGCTGCTGTCCTAACTCAGAGCTTCCAGCTCACGGTCCTAAAGGAGAAGGATGTTGTCTACTATCAGAGTTTGGATGTTGTCCTGACAATCTTCGTCCTGCAGAGGGACCAGAGATGAAGGGATGTGATTGTGAAAGCTCTGAGTTTGGATGTTGTCCAGATAACAAGACAACCCAGAGAGGACCTGGAGGAGAGGGGTGTGGATGTGTACACTCGGAACACGGTTGTTGTCAGGTAGGCAATAGTTTTAGTTAATGTAAATACATGAGGGGCGTATAAGATTCACAAACTTTTAAATATTTAGGATCAGCATACCGAGGCCCTTGGACCTAACCATGAGGGATGCCCTTGTTTTACATTTGACTATGGATGCTGTGAGGATGGTTTAACTATAGCTAAAGGACCAAACAAGGACGAGTGCTCTGGTTGCCAGAGTTCACAGTTTGGATGTTGTGAGGATGGGTTTACTTCAGCTCAGGGAGAAAACATGGAAGGTTGGATGATTTGAATTATTAAAAATAAAAACCATATTTTTCTCTCTACTCTTGAAAGTTTTTTGTTAATATAATTGCAAATGAAACCCTTTCTTTTTGTTGTTTGCATTTCTTAAATTTTTAATTTAAATTCAATCAGCAATGACAAATAAGCCAATTGTACACTGTACAGGATGCGGATGTGCCGGAAGTGAGTACGGTTGCTGTCCGGATGGTTTAACGAAAGCTACTGGATTAGAGTTTGAAGGATGTCAAACTAAACCTGGAGAGGCTTGCAACATTAAACAGGAGAAAGGTTTGAACTCAATAAGAATATCATGTAAAACCTCTGGATCAAAATCCATCCAAGGACAAGAAAAGGTTAAAAACTTATATTTGATTTATTGTTCTCATTTTTTAACTACTATACTTTAAGCACCCCATTTTCTAATAACAAATTTAGCATTTGAATGTCTCTCTTCAAGTTGTCATTTGTTTCCATAAACCTTCCCTTGGATCATGTTAGTTGCCACAAAAAACGGGGTACGATGGGTTCAGCCGTTTTAACATTCATTGGATACAGACAAACAAGCCAAAAACCTAATGATTAACACCTAATTTTTTCCCTTGACCATCTTTCTATATCAGGCAAATGCGAGGACTTCAGTGTCCGCTGGTATTTTGATCTGAAGGAGGGTCGGTGCTCGAGGTTCTGGTATGGAGGCTGTGAGGGTAATATTAACAGGTTCAATGAGGCCGAGGAGTGCGAGGAAACATGTGTAAATCCCCCAGGATCCGGCAGATGCTATCTACCCAAGTAAGTAAACCTCAATAATGCAGAGGATGCTGGAAAAACAAACAAGATTATTATCAATCTAAATCCCAAGACATCTTTGCAGAAACTATACTTTACATTTTGCAAACAAAAAAATCGCTAATATTCAACAAAAAATCGCTAAATTTGCTGACTGCCAAGTAAACAATTTTTTAAAGTGCAGGGGTGGCTTATGATATTTTCCAGGGGGGAATTAATTAAGTTATTGTACATGAAGCGCACCTGGATTTTTTTAAAAGGAAATTTGGTCAATTTTGGGGGGTGGAAGGTGGAAAATGTGTGAGCAATGTAAACAAGGTTGGGATTTTTATAAATTATCTTTATTAAAAGTGAATAAGTGGTGCCACAGAAAAAAAAATCTAATTTAAAGGGCTAGAAGGTGCCTGGTCTCTCTTCTCGCGCTATTAATTTTTCCGGGGGGGGGGGAGGAGGACGTCCCCCCAGTTTTCCAGGGAGGCAGAGGTCCCCCCAATTTTCCAGAGAGGGGACGTCCCAACCCTTAAGCCGCCTCTGGTATAATAGATAACTATATTTATTTAGAATAAAAGGAATTTGTGATGGGGATTACGAAAGGTTCTACTATGATCACACTTACAAACAGTGCGTCAGTTTTAACTACGGAGGCTGTCTAGGGAATGCAAATAGATTCAGCACTAAACTAGAGTGTGAGCAAGCATGTGTTAAATCTGAGAACCTAGGTAATAAAGAGATATTTTCTTAAAATTCCAAGTGATCCTCAATACAAAGATGACAATGTCCGATTAACAACGGTACTCTTGAAAACGTTGTCTTATCAATAATGTGGATAACATTGAAAGCTAATTCATACTTGATCAGATTAAGCTTTCAAGATACATTGCTATTTTTTAATGGAGAATCATTTGCCATTACGCTTAGATTTTCTTTGAATAAAATTAGCATTATTTTAATCTTCAGCTATCTGTGAGCAGCCCCAAGAGCCTGGTCCGTGTCTAGGAAACTTTTCTCGCTGGTTCTATGATGAGAAAACCGGAGAATGTGAAACCTTCTCCTACGGAGGTTGTCATGGAAACCAGAATAGGTTTATGACCAAGGAGGAGTGTGATAACTCTTGTATGCATAAGAAGGTAGTTTTGCAGACTGCAACTATATGCAAACAGGAGATTGAGACTGGAAGCTGTACTGAGTCTCATCCGAGATGGGGATTTAATGAACAACTTAGAACTTGTGTCCCGTTCTACTACAGTGGTTGTGACGGGAACTCTAACAGTTTTGAAACTCAAGAGGAGTGTGAGAGTAGGTGTCCCAGTGCTTTCCCTCCAGAGCTGGAGGTTGTCAGTAAGATCCTAAATGTTGAAGAGGGTTCAGAGGCTGTCCTCGAGATCACAGTGGAGGGAAATCCATTCCCTGAAATCAGCTGGGAGAAGGATTCAGAACTTATTGAGATCTCAGAGAAATATAAACTAAGAGAGGATAGGTGAGTACTGAGTACGAGAAATGTGTATATCGAGTTCTGATCCTAAACAGAATGCAATTTTCAATCCTCGTCTAAATATCTCAATGACTTTGAATTGAATCTTTGCCACAGACTCTGTTAGATTAACTTATTTAAGTTTTAAATGTTTAAGGTTTACCCTATTAGTATGCAAAGATATAAGGAATATAGAATTTTAGTTTGTGGTAATGACTCAATTCCTTTTATCTATATATATATATATATATATGTAAAAAAGTATTGCATATTATAAAAATTTGCATTGTTTACTAAGCAGCCCATATGAAAGAAGTTTGAGGCTTTTCAAAAAATAATATAATTGTTTCTTTTCTGGTCTAAAATTCTAACTTCTATTATTTAGGTCCCTGATCCTGGTCCATGTTACAATGGCTGATGCTGGATCCTGGACTGTGATTGCAGATAATGGATTAGGGAAGGTTGCAAGACGACAAATATCTCTCTCTGTGTATCCAAGTCAGATACCTATCCAGGTATACAGGTTTACTCAGATGTCGAAACTTTTGTGTAAACCATAATATTTCTTAAATTTATCTTAATACATTGTGGGCACTTTTAAATTTGAGGATCAATGCTTGATCCCTCAGTTAAAGTTATCTCTGAAGATATGTCCAATACGGGATATCGCAGAGAGATTTAATTTATCTGCAGATCTTCACAAGATAAAGATCAATACTTGATCCCAAAAAAAAGCTTTAACTAAAAACTAAAATAAGAACTCCTTGAAAAAGAAACAATGACTTTTTAATTTATAGTGAATCCCAGATATATGAATATATAGCAAGAGTTTTTTATAATATCGTATTACATATTTACGATCAAATGCCGCGGGAAAATGAGTTTAATATTAATATATCAATTGCATTCATATTTCAGGGCTGTTTATTTACCTTGAATTAAAAATAAAAAGAATTTTCTTTAGAATTATAAAATAACATATGACGGTCTATGTATTCATATATCTGGGATTCACTGTAGGAAATAAGAACTAAATTCTAAGATATAAAATCCTAGGTTGAGATCCCCCTGGAGAATACAACCTTCCCAACCGGGACGAATATCCGGCTAGAGTGCAGAGTACAAGGATTTCCAATCCCAACCCTAACCTGGCTAAAGAACAATGCTAAATTACCCAAATCTAAAAGAATTTATGTCGAAGATGAAAGATTTCTCGTCATAAATCGAGCTTCCCCAATAGGTAAAAATATTGATTTATATATTATTTACAAGTTGTGTTAAAAATCTGATTTGGAACTAGGAAGGGTTAAAATAAAATGTCTATGTTATAAACATTCAAAGTTCAGTTTAATTGTTGAGTGATAGATCACAATCACAGGTTAAAAGAATGAACGATGGATGATGAATGAAGATTATTTATATTCAAAATGGGTATCTAAATTTTATCAATTATTTTTGTTTATAAAGGATACCACCTAAATTTTACGTTTGCTCAAGAATCCCAAGGGAGACCTGGGATGTTCGGGAATGGGGTAATTACCCCCAATAAATAAATAAATAAAATGGTCAACCATCATCCCATGGGAGTCAGGGTTAAGCTCTCATCAAACCGTACCACCATATTGGTTGGCAAGGCCCCCCTTTAAGTACGCCTATGGATACTCAATATCTAAATGTATCATTTATTTTTCTATAATGAATACTTAGTATCTTTTTGTTATCATTTGTTTATCTAAAATGGATACCCAGTATCTAAATGTATTCTAAATGTAATCTATTTAAAATGTTCAAAAGAACTTTGCATGCAAACTGTTCTAAATTTGCAAGTTGTAATCGTGAATGGAATTAATTCTCAGTTTCAGAGAATTATCCTGCAGGAATTATATAAAACACATGTTGACAAAAAAACCTTGAATCTCTTTTACCATGACACTTCAGATTCACATTTTTGTCCAAACCCTTAAAATTTGCAGTTTCTGATTTTTTACTTTCATACAAATAATAATATTTCAGATGGTGGGCTTTATATCTGCAGAGCTAGGAATGAAAAGATGCAGAACCAAGCAGTTGTTGATATAACCGTACTCCAGGGTAAGGTTCCAATACAGTGCCAGGACCAACCAAAACTTGCAAACTGCGCGCTCATAGTGCGAGCCAAGTACTGTGCGAGGAATGAAAACTTTGCTAGGATATGCTGCCAGTCCTGTGTTAACTCCGGTCAGATCGCTGGACCTCCGGCTTAAACCTTATTATCGCTGGACCACCCGCTTCAACGCTTCAACCTTACTCCGTTCAAATCGTGGAGCTTCCGTTTAAACCTTGCTTTATGTATGTGACAATGTGACTTTAACATGTACCCTGTCAAGACTTAGTAATAAAAACAATACGTGTGTAAGTTAAAGCGGAATATAAAACTATTCATCTGATCAAGCTCCAAGTTGACTTTTCCAGAAACTTTAGTTCATACCTGTGTTTTTTTGTAATCATATAATTAAAATGTTTAGTTTAACCTACTGCTTAATAAAGATAAACTTCCTACCTCTCAGTTTCTTTATTCTGTCCAGTGCCTCCTCCAGGTTGTTCCCTGAACTGACCAGGGTTCCAAGAATAGGAAGGATGTTTTTCTCCTTTAACTCCGTTCCATCCTGTCTCTCCAATTCCTCTCTGACTGCAGTACACACTTTAACTACCTTTCCACTTTCAACCTAAACAATTGTAGTCAAAACTTTTAAAACAAACTGTTCATTGTTTTGGAACCGTGTTTTTTTTATATCTAGATATGATGTGATATAATTTCATATTTTAAGATAGAATTTCATATTTTAAGATAGAATTTCATAATTTCATATTTTAAGATAGAATTTCATATTTTAAGATAGAATTTAAGCTGTTGGATCGTTTAGTTTAATATTGTACCTTGATATTCTCTGGTTTTCTATCCGGATACTGAGCTGAATACATAGTTGTACATACATCCTCTTCTATTAATTCTGCCAGGAATATGTTCATATGTTCAGCAACACACACCTGAACACATCAAGCATTTTCAAAATATGTTTATATGCTCAGCAACATACACCTAAACATACCAAACATATTCAAAATATGTTCATATGTTCAGCAACAAATACCTAAACAAACCAAACATATTCAAAATATGTTTATATGTTCAGCAACACACACCTAAACACATCAAACATTTTCAAAATATATTTAGGAGTTCCAGTGAAGAAAATGTCATTTTCAACATTAATAATATAATGAAGTATTTTTGATTTTTATTTCACGGGGGGGGGGGGGGGGGAAAAATCCTTCCACAAAGTCATAACATTAATGTCAAATCAGTAAAAAATGATTTAAAAGGTTCTTCATTCTTGTTACTTCTAAGTCATTTTTAACGATAAACAGTGAAAGTATGATAAGGTTAAAATAATTAAAAGATTTCGAACAGAAAATGTCGAGAAAAAACACTTAAAACCTTATTTCATACTGTGGCTGTCAAAAAAGAAAGAAAATATGTTTAATTTCAATATTCCCTCCTTTAGAGTTTAACTAAGTAAAGTTTAAGTTTAAAAGATTGAAAGATTGAATATTGTTAAGTATATGAATACTAGAATAGTAAACAAATCTGTCTCAACAAAGAAGGATGAACTGCCCACAAGATGTTAAATAAATAAACAATAAAAAACTAAATGTTAACACCAGGATAGTGAATGCTTTCAAAACTCACGATTGATCTAAAGGGATTGTAGTCGCTATTTCAAGTGATCCTCTATTTCATATTTATTGAGTGGCATGTCTGATGTACAACGGTACCGAGTACATTTAAACTCTCAGTCTGCGAATGCGAATGACGTCAAATGGGCCAAGATATGACTTGAAAAAAGGCTATGTCCGTCATTCTTTATCAGACAAAGTATAAAAGGGTACCGTTGTGAATGTGAAAAGCCACTCTTCAAATGGAGGGTCACTAGAAATTATTTCTATATACTCTATAAAAGGTGTAAACATTGTGTAAACATAGAATGAAGGAAATGATGGATATTATTAAGCTTACTGTCTCATTGGAAACAAATATAAAAAATTTTACCACATTTTAAAAAACAAAAAACACTAGACTGGGGGCAAAAAAAATTCCATCCATTTCTGAAAACCACCTCTAAATAACTAAACTATACTCATGATAAAAGTCTTGTATGGCACCTGTTTTTTTTGGCAAATCTTTTTAATCATAAAATGCGATATCCAGCGAAAAGAGTATTAGTATAAAATTGTAAACTTTTATATTGTTTAATGTGATTTTGGTTTAAACATTTATAAATGATGAATATAATTGGAAAGCTTAAGACAAGTTTATAAGTGATCAATCTAAATTAAATCGCACTGAAGGAAAGACAGAAGCAAGCAATAACCATCATTCCGTAGAAGTGAGGGGATGGGCGCGAAGGATATACACTATTCACTATACAGAAAAATTATCAAGCAGTTTAAAACAAAACTCAGTACTTCATTTTAAAGCATATAAACTATCAATAATAATGAAGGTCAATCCTTCAATCTAAGATATCAGACTTGAGCTACCGTTCGTTTAAATAACATAAAGCCCTAATGATATCTTTGTTGGGTGAACTTTCTTGGTTTCAATATTCATGAACTGAACTTTACTCTGAAAATATCGAAACCAAGGAATATATAACAAGTTTCAACCATATCTTTTATTACATAAAACTGTACAATAGTTTCTTAGAGGAGTTTAAACTGGAACAGTTCTATTTAGGTCGAGTTTTGTTTTTATTCCTCACTGAAACTGCATGCAGTACACTTTTCGTGTAAACCAAGAGATAGGTATTCTTGCTATATTCCTTGATCACGATAAAGTTAGGAGATTATCGACATTCTAAAGAATAGTCACGATCTTAATAAATATCTTAAACCGCATAAAAAATCCATTGAAATAAAAACATATCTGACCTGTTCAACGAATTTATCAATGTTCTTCATGAAATGTTGAATATTATGATCTACAAGGAGGTTAAGGTTGATCCTCTGTCTCCTGGCGAGTAAGAACGCGTCCTGGAACCTTGAAGAGTTAAGCAGGTTCTGAACCAGGAGAACGGTCAAGGATCGGGGTTGGATACTTTCAAGGTTTCCTCGTGGCATCTGGAGAACCGTTCTGAATACATAAACATTTTCAGCATTTTTATTTTAAAAGGACTGCTAGCGTAATTTTAGTGACTTTCCATGCAAATATGGCAATGCCCGATTCACAACAGTACCCTTGTCTGATCAAGTATTTGTTAGATATAATTTTTTTTCATTTAGAAAGCTAGTTTGTGTTCAGTTTTTTTGTCTACAAAAGTGACTTGCGCATTTCAACTGCAGGAAAGCATAATGGAATTATCAAAATTAAACACTTTAAAACCTAGAGGTATCATTATGAATCGGACATTGTCATCTTTCCATGGAGAGTCACTTGAAATTACGTTTACAGTCCCTTTAATCAGGCATCACATCAACACAGAGTATATCTTTTAAAATGTGCGAAAAAGAGAAAGTAAATTCTTTATGTGAAAAGATATTCTGGGCACAGTTAACCAAAAGCAGAAACATTTATAGGATTCCAAATATGTAAAGCAAAGACAAAAAGTGAGGACCGAATAAACCAAGATTTTTTTCTCTTTTAGAAATTCATCAAACTGGTTTTTCTTTAATTCTAATCCTTGTATCAACCGCATTTCATGTTTGAAACGCGTCTAGACGCGATTAAAATTTTTTAAATTCGGCCATAATAATAATTACTTATTCGCAATGGAATTTACCTTGAATGGAAGGGAACTGCAGTGACCAGCCTTGAACCACGTTCAACTCTCCTTGAACCTGCATCCTCCCACTTCAGATTCGAGGTTCCTAGATCCTCCGTAGGAACAGCTATCAATCTTCACACAGAAAAATGTAAATATTTTAATATTAAATTCAGGGCTGAGGGATTGCAGTAGAAAGATTAAAAAATATGAGCAAATATGTCATTTGTTTCAGAAATTCAGCATAATAATTTTTTTTTAACAATTTTAGATAAAACTTGATATCGGTTCAAATTAAGCTGCATTGTATGTATGTGAGACTTTGTGTGTCCTTATGCATGTCAGTTTTTAACTAAAGAGTTTAATTTCAATTTTTCGATTAAAATGATGCAGGTGTGTACTGTGTACAGTACAGTGTACACTGTACACTATATAAGTAAAATAAAAATATTGTTTAATTATTTTTGTTACCTGTGATCCATGGTAGTTGCCAGAAGGAAGTGAGAATGTAAAAACATGGATGTGATGTTACTAGCAATTTCTTTCTCATTCAAGTACAGCTTAAAACTAAAACATTATCAATGAAATCTTGGTAATTTAATACCACCTTATCTTTACATATATTAACATGTTTCAATATCCATTTTCAAGGGCTTTGGAACACCGATCGGCCTTTCGGTTGTCTTTTTTTATACAAAATGTCAAGAAGTTTAAATTTAAAAGCGTAAAAAACGAGAGCCCTAGAGCAAAATCCCCCAGGGTGGGGGTGCGAAACCCCGGAACCCCAAAGCCTGCTAAGGGGTTATCTACACTTCCTCCTCCTTTTTCTGTCCCTTCTCCCTTGTCCATCCTCTAAAATCAATTACCTCTGATGAAGTCCAAGAACTCCGTGTTTGGTTTGGATAAGATGAGAACAAAGTCGAGGAAATTGAAAACTAGGAGTCAAACATCCGTCTGGAGAAAAATGAATATTTACAAATAAAATCATGCATTTCACTATTATCATTTCTAGAAAGCTAGATAGTTGATATCAATTAACGGGTAGGGAAAGAAGAGCCATTGGCATTGGACACGATGCTGATGTTCTTACTTATCTTATCCTAAGACTAGATTTAATTAATGCCGAGACATACATAGTTGAACCGCGTTGACTTATGAACCACTTCTCTTCAGCTTGAACTCGTGAAAAAAGAGAAGCGGCTCAAATTAGTTTCCACGGTTCAAATTTAATAAATCTGGTCTCAAAGTACTAACAGCTATGGTGTGTTTTTTAAAATGTAATATTTACCTTGTAATGTGAGAAGAGTTGAATCCTGAAGGAGAACTACAAGATTAGTGTATCCTCCTGCAACCAGATATATCGAAGATTCAACACCAATTCTTGAACTCTCAACTAGGCGTCCTTCCTCAACCTATCGGAGATGATAATTAATAATATTTTACATCATTATTCATTATATTTTTAAATGTTAAAGAATCCTACCTTAAAAAAGACAAGTGCAGGAGTTGGATGATCAGTGCTTGACACTAAATAGTTTCTAAACCAGATGAAATTACTCAACTCCTCCTTTAACCCCGTTTCTATGGTGTGAATCAATCTATGCCTACTTGTCTTAACTTTATATCCGGTTCCTCCAGCCCCGGATATTCGGACAATCCCAGATTTATCTTCTCCTTCGCTACCGTCACATACAGAGAATATAAATAGTTTGGTAGAGGTGTGCACAGCAATATTGTTGCTGTCATGGCATAATCTTCCCAGGGTCTCATTTTTATCCTTTTCATCCAGGGTTTCAGTATTGTTCTCTCCCAAAGCGGATTCATCTGTAAAGGGAAACATAACATGAAGAATTTGTGAATCAAAATGTAGTTCATATGCGCTCATAGGAGGTGGAATAATAGCTTCTCGCATAGGAGTTACTTTTAAACAGTTTCCATCGATTGATGCTACAAGAGACAGATCTTTTTCGGTTCGTCCTAGACTGGTATCTGTGGCCCAAGAGAAAGTAAGACTGCTGATATATTCTTTTTCTCCGTCAGTAGTTAGGAACTGGAACAGGTTCGGATCCTCCATGTCCCATCTAGGATTCCGAACTTGGTCCAAGGTTAGGGATTGCTTGAGATACCAATGATAGTTTCCGATAGTCCAAAACTGGAGATAGTTATCTGTATCCTTGTGTCCCCAGACCAGTAGGACGGAGCTATCACAGTTCCACTCCAACTCCTTTACATCCATTTCAGTCCGGAGAATAAACTCTCCGTGCTGAAGCCCATTCTTCTCAAAGAACGCAACAAAATGCTTATTATGTTTCCGAACCGTAGTTGCGATCAGGTTTCCGGACGGTTTCCAGGAGAGGGCCTGCTCCAGTCCTGGACACAGCTCACTGGTGCTGAACAGTATGCCACGTCTATCAAAGACCCGGAGTCTCCGAACCGGGTTCTCTCCTGGAGTAACGTAGCTGACAACCAACATCTCTCCGTCTCCTCTCCAGTTTAACCTAACCTTCTGATCATCTGCAGCCGTGAGTTCAGCAGTCTCAATCTTGACAACCCTGGCTTCCTTTCCTTCACTGCCGTGGAACTGAGTTTCCTTCTTTCCCCAACCCGCGTTCACAAACTCACCTTCGCCAAAACCTTCCTAAATCATAAAATTTCAATCAAAAACATTTTTTCTTTTTTTCATTTTTAAAGTTTAAAGTACAAAACATAAGAAAATTGGATCCCTACTTGGTGAATACTGGATTCAGATAATGGAGTATAATCCCTAGTCATGAGAACCTGGTGAATACTGAATTCAGATAATGGAGTATAATCCCTAGTCATGAGATTATTGGATCCTTACCTGGTGAATACTGGATTCAGATAATGGAGTATAATCCCTAGTCATGAGATTATTGGATCCCTACCTGGTGAATACTGGATTCAGATAATGGAGTTTAATCCCTAGTCATGAGAATATTGGATCCCTACCTGGTGAATACTGGATTCAGATAATGGAGTATAATCCCTAGTCATGAGAATATTGGATCCCTACCTGGTGAATACTGGATTCAGATAATGGAGTATAATCCCTAGTCATGAGAATATTGGATCCCTACCTGGTGAATACTGGATTCAGATAATGGAGTATAATCCCTAGTCATGAGATTATTGGATCCCTACCTGGTGAATACTGGATTCAGATAATGGAGTATAATCCCTAGTCATGAGAATATTGGATGCCTACCTGGTGAATACTGGATTCAGATAATGGAGTATAATCCCTAGTCATGAGAATAAGCTTAAGATCTCCAGTAACCAGGGTTATTATCTCTAGGTCCTGGGATAAACTCAGGTGTTCTAAACCAGACTCTACAGCTCCAACCTCCTCTACCTCTCCCAGACTCAGAACTCCGATCTAAAAATATACGAATTTTTTATATCTTATTTATTAATTTTTTTCAAAAAGCTCGAGGACTGCATATATTCACATTTTCAGAGAATTTAAAAAATGGTATATTTCTGAAAATAACAGAAAACCTTCATATTTTAGCGTTTTCCTATTTTTAACTATCCCATGAGAGAGAACATACTGACCTAAAGGGTTTCCCCAAAAGAATGAGACTTTATTGAATATCTTTAACTAATTCAATTTTACACCCTTTACTATACTCTACATGGTCAAAATGAGATAAAACCATGAATTTGAGAAATTAGACGAAGTTAAAAGAGCACAATCGTTCCTTAAGTCTTGCTCTTAGTGGATGGAATCGTGGAGTGAAGCCACAAGTATCTAGGATTTAAGCACCGATACCAACCTGGAGAAGCTCCCCTGTGTTTAGTCCCATTAGGAGACATTGTTGTTCTGGTATAGAACAGAACCCAACACACTTAGATCCTTCCTTTAGATATCCTTCAGAACGTAAGCTAAAAAATATAAATATGAAAAACAAACATTTCTTGTAAAAATCTATGGAATGTTTAGTTTTGATTAAATTCAGTTACTTACTCAGCTGTTAGCTCTGGTTCCTCATCCTTGATCTTCCATATCTTCCCTTCATTCAGGCAGTAAACCTCCCTTTACACAGTAGGTATAGAGTAGCAGTCATACTTTAATGCATTTTTAGTCTAGCTTGAATTAACTTATATTTACAAACCAAAGTATTATCTCAGCCAGTAATAATTCTTAACCTTTAGTTATGTTATCCTAACTTCAGCCATGTTACCCAACTTTGAACCATGTTAACCAACCTTGAGCAATTTTAACCAGCCTTGGGCCATGTTTTCCCACCTTGAACGATGTTACCCAACCTTGAGCCATGTTACCTAACCTTGAACCATGTTAACCAACCTTGAACCATGTTACCCAACATTGAACCATGTTACTCAACCTTGAACAATGTTAACCAACCTTGAACCATGTTACCCAGCCTTGAAACATGTTACCCAACCCTGAAACATGTTATCCAACCTCGAGCAATGTTATCCAACATTGAACCATGTTACCCAACCTTGAGCCATGTTACCCAACCTTGAGCCATGTTACCCAACCTTGAACCATGTTACCCAACATTGAACCATGTTACCCAACCTTGAGCCACGTTACCTAACCTTGAACCATGTTCACCAACTTTGAACCATGAACCAACCTCGAGTCATACAAACCAACCTTGAGCCATATTTCCCAACCTTGAACCCTGTTAACAACCCTGAAACTATGTTTTCCAACCTTGAACAAAGTTACCCAGCCTTGAACCATGTTAACCAACCTTGAACCATGTTAACCAACCTGGAACCATGTTAACCAACCTTAAATCATGTTACCGAACCTTGTACCATGTTGTCCAACCTTGAGCCTTGTTAACTAAACTTGAACTATGTTACCCAACCTCGAGCCATGTTATCCAACCTTAAACTATGATACCAACCTTTTGAACCCTGTTAACTAACTATGTTAGCTAACCTTGCGAAACAATTCAATTAATTTGACAGACCCCTGCGAAATTAAAAGCTTCTTAACCAGCGCTTTATGGTATCTTGGTTACCTTGAGTCAGGATCTTTACACCAAGCTTCAGATTTATTTAACAATCCTGTTCCACGCTTACTCCGAACCCGAATTTGTAAATTTCTCATTTTTTCTGAAAGATTATCAAATTATAGAAAGATTTTAAATAAAGTTTTTTTTTACTAAAATATTATTGTGCGATCAGATAATTTCTAAGTTATTTTTATAATCGAAACAATCGCATAAAAACTAAAATAAATGCGTCTAAAGTGGACTAGTAGGTGCACAGTGCACAAAGGACAATTGTTACAAGACTGATTCATACAACATACATTTTCAAATATTAAGTAGCTAAGAGTCTTCTATTTTTTTTTTTGTAAGACTTCTTATTCAAAATCTATTTTCTAACTACCAAGCCCGTTAATACCACTATGTTCTCAAAATTTTCGCTTACCAATTATGACAAATAAAAATAAAAAATAAGACCCGACTTTAAACGTGAAAATTCTCCAAAAGACATAATAACCAAGTGTTAAATGACATTTTAATAATATTTTATTTTTTCATAAGATATGGCCCCCTAACCTTCATATTCATGCTAAAAATAGACACAGCTTTTCATTCCACGATATAGTATATGAAAAATTAAATAACAAGAGAATAAATGAAAAATATGATTTTGATAAAAGGAATAAATTAGTTGTTTTGTTTCTAGAATTTAAAAAATAGGTTTTTTTGGAGAAGGTAATATAAAGGCATCTGAAGTCAATAAGAACAAATTGAAAAAATTGTTGTAATATTATACTTTTGGAGAATTGTTTCTATACATATCTAGAAATTGCAAAACGAATAAATGTTTACAATTACTTTACGATAAATAGTGGAGATTCCCGCCTAACCACGATATCCAAAATTTTGCCTTAAAACATCCAGGTTTCAGAGCATAGAGATAAGGACAAACTGATCAAGGAAATCGGATTTAAAGGAAAATTTTTTGGCAGACAGGTTTTTAATTTTACTCAATTAAACAAAGAAACAGTAAAATAATTTCTCCATTGAATTTAATAGTCTCATTTATAGTCAAGTAAATATTTAAGTCCTTTATCTAGTAAAAATATCATATTTTGCTTTGACGAAAAACATATTTAAGCTCGCACAATCTGATTAATTAGTACGCCAACGATTCCTCGTGCATTTTCAATGGCGGAGAACTAAAGGTTTCTTTTCATTTACTTTAATAATGGGAAATGTAAAGAAAAGTGAAAGCTTGGAATCGGAACAGATTAATTGGTAAATATTGGTAAATAAATGTGTGGACCCCGTGGGTTAGTGATTATCAATACGTGAACAATACATTTAACTAATGAATTAAATATAACAGATAATTTTACAAAATACAATACATAAATACTACATTGGGTTGACATATAATGTAAGCTTAAGACCTAACATATAATTATAGCTTTGGCTTGAATTTCAGGTAAATTTATTTAGTTGGAATGTTTCACTGATTCCTGATCCTTGTTTCTACTGTTAGAAGCTTCTTCTCTCCTCTCCGGTTTATCAGAAGGTTCTTGATTAGTCTCTGATGGGACCTGATTTTCAGAACTAGGAGAACCTGCCGGACTGGCATCTGGGGGACTTGGAGATTTACTTTTATCCTGTCTTAACCCTCCCCACCAGGCTGAGAGTGCACCCTGAGTAATACAATTATTCATTTGTTAAAATAATCTTCCAGGGGCGAGGTAACTGTCGTATAAGTTTGAATATTTTAAGTAATTTTATAAAATTGCAATGTTCATTGTAACACCTTTTTATCAGAGCAACTACATGTAAAAAAGCTTACTTTAGCTGCGCCGATACCGCCGGCCATGACTTTACCGGTATCGGCTACCGCTCGACCAGTAGAAGCAACCGCCGCACTCACTCTTTTACCGCCTTCGGTGTTGTGCATAGTGTGAGATAGACGAAGTTTTACATCAGATACAGATAGTTGACCAGAGCAAGGATGTCCTAATTATACGAATAAAAATAGATGAGTAAGAGTAAGAGTAAGAGTAAGGGTAAGGGTAAGGGTAAGGGTAAGGGTAAGGGTAAGGGTAAGGGTAAGGGTAAGGGTAATGGTAATGGTAATGGTAATGGTAATGGTAATGGTAATGGTAATGGTAATGGTAATGGTAATAGTAATAGTAATAGTAATAGTAATAGTAATAGTATTAGTATTATTAGTATAATAGTAATAGTAATAGTAATAGTAATAGTAATAGTAATAGTAATAGTAATAGTAATAGTAATAGTAATAGTAATAGTTTCATAAAGATTGAGCATTTGAAAAGAAGGGGAGGGGGGACCAAGCGGAACTTGAAAAACCCTTTTATAAATCTATTTTACATTCGATGTGTCAAATAATGTGGATTGTGAATATTGTAAATTCTACGGTATAGGTGAAGACGATTCGGTAAACCCTTCGGATGATCCTAGATGATTCAAGACCTGAAGATTGAAGATAAAAGCAAGAATCAATCTGATTATATTTGATTTTGCTTAATTGTCAAAGTAAATATTTACTCAAAAAATCTTCAAAATTATTTAAATGAAAATTCATTCTTAAAACTTAAATGTAAAACTTTTGAGTTTACTGTCTGAAATCATAAACATTTTATATTCAGAACCATGAATTTTATATGGATTTTATCTAAAAGATACCTAGCCAATATTTAATCAATATTTATCCTATATTTAAAAAACTTTCATTAAAGAAAATATTAATTTCTGAAATCTTTTTCAGAAGGAATGAGAAAGTTTAAAGCGCGTAGTTGGACTACAATTATGTGATTAGGATGTATAAACCTATCACAATCTTCGTACCTGGAATATATATAGGTATGAGTTTATAAGCTGTAAAAATTGTACATTTGTAAAAAATGCATTTAAAAAGATTTTAATACAAACCCTTTTTAATAGATCTAAGTAGAGGCTGCGTTTCTGCCGAAACTTGGGCAACCTTTTTACACAAGCGCTGCAGTGGTCTAAAACTCCCTTTTGGGTAAGAGAAGAAAAAACATTCTTCTAAAAAATATGCAAAAACTAATAAAGCATTTTTATAGACTGAGCAGCGTGTAAAGGTTGAACGGTCGAAGTTTCTCTCGACAAAGATTAAATAGGTATTAAATCTAAAATGTATTTTCTAATTATGCATACAAAAATACACCACGGTTTTCTATAAGTAACTTTTATAGAAAACTGAAACCAGTGCTGAGGCAGTGCTGGAAACCTACCCTTTAGTACAGTGTAAACTGCTGTGCTCAACCTGGACTTTGTCAAGTCTTCAAGTCCCGAAAGGTAGATCAATTTCACATAATAAAAAACACTGAACAATTTGTGAAAATTAATATTATTGAAATCTAACAATTCAATAATAAATAAATAACGTTGTTATTTAATTAGAACTCTTGGTGTGGAGTTTGAGAATCTCTGTAGGTCGATGTAAACTAAAATGGTCCTACAGGTGATTAGATAAATTGTTTCTGAAAATGTTAAAACAAATAATTAAAAAATATTTGTAAACGATTTATATAAATATTTTTATAATCAGTTAATCAATAATTCGTTTAGACATTATTGATCGATTGATGAGTATGCAAGCATTGAACTGTGAACTACTGTGCTCTCATGTAAATGGATACCCACCGTAATGTAAGTTTTTATTTTTGTATTCTTTCATAAAAACTATATTGTCCTAAAAAGTCCAACCTATAAAATCTAAAAAGCCGCGCTATAAAAATTGCATTTTTCGTACTTGTTTGTATATATTTTATATTTTTATAAATTATTTTATATTTCAGTTTTCACCTGTTTTTGGATTGCTGTCTATAAATAAATTCTAAACTGACAGGAGTCTTTAATCCGAGTGATAAAGAGGAAGCTTTGCTTATAGCATTCCATTATAAACTAAATCTTCAGGGTACATTGATTGTGCCCGTTCGTAAAGTGGGAGCACGAATGAGTATAAAATAAACCGAACGAACCAGCTTTGGCTGGAAATCACAAATATTGCTTAGTATTTTTAGGGCAGGGTTGCGGAAAGGTGGATTTTTATAAAATTAGCCTAACATGGGAAGTTTGAATAGTATATTTTGAGGGTAACTGTTGAATTAGCGAACAAAGGTTTATAAATTTCTTGGAAGAAGGTTCAAAATTGAAACAATAGAAAAGAAAAATGTTCTACATTTTATCCACGCTCTGAGATGAAAATAGAAAACACAGCAAAATCAAGGGTGCTTATTGCTAAGATTAAGAAGAATTACGGCAGAAAACTGATTAGTAGAGAAGGGGGGTGGGGAGGGGGATCTGAACGTAAATAGTGCTTTGTTAAGCATAGATGTAACTTTACCTGGAGGAATGTTAACAAGTTTTTCAGGAGGGTTCCTCACCCAGCTCCTGTACCAGAGTGTAGAGTCTAGGGCGGAGTAGAATTGAGAATTAAAATGATGCATCACGGGTTTATCTCTACTCTCTAGACTAGTTCGGAGAAGGCAGATTAGATAGAACCTGAACTGAGCCCGAACCCATTCATCTCCACCTTCCCAGCCTACACCTAGATATTAGATACATTAACCACCAATCCGATCCATAACCAACCAACCAACCAACCAACCAACCAACCAACCAAACAACCAACCAACCAACCATCAACCCAATCAACCGGTGGACGAACCAGTTTGTCAACCAGAATAAAACACAAAACCTAGGTACGTTTGTACTAATTTGTGACTTATGTGAGCTAAAAGTAATACTTTTTGAACAAAACAATGATGTACCTTCCATAAACTGATCCCTTCCTTCCTCTGATACAACTCTGATCACATTATCAATAAATCTCAAGTCCTCGGTAGTGAGAGATATTGCTCTTCGTAGTTCTGGATTATTAACCTCCAACCTATCCTCGTCTATCTCCAGGATAACATCAGATATACCAGACTTGGCTTTAAACAACGCATTCGTGGCTCCGATGATGTATCCGTGAATACTGGGTTGCATCAAAACATCTAAAATTCAGGTGTAAAAGGAAGGTTCATAAGTTATGAAAAGTGGTGTTAGATAAAACATTATTTTGTGAAGACTAATTTAAAAATCTCGTCCACACTTTACTTCCTGGCTCGATATTTTCACCTTTGCTTGAAATATTTTATTTAAATTTGTTGCAGATTTATGATTCTTATCATACCAATTCGTATGCTGATATATTTCAAATAAAATCCAATAAAAAATAAAGATTATTAGATTAAGAACCTTTTTTATCAAATCAAATCAAATCAAATCAAATCAAATCAAATCAAATCAAATCAAATCAAATCAAATCAAATCAAATCAAATCAAATCAAATCAAATCAAATCATATTATATTTCGTATTCATGATAATACATGAACTTGTACTATGTTTAGAGTTTCAAAATATAAACTAAACTTCAAATGTATAAAAAATATGAGATTAAATAAGCGTTCTTTTTCGCCTGAAAGAGGCTGTGGGCGTAATTTTAAGTGACCCTAACATTTAAAGACTGGAATTTTTGATTCACAACAGTTCCTTTGAACCTTTATCTGTGAAACAATGATGAAAATATCCTCACTTTCTATCTAACATGTTCAATTCTGACAATTTCCTATATCATCAATGATAAGGCATAGGTTTAAATGGTAACGTGGTGAATCTAACATGACACTTCATAAATGGGAGGTCAATTAATGTTAAGTCTACCGTCTGACCCCTTTCAGGCCTAAAAGAAAGCTCTCATAAATGCAAAGGCCCTTAAACCCCTAAGATTAATTCATAGGTTACAAATGACCTTTAAAAACTTGATAAATATTGATAAAAATCTAACATTTCAAACTTGTTTAACATTCATCATTCTTATCTTATGTTGTTAATATTTATATTAGGAGTGGAATGGTTTTCCAGATGAAGAAAGTTTAAAAATGCAATTTCAGTTTGAAAGTTTTGGTTGTTACTTGATATTTCCCTCCAAACTAATTTATTTTCACCAAAAGTTTAGTTAGTTAAAACAAGAACTTTTTTCTTCTATAGTGACAGTTATGTTTGATAAAACGCTGGCTCAATCATAGAATGAAAGTTTGTATATTTAATATTTTCATTATATTTAATGAACTGTTCACCTAAATAAGGAAGAGAGAGATATGGATGGCACAAGTTTCCAGCTGTAAAAATCTTCAAAGGTAAATCTAAAATATAAAACTATTAAACTCTTAATCAACGCAGAAAAAATACTTTATTTAATTTGAAGCTGAACGCCAATCTGACAAGTCGACGTACCTAATTCATGGATAGGTATTGACGCTGTTTGCGTAAAGTTTGGTAACTCTTGAACCGTCTCTTCTTTAACCTCCTCTGCAGGTTCAGGGAAACCAGGGTTCTCTCCGGAGGGAGTTTTCCCACTGGAGATATAACCTAGAGCTCCAGATAACCGATCTTTAACCCTTGAGGAGAGGGACTGGAGACTGTCTGAATGCGGGATGAAGGAATTCACGGATGGTGAAGGACTGATACTTTTTACACTCTCATTGTCAGCCTGAGAAATAAAGATCAATATTAAAATAATATACAGGGACTTAGATACATACTAGGAGTGAGTATAGAAGGGTCGGGGATGAACGAAAAAATGTTAAAAGATCAAGATTATTAAGAATTAAATTTTAAAAAGTAAGAATTTTACAAATTAGAAATTAGAATATAAACAAAGACAATATTTTTTCAAAGTTTTGCAGAGCAGCTTTTCTAAAGATTTAAAAAAGTTACATCTTTTTCTTCTTAGAGTAAAACTATTTTTTATGTTACTTAAAATAAATTCAGTTTTTTAATCAACTATACTATGCTCCGGAGTATGTTCTGGAGTATCCTCTGGAACTATACAGAAGGACTCCGCTACCCCCCCCCCTCTACCTCTATATCTACCTCTAGGGCAGGATCAACTATACTATGCTCCGGAGTATGTTCTGGAGTATCCTCTGGAACTATACAAGAGGACTCCGCTAATCCTTCCTCTAGTAAACCAGGGAACAAGGATAACAGGGTCAATATATCACCTGAAATACAGGGTGTCCCATTAAACATGGGAATTCAGTGACGACTTCGAGATTGTCTTTGTTAGGAATAAGAATTGTAATGCCCAATTTTAAGAGTCATAGTAATGTTAGTCAGTAAAAGCTAGGTTTTATTCTACAAAAATTGCATGATTTCTTTAATAAATTTCTGCAAAATGAACCAATGAACTATGAAGGTCAACTGTACTTTGCTTGTATACAATAAGTAAATACTTAATCGATAATCATTTATAAGCCGATCTCGAAATCTTCACTGGATTCTCATGCATATTTAGATACCCATTTTGTATTAAATAGTACGAATTATTTTGGATTATACAAAGTCAATTAAAAAAAAAATGAATAAACAACCTTGACACTTCGAATATAAAAACTAATTTTCAATATATATATTATATAACATAATTAACCTGAGAGCTCAGAGACTGGAGATTTAAAAAACAAAAGTTTTCTCTCTAATAGAACAAGTTTAAACAGCTGAAGACATTTCTGTTTATATCTCGACACAAACTCCCTGGCGGAGAGCCCAACATACAACTGCTGGGTGTGCAACATGTCGTCGGAGAGACACTCGTTCAGGTTCTCGTAGGTTTCCTTGATCAACTCAGTCTTGGAGAAATCTCCTTCTTCAAAGTAAGCTTGGGTGATCAACGACATTTTAACCTAGAATGATAAAATCTGGAAATCAAATAAAATCATTGATTTTATTTGGAAGTTTCAAATTAAAGATTTAAGTTTTGTGATTTGTGAATTATCTAAAACTTAATGAAGATAATCTGTACCTGGATCTGGCCGTAAAGTGGAAGACGACTGAGCACACAAACAGATTTCTGTACAGTGCCACGTGTTATATCATCGGTCTTGATTTTAACCTGAAAATCTGTGTCTTTGAACATCTAAGAGTGACTGATTTTCAAAAATCACAGCTGCGCCTCTATCAATATCATGATCAATCATTATTCATTGATCTCCATCTTATGCAGACCTCCAGATTAATTCAATTCCTCAATGTTCATTACCCTGAAGGGATGACTTTAATTAAGGGATTAAGAATTGATCCTGAAGTTAAACAGTTCCCACGTTGGATATTAAAATCAAGTATTCAAGAATAACAATATTTACACAATATTAAACATGTGTAGAAACCTTATCTGCATCTATTTGTCTGTAGCAGGATATTCCAAAGACTGTTTGTCGAGGATTGTGTAGAGCGGGGAGATGAAAGAAAACAGTATCCTCAAATACAATATTCAAACTATCAAGATTTAAAGATGTTTTAAAGGTTTAACAAAATTAATTCACGATAAATGTTTTTTTTTCGTTTTTAGGTCATAGCTTAACAGGGTTAATTCGGAAACGGACGAGTTAGAGTGGGTTTTAATAAGTTTTTTCAAATTTAATTTATATGGCCTTGGACGTCTTTATAACTTTATCTAACCTTTACTTTAAGTAAGACTATTTCATCAAAAAGGTCAAATACTTGTCGTATTTTTATTTTTACAGCAGAAAAAAAAGAAGCAACATTTGTTAAAAAACAAAGAGAAAAATTAAAACTTAAACATATTCTGTAATTAACGAATAAAAAAAAAATACAAGTCATTGAGATGATAGATTTTTTAATTTGTCTAAAAATGTTGATATGGGTATCAAAAGATGCGTCTCGTGATTTAACACTAAAAAACTATTTTTTTAAAACTCGCACATCTTTTCAAAAACTAACTAATGAATATAAGCTGCCTGTGTGAAATTATGAGATCCATCTGGAAGAGCTAGCGAAGGAAGGTTTCTCCACTGGGATGGAATCTCATTTGAGAAACTCTGTCCACCTGATCAATTATTGATTATTTGCCTATTTTTCAACTCAATAAGCATCGACATTCGACATTTGAATTATAAAAACATACTTAATTTACAGCCTTATTTAATAATATATATCAAACTAGCTGAAGGGCTCGGTGTTGTTTTGAAAAAAACAGATTTTTTTTAGCCTTTAACATCCCCCGGCCACCCATGAATGTCCACAAAAAATGTCAGTCCATTTGGTCCAGCCGTATGGTCGGCTATATGCAACATATATATGAATGTCTTGTTTTATTAAGAATAAGAATAATTATAAGATCTGCAAGGAACCCCGACATGGAATCCCAGACCGTCCTCAGGGTGCAGTGCATCAACATGCATGTTGCATGTTTTAATATAAAAAAGGTAAGTGTGCATGGTCTTACAAAGTACAAAAAGATAAATTTGCACGTTTTAATATAAAAGAAAAAGGTAAGTGAGCATGTTGTTGTTAAGTATAAAAAGGTAAGTTTGCATGTATTAAAATAAGAACAAGGTGAGTGTGCATGTTGTTCGTACAAAATAATTTAGTTAATATCAATACTGATCTATGTTGAAAAGATCAATGTAAGGAGCGTGTAAGAATGAATAACTAGTGTAATAATTTCCATTCTTTAATGCTTTGAGCGTGTAAGAATAAGCATTCTTAAACGCTAAGAAGCAAACAATATTGGAAATTTTTTCTCCTGAATCCTGGAATAATGGGAATTCTAACAAATGAACAATGTACTTGCCTTCCATTGGACATTTTCATCAAACTACTGAGTCTCAAAGCATACTGCCCTGCTCCGACTGCCTACTTTAGTCAACTTTTTTTTTTACTTTTTCTTCATAGCAAATCTTTGCCTATTTGTAATAGTGGGGTCAGAGCTTTTTAAAAATGGAAAGGTTTGTCATGTGTTCACGATTTCAATCAATTGTTTTCTTACTTTAAAAGGTTTTAAAGTACACCTCAGCTTGAGTCAGCAGTCATCAAATCTCGCATAGCTCGAGATGATGAAGTGAAACCTCAATCAAAACCAACAAAGTTTAGTTTATAAAAACTTATCATTAAAGTACTAGTGTCACGAACTTTTAGTGGGGTCTTAGCACTCCATACTCCATAGCAATGAAAACAAACCAACAAATCTTGCTTCATGAATAAAAGGCAGGGATCTTCATGACGAACTGGTTCTTACTAGAACTCCTCTTTTTGGAAGATTTAGGATCTAATATCCAGGACATGATTTCTTCTGTAAATGATTTCACGATTTTGTTCAGTAGGATTAAGACAACCCATTACTATACCCTCATCCCATCTAATTCAGGGCACATTCAACATGTTTTATCAAAATGTAGTATCAACTTGAAAAAACAAGCAATTCATTAGAAATTGGTTAACAAACAAACTAAACTAAGGAAACAATCACAGCACATGCATTGAATGCATTACTTTCAAATTAAGAACCAATTTTCACTTATAAAATGGGTTTTAACATTTTAGCATTGTAACATTAGAAAAAAAACAAAACAAAAAACAGTAATAGTCAGGACAAGAGCATAATATTTTTTAGAAACCGTTCAAAACGTTAACTGATCCAACTTGAAATAGTCGGATTATTATAGATCATTTATTATCTCTTGATCATATTATTGATTATTTATTATCTCTTGATCATATAATAGATCATTTATTATCTCTTGATCATATTATTGATTATTTATTATCTCTTGATCATATAATAGATCATTTATTATCTCTTGATCATATTATAGATCATTTATTATCTCTTGATCATATTATTGATTATTTATTATCTCTTGATCACATAATAGATCATTTATTATCTCTTGATCATATTATTGATTATTTATTATCTCTTGATCATATTATATTTATTATCTCTTGATCATATTATTGATTATTTATTATCTCTTGATCATATTATTGATTATTTATTATCTCTTGATCATATTATTAATTATTCAGTCTTCTAAGTTAATATTTTAGCTTATGCTATTTATACTGTATATTAATAAAAATAAATATGATTTTTTTTGTGGTCATTATTTCACGCTTCTCTTAACACTAAAAAATAAAAAAATTTATTTTTCTGAAAGGCTTAGCTTCAAGCAAGTGGAAAAATTACATTGTTTTTGACAAATATTTTATCTATAATGGGAAAAGTGTAGGACGAAAGATAATGGTAGTGGAAGGTCGAAATAAAAAAACAATTAGAGGAGGGGGGGTAATAAAAATATACACCCATGCTAATTAGCTGACTCAGTTTACCTGGAATAAGGGGAGGGTGCGCGTATTCCACTTGGCAACCTTTCTTATGATGGAACCCGACCACAACTACATGAAGAACAGGGGAGCTAGTATCATAGTTAGAGAGGGAGGGGGACACTCCCTCCCTCGGAGAATCATTTTCATTCATTAAATCTGAAACAACTCAATGTTGTTATTGATAAAACCAAAAAATTTTCATATATTTATATCAGCTAGATGTACAAAACTTCCAAAATCTGAGAACAACATTAAGATTAACGTTGCCTTACTCAGGACCCGAAGAGAAAATGTTTTTAGTTCCGAAAAAAGTGTTTATTTTGATTACTCCACAAGTTGTGGATCCCGTCTTAGATCTGAATGTTTTGTGGATTTGAAATATCCGTCCTGGGACTGTTCTCGGAGTATCGCGTGTCTTCTCCAGGATGGGATCTAAATAGATGATTGTTATCTATAGGACGGGATCTAAATAGATTTTTGTTATCTATAGGACGGGATGAACAACAAATCTTAAGAAATGGTTTTGTTTTTTTATTGAATGCTTAGAAAATAAGTTTCTATTTTATCAATTTATCCACAAAACCAAATTTTAACGCCAATTTGCTCTAAAAAACTTCATCTATTTTTATAGTTTCCCAATAGATCTAAAAACATAACATAATAGCTTATTGGAGGAGAATTTCTCCAAAAATATAACCCTGCAAAACATCTTTGACTTACTTTATAACTCTGTCTGGGATTGAGAGATTTTTCTCCAACAGGCCCAGGGAACACTTCAAGAAGATCATCAGCATGTGCTTCAGGATAGTCCATAAATTCTCTTGTATCTCCTTTGAACGGATGGGTGTGCTTCAACTTTTTCTAAAAATGTTCGTAAGTTAATGATAATATTTGCCATACAAGCATATAAATGATAAAAATTAAATACAAAATGACAATTTTAAACCAAATCCCTCATGTAGATAGATGCTAGACATTTAACTTTAAAATAAATACCAATTTCAAACAAATATATCTTTTTTTTTAAATAGTACCATATAAAATTGTCATCATGGGACAATATCATTTCTTTTCTATATTTTATAATCAAGAAAAACCAATAATTGTTCATTCTAACATACAAAAAAAAATTCGGATATTTTTCTAGGATCAGCGCAAAATTTCAAAATCATAGAAGGATCTGAACATATTTATCATCAAAGTCCCAAAAATAAATATACTAACAATTAAAACTTCCTTCTCTATATCCTTTGGGTCCCTATGCCTGTCCATGAACTCGTTAAACCCCTTGGCCTTGTTCATCTCGAAGAACTGGTTCCAGGGTTTAATGAACGGAAGAGGAAACTCGTATTCATATCTAGGTTCCTGAAAACAAGATATAAAGTTTTTCAGTAATTATTAAGTAAGGAAAGAAACTAATAATTCGCATCAAACTCAAATTTTCTAACCCCTACATTTTGCAACCTGAGAGTGTAAACCTATGAGTACAGTGAAAGGCGGGTAATCGATTTTTTATTGTTACCAAAAATACTATATTCAATGTTTAATAGGACTAAGTAATGTATTAATAATAATAATAATAACGAAAGATATTAATTGATATTCAGCTTCTCTTATATTTAATTCTAATAGACATCTCGCTGGTAAAAAAAGAGATTGTTTAACAACAAAATATTATCCTACTAAAATGTCAACTTTTCTTTGTGTTTCTAATAACATTAAAACGCGAAGAAAAAGAAAAAAAAGAAATTCTAACGGAATGAACGTTCATGGTCTCTAACCTTCATATTTAGGACGTTATGAAAGAAATCTCTGAGAGACGGTTCATAATCTGACTGGAAGAATGCTAGTCCTGCCGGAGTCAGGTTCTCCTGATGCTCAGAATAAAAATCAAATGTATTAAACGTTCTCTTCGCCAACTCAACCGTATCCTGAGATTAATTAGTGAAAAACAACAAATAATGAAAATAATCAGTTTTCAAAAAATTTTACATGAATATCTAATTCATACTTGGATCAAATATAGCTTTTCAGGGTAACGTTAAGGATGGGCATGCCACGGTTTTGGTGAAAGATTACTTGAAATCACGTTTACAGCCCCATTAAATCAAGATTAACCAATTAATTTCCTCAGGTTTAGAGATCACACCAAGGTTTATTCTTGTCTCCTGTTTATACAAAACAAAAGCAAATCTATGGAATCCTGTTCCAAATGGAGGAAAAGGTTGAAGGTAGTTTGCTATTTCCTCTCCGGAGTTTAAATCTGAACCTCGTATATTTGTAACCATCCAGTGTAGGTACTCCGCACCCTCCTCTACTAAATGAGAGTCTGGGGCAGTGAGAACTAGAGTCCAGAGATCATCGTCTTTACTCCGCCAGGATACTTCAGGTTGGGTTCCAGCTTCTCCGGGTTTAATTATGTTTCCCCGGTATACCGGAGCCATCATATCATTCTCCAGTGAGAAGGCAATATTCAGGTCAACACAAGGATAGAAATATCCATGTCTGAACAGGAATATGGTTTAGAACCATAAATTTACAATACTTGCAATATTATTCGCTTAGTTTTCAAATTTTAAATCAACTTCCCGCTTCAAAATTGTTATTTGATAATTCATTTTTTAAAACATTATTTCTTTTTAATTAATTTTTTTTTAATTCTTCAAATATTTTGAAGTTTATCATTTCCAATCGTGTTTGCAGGGAGCGTACATTCAAAAGTTTTTTTATCGCTATTGGAAAAAGATTAATGAATTGATAAAAAGTATAAAATAGAAGTCATGCTTACTAATCGAAGTCCAATTTTCCACCCCTCAGAATATTAAAAATTAAAACCATAGATAAATAAATAAACAAAGATAGCTTATGTACGCAAAAACACCAAGAATTGTACAGTCCGCGAACTCATACTTCTAGGGGTCAAAGTGTACTATAATGATAAGCGGGGTGGTTTGGTGTTTTAATGGATTTCATAATTATTAAACCACTCAGGAGTGAATTTTATTTTGAGAATATCAAATTATATATATCTATATAATAGGAATATCTTTAAAACATCTGTGTACATTTATATCTTTCAAAATGAAAAATGTCGTCTTATGCGCAATCTATCTTTATCTATGATTAAAACTCTAAGTTTAGACCTGAATAAATCTTCATATATTCCGTATAGTTCAGCAGATTTATAAATATCTTCGAACACAGCTCCGGATTCAATCCACTCCTGCCGAACCTTACCCAGATCAACCTTAGAGTTAGAAATATAGATATATTTAATTACTTAAGTATTTGTTTATATGATGAATTATCAACGCGGTGGTCTATACCCAATAATTTCAAAGTTATAAATACGCAAGAGTTATTGTGTGCATACAAATTACTAGCTGAAGTGCCCAGCGTTGCCCGTGGAATTTTAAAAATACTTCAAATTTTTTAATTTTGAATAAAAAAATTTACGGACGTAAAAAAACTTTTTTTTAAACCGGAATTGAAGTTCGTTGCCAATAAAACTTACCGTTAGAGTTTCTTCTCTTGCAGCTTTCTCCAGAGCTCTGTCTTTACGTGTTTCTCTTCTCCACTGGAGAACCTGGTCCCGGTCCAGCTTCTCTCCTCCAACCTTCCTATAATAGGATTCATAAGACCCAAAGCAAAATGCACAATATGGTTACAAATGTCCTTTATCCATTTCATTCCGGTCCACACCAAGGTTATTAAAGGATGAGCTCTTTACGGAAAATGTAGTCTCCTAATATAGAAAGATAAAACCTCCACTCTCGCCTCTATAATCACTGACGTCATATGAGGTTTTTAGGAGACGACATTTTCCGTACATTGGAGCGCATCCGGAGTTAACAACCTTATTAACGAACCTTGGCCCCTTCAGGATACAGGATACTAAACACAATACTGAATGCAACAGCTTCTACCTTCCTCTATATACTGGATAGAGACAGGATGCAGAACAAACCAAAAAGGATTTAAGATACAGGATTTACGATGAAGGAAAAAGAATACAGACTGTAGGATTTTGGATCCTACAACAGAATAAAAGACTTCCGAATTCATAAAGATACTTACTTAAATCCAATATTAATTCGTTCTATGTTATTTTCTTTTTGAAAAATTTCGTCCAGGCGTTCCTAAAACAAAAAAAATAGAATGCCAAGGGTTTGCTCTTTTTCTGAAATTTCAAAATTTTAAGAACTTCACTAGAATTCCAAAACCTAAAAAACCTAAAATTGTATCAGTACCTGTAAGGATTGGTCTACTCCTACTCCTGGTCCTCTCTCGTCAAAAAATGGAACCCTGACATAAGGAGAGTTTTGTCCTGCCATCCCTGTAGGTTGCCTGCTCCTACAGGATCTGCTCTCTATCCTCTATATACACAAATCATTCGGTTCTTTTATAGACCAAAATGCATTGCAAGGATTTACATTTACAAGATTCCCCCCCCCCCCCGACATAAACTGGCAAGTTTAATCACCTTTTTGCGAAATAAAAATCTACCCAAAAAGCATTTATTTATCCCAATCTAGCAATACAACCCTATTTTTTTACGTTTATCCAGGCGTATTTTACATCTGAGAGAAAAAATTCTTTTCAAGAGGGGAGATGGGGGATGATTTTACCCCTGATGCATTGAGTTCCGTAAAATAAGTAAAATATTACAAAAGAATTTATCAAATGCACTTTTTCACAAAACATAAAAACTTTGCAACTTTTCCACTCAACAGATATATCAAAATAATACAAAAAAATGTAAACAAAACTGAAGTTTGTTACTCATCATAATCTAAATCTAGATTCTAACAGTCAGAATATTAGGCAACGACCAAACCTGTCTTAACCATACAACACATGCTCAAATTTTGCATATATTGTTTTATGTACTGTCAATGAATAATTAGCTCAAATTGGAAAAATTGTTAGTTCCAGACTTTTGACCCAAAACAACTTATTGTTTGTTTTACTTTTAAAGGTCACACTTTAGGGTGTATTTTCTTTCTTTATCTCAAAAAAAATAATCTCGATTTTCGGAGAAAAAAATATTATTTTAGTCTTCTATCTATACTCTCTGAAAGTTTCACAAAAAGCTAAGAAATCGTTCAACGTAATTAGATGGATATTTGAGAAATTATGTCGTTTAATGATCACAAGATAAATAACCGAAAAAATTTTTCAACCAAATAATTATAACAATATTTTGTTAAAATAAGGCTGTAGTTTAGTAAAAAAAAATACTGTTAAGAGGTCTGTCAAAGATTTACAAAACGAAGCCACCGTAAATGAGAATATAATAAAAAATTATCTACTACACATAATATATGAAGACTCCTTTTCTTACAGAACTTCGTCATTGAATCTCTTATTTAGCTGATTTTCAATGTTAATCCATCTTCTAAGATATAAATTGCTAGAATGACTTTTCCTGTATTGTTGAAACAGTGAGAAGCCAGGGTTTGGATCCAGGTACTGAGTAGGGTGCGGAGAACGTCAGACATTGTGAGAGACGGGTCACCCCGCTCCGTCCTAGGCTACACATATCTGAAATATTACATCACTGCAGGTCAACTCTTAATATACTTGTGTTTATATATGTATATGTTTATATATATATATATAATTAATTTTATTAATTAATACATATAATTTATATTGAGATGAATGACTGTAGTAAAGCTATTGTTGAACAATTGTGCTTCTGCTGCTGCAAGCTCGAAGGTGAAGTATAATAAGACTGCAGTTTTGAAAACAAAGAACAATGAAATTTATTCACTAATTTTGAACATCAAAGTTTGCTTTGTGAACAAGCCTTTGGAATAAAAAGCAACTATCTTGGTAACGCAAACTTAGGATTCATAGAATAGATAATAATAACGTTTAATATTAAGATGATAGGGAGGATAACAATTGTATCAGGGACTCAGGGAAGGGAAGGAAGGTATCAGGGTGGGGGGAAGGAAGGTATCAGGGATGGGGGGAAGAATTGTATTTACTTTATTATGCAATTGACAGAAAAATTATTATTTAAACCAGTAAATCAAAAAAAGGGCGTAGTTGCTCATTGACTTCTAGACTTTTAGAGGGTTAAGATATGCTGACAAATCTACAGCACGAACATAGAAACAATGGACGGTAAGTTTACGCTCACATTTATGTACTGACAATTTTATACATATTAAATATTCTAACGAAAATTTGTTTAATTTACAATCATAATTTTAGAAAACGAAAATTTAAATTTTTCCCTGATATGCAATCATCTTTTACATACATGTATTTACACTGATTCATAAATATATGTAAATACTTTCTTCTAAATTTTGTAGAATTTTTAAATAAAAAAGTTTCCAAGCAGCATCCCAACATAAAATTATTATCATTTGCAAAACTCGAGATGAACCTCAACATCTCCTAATACCGTACGAATTAACTCTAAATTATCAAAAAAAACTGGAAGAAATCTTTTTACGGTTTGTATTTAAGCTAAGAGGTTTATGTTTTGGAGGGATTTAGACTAAAAATTGTTTTATTTAGAAAATTAATTTTGCAAGTGAAAACTACTCCAGGAAAAATAAATCATGGAAAGGTTATGACTGAAACAATATTGCTAGAATGTTTTAAATTGTTGGATGTTTTTGTGATTTCTTAAACTGTGATGGATCGGCGATATATAGATTATATCTGACGATAAAACTTGTTGTTTTGATGGGGAGATAACAAGAATAACTTAGAAAATTTAGAAAAAAATACTGAACAGTCCCTTTATGAATTAAATAACTAGAAGAACAGCACTGACGAACCCTCAATTAGCCCAACATTAATCACTAATGAGTTCACTAACATCACGTCGAAGAACCAGGTTGAGAGTTAGGAACTAGGGATATCAGAAGCGTGAGATAACAATGGTTTTGAGCAAGATAAAGGTGTAGCGTTGTAGCTAAATAGCAAGTATTGAGTGTTTTTGTGTACTGTGTTGACAAATACACACGTGACAAAGCTTGTACTGCATTGTACTGAATGTACTCAATAATACAAACGAACTTTAACACTAAAAATACTAAATAGACGAAGTACAGGTACACAGGACACGGGGATTCAAGTTGGATGAGAAACAGTTCACTCGGATATTTTCATGCTCATCATTGAATGAGTTCTAGGTTTCAGTTCCGGTCAGACGTATGACGGACTGATATAATTTCCAGGAGGACCCGGAGGACTGAATCCAGGTTCAGGTTCTTCAAACTTCGCAGACTCAAGCTTCGGAGCAAGTCTAGAGAAAACATTTTACTTTAATATATATACACTTTGCTTGTTTGTATCCAATAAACGTAAAAATGGCTAAACTGATCCTGACCAATTTTTTTGTGGGACCTTTCATGACCCGAGGGATGGAAGGTTTATGGATGTTCAGAATTAAAAAAAAACTTTTAAAAAACTTAAATTTGTCAAAATCCACAAAAAATATCGATAAATTGTCACGTTTTTTGTTATTGATTTTTTTAAATTAAAAGAGAAAAAGTCTTTAAACTAAAGATTTAAAGTATTTTAAACAAATGTTCGCACTGTAGTACATACTAAAAGAATTCTGTTCAGGAACTTTTTTTAAAAGAGGAAATTTTACCTTGAATATTGACGCGAGGCCGGGTTTGGTTGAAGAACTAGTTCCTGGGCTTGTTGTACAGTAATGTATCCGGTATCATTCTAAATAGAGAACAGTAAATGATATTTTTAGGGAAGAAAAACTGCTGAATTCGGTGATTGATTAACACTTAATATATCACTTAATATATCACTTAATTGGTTGATTAATGATTTTGGCATTTGAGGACTTTTCTTACAGTTACGTCTTTAAGCAGAAAATTGTTAAAAACGTCTCATACCAAAGAACGTAGCGTCCATGCAAATTCAGAAAGTTGCAACATTCGACTCAGATTTTACATAATTCAATTAGTTCCAAACAAATCATTGACAACACAACCTTTAATCATCGATTTTTTTCTCGACGCATTCGTGTAAAGTTGATATTTCATTATATTTTGTTTTTGATTTTTATATGATGCAATTCAAACGACTAGTTGGCCCCCAGGTGTCTCTGCTCTCGATGTTTCTCTGGTTCCACGTGGGAGAGACATCTTGCGGACAAAAAATCGTCGTTTTAAATGCATTGCATATAAAACAAATAAAAAATATTATGAAATATCAACTATATATACGAATGCGTCTAAAAAAATCGATGATTAAAGGTTGTAATATCTGAATGAGTTGTTTAGAATTTAAGTGAATTTTTTACTATCCAAGTCTAATATTGCAACTTTCTGAATTTGCGTGGACGCTGCGTTCTTCGGTATGACTATGAGTCGTTTCTTACAATTTTCTCCTTATAGACGCAACAGGATAGAAGTAAGATTAATAGCAATCACCATCGAATATTTTTTGATGTAAGCCTATACACTATACAGTATACCCCCGTTCATTTTTCGCGAACATTCCCTTTAGGTTAACACTTCCAAAAAAATCTTTTATCAAATCAAAAAGAAATTTTGCCCCCACCCCACCCCCCTCCCTCGTAATTTTGTGAAGGTGGATGATTCAATTCTTTACATAAAAAGATGATACAGTCGTTGAATGGTTTGAGAATAAAAACGAAAGAAATATCGCATAACAAATCAAATTAATAGAAGGAAAGTAATGCATGCCAATCATTATTTACCTGTATAAAGTTCAACTGCTCTGCTATTCCTAATCGTTGAGGAATATTACTCTCTACATGTTGGGAGCTAAGGTGTAAATTATTTGTTTCTAAAGGACGGTTTGCTACTCCAGCGGATACATATCCTGAACCTGGGACAGTAACAGAACGCTCTTCTGGAAAGGATATCGGGACGGATACCGTCCCAGTGAAAAGAGAATATCCTGGATTGTTTGACTCAGTGAGACAAGTTTCCTCTAGCATAGCTCCAAGCACCTCAGGTTGGTGAGAGCTAGAAAGACGGTTCCCGAAGGTTTGATTCCCAGCTCTACTTAGATACGGAGCACTGGATACCAGGCCCGGGCCAAATCCGTTAGAATACTGGGCGGAGAAGGAGGAGGTTGCAGGGGTAACATCAATATTAACTGGATGTATTGATGCCGGATTACTACAGGGCCTTGACGGTGTTCCTGACAGCTGAGTATAGTTGGATCCGGATCCTCCCGAATCAGCTCGATGCATAGATACGTATCCACTGCAGGTGCTAGCGAGATCTGCTTGAACAGGAAGGTGAGATCTACTTGAACAGTCGGATACTCGGTCAGTGCAACTCTTTCCACCTTGAGATTCACAACCCGATGTTAAATCAGACGTGGCAGACTCACTCGCGGATTTTTGTCTGTGATTTTTCTGCTCCGGGGTTGTATTCTCTAGCAGCAAAGTATCCGTATCATCATCATCGTTATCATCCTTTCTAACGGAGTTCCCGGAGAACTGATTCATCTCGAACTCTGGACCCGGGGATCCAGGATCAAGATTATCCGTAGAGGCTAGAACAAACTTAGTATCCAACTCCTTTCCAACCTGGCCGAAGAAATCTTTAGTTTTATACCAGAACTGGTAAAACCTGCAGCAGAGAAAAGCAGCAAAAACCGCCGCTATCGAGACAACAACACAAACTAGAGTAATAAGTCCCCAGGCAGGAACCTGACTACAGTAAGCTGCTGCAGGTACACTCTCACTCCAGTTCCCTGCGTACTCAACCTCTTTTAAATCTTTAACGATCGCTCGAACCGCAAACTCAAACTTGTTTGTGTTCGTCTCGTTCTCACAGTCTGGTGACCAGCCCTTTATATCCATGATATGGTCCAGGTGGAGAAAGAACTGATCTAGAGCTCCAGTAATATTCTTGGTGTAAGGTTTGGTTGTATCCCAAGCTGAGCCGGCGCGTCGAACCTTAACCTCCCATTTCAGCGCCTCCGGGGCTCCGATCTAAATTAAAAATTGTTATAATTAGAATTAATTAATATCATTCTAGAATATTTTGACAATAATAGTTTTAAAAAGGTCATAATTAGTGAACATAATTACTAAGACCTACACTAACAAACAAAATAACGAATACAATATATTGCTATAATTACCTGGAATTGTTTATTCCAATTAATCTTAACTAAGGTAGAGTTTTCAAACTCTATCCTAGGAGGAGGAGGTTTAGCCGGGGGTCCAATTTTTGTTTTAAATCCGTGCACGGCGTAGTGGTGACTGCAACCAAGTGCACCTTCCTGCAGTACGGTACATGCTGTAACATTCACCTCGTACCTGGACAGTACACAACGTAAATCATGTTATAACTTTGCCAATGTGTAAATCTATCAGCTCTATTTTTTACAGATTACTTAAATAGATATACAGTGAGAACCAGAAAACTCTGGAATAGGAAGACTACTGATAAACTCAAGTGTTAATTTGAAATAGTTCTAAGAACATTAGACACAGCAAGTTTGTTGTGTAAACAGACTCATTTCACTTATTTCTTACTAGTAGAGCAAGTACACTCAAGTATTGCTTTAATGTCATCTTCCTTATACAGAGTTTTCTGGGTCCCGTCGTGGATAACGAGACAAATGGAATTTTATGATCAACCCCCACCCAAACTTTTTTTATTGATCTCTGTACCTTGAGTAGCTGATAAGGTTTGTTAGCACTGCGCTAGTTGAGTTTATAAACACATCATGTCTTCCCTCTCGCTTATTCTCGGAGTTAAAGTACACGTATTGAACACGGTATTCGCCGATTATTCCATTCGGCACTGCCGGAGGTTCCCACGAGATCAAGGCGGAGCTTGAGGTGATCTCGTCTACTTGAAGGCGGAGGGGCGGAGAACCCGGCTTATCAGGCAGAGTTTCTCCTTTTACCATAGTTCCAAGCTCCCCGTATTCTTCCTTGTCTTTTATTCTCACTCCGATCTTAATAAAAAAAAAAAATCAAATCAAAACCTCTTTTTGAATACTTTTTCATATTTAATCCATTAAGAGCAAACTGAAAATGAAATCTAATAGATGATGTTTCTTTAAAAAAACATATTAACTGAATAGATTAAATTAAATTCATTGTCAGTGGTTAATGAAAGGTTTAGTCGTCACATCAAGAAAATAAAGAAGCTGAGTTCTTACCACAAACTATAATGTTTTAAATCCTTAATCTTTGCAAAAAGTTTGAAATACAAAAGATTTACACCACCTGGTTGCAAATAAATAGGGATTAGAACATTTTAGATTTTGGGAAGAACTAAGTTCCTTTGTTTGAAAACTATAAACCATCTCTCCTAGAAATGTAGTGTTGCGCATAAATTCAAGGAAGTTTTTTAAAATGCATTAAGAATTGATTTTGAAAAAATTTGTCTTAATCCTTTACAAAAATGATATCAAATTCGTTAAGGATGTTAAATAAGTTTAGGAACAAAACAATTTTATTTTACAAAAAATAAATCATTGCAAATAATTGACCCACATGACTAGATAGACTATCCATCTAAAAATACAGATTCTGACGCAAATAAAATTCAAGGTTTAAAATAGTTTGCGCCTAACTATAGCGTATTTGTTTGCGACTAGCCTATAATTCTGTTAATCCAGTAGACACAGGATTACTTACTGAGAAGGGTTAATATCGAAGATTACATGAATAAAGGAGAATATAAAGAAATTGAATAAATATTGCAATAAGTTACCTTGTACTGAGTAAATGGGATGAGTCCACCTATCTGTATTCTATCATGATCTGGACTCACGTTCATCGCTTTACAGACCTCACCAGTACAATATTCAACCCTAAACATAAATATTATGATAAAAAATACAGGGTTACCCACACAGGATAAGACTTTAGGAGACGACTGTCTTATATAAGATAAGAAAAAGATCATGAGAGATCCCCAATGTGGGATCCCCAGACCACCATCCGGAGTAAGGGTCTCAGTCAGGTGCTGACTCCTCTACCAGTTCAATATATATATTTCCTTATATTCACAATTCTCTGCATCTAGTAAACTGCCTTCAGAAATTACGTTTTTGGGTGTTTTTTTCTTTCAGGGTAAAAATTTGCCTTAGTGTAACAAAAGAAATTCTTAAATGGTGTAGCTTCTAAATCAATTAAACAACAACATACAGGTTGACAAGTGACTGCATCAGTAAACTAAGCTCTGAACCCACCCTGATAAGATTGATAAGGTCCTGTATACCTAAGCTAAGCTCTTAACAAACCCTGATAAGATTTGATAAGTACCTGTATCCGTAAACTAAGCCTTGAACCAACCCTGATAAGATTGAACAGTACCTGTATCCGTAAACTAAGCTCTGAACCTACCCTGATAATATTGACAAGTACCTGTATCCGTAAACTAAGAGTCTGAACCTACCCTGATAAGATTGAACAGTACCTGTATCCGTAAACTAAGCTCTGAACCTACCCTGATAATATTGACTAGTACCTTATCCGTAAACTAAGCTCTGAACCTACCCTGATAATATTGACTAGTACCTCTGTATCCGTAAACTAAGCTCTGAACCTACCCAGATAATACCTGTATCCATAAACTAAGCTCTGAATGAACCCTGATAATATTGACTAGTACCTGTATCCGTAAACTAAGCTCTGAATCCAGTCTGATAATATTGACAAGTACCTGTATCCGTAAACTAAGCTCTGAATGCACCCTGATAATATTGACTAGTACCTGTATCCGTAAACTAAGCTCTGAACGCACCCTGATAATACTGACTAGTACCTGTATCCGTAAACTAAGCTCTGAATCCACCCTGATAATATTGACAAGTACCTGTATCCGTAAACTATCCCCGCCTGATCCCTGCAGTCTAGACTCCATCTCACTGTTACTGAGGTAGGTTTCTGATGAAGGATTTCAATCTGAGTAACTCGAGACACTAGACGATCCTTGATTACTGTACAGGTTGACCAAACCATACCTAGACAAACATCATTTAATCTTGATTATTAACTTTTCCTAATTTAATCTTAATAAAAAGTAAGGTTTCAGCTGTCTTTATGACAAACAGTTAAATATAATCAATTCTTGGCAACAATAACAACCTACTTGATTGATTAGACGTCATTCATAAGATTAATAAGATAATGTTTAACCTGATGAGAGAGTATTAGTGTTGGCGGACACAGCTATTTGATAAACATTCTCCGAGGGAAGAATGAGAGGATGACTCTGCACAGTTCCCTCGCAAGGTTCCAAGGTTTTCCAATCCAGTTCTCCGTCACATTGATACGGACGATCCTTTCCATCCTCGGACTTACACCAGAACAGAGTATAGGACGTAACCTCTTCATCTCGGTCCGGAGATCGCCAGGCGATCTCATACCGACCGACCCCTTTCCAGATCTTGGTCAGTGACTTCGGCTGGAGGCCGTACAGGAACTCCTTCTGTGGTATTATTAAGGTGGAGACTACCGGAGCCATGCCAACATTGTTCTCAGCAGAGATCTGAACCTGGAACTCGGAGACAGAAACCTTGTCAAACCTGGCGTAGGAAGATGATGTTGGTATCGGAACCTTGTTTACGGAAGCCAGATATCTGAACCCTGGACCGTTAAAATCTCTGTGACGCATGATTTTCCAGTATGCAAACACAGTCCTGTCAGATCCTGTATTCAGAACCTCAAAACTACCCAGGGTTATAGTTGGAGCCTGGGCTGGAACAGTTGCATTGGTTCTCCCTGAGATATAGGTCAGGTCTGACCAGACATTTAGATTTGTCGGATCCGCACTTCCGGAAACCATCTTGATCTCAAAAGTATAGTTGGAGTAGGGGAACTTCAGCTCGGATACTTCAATATCAAAATCATCTTGGTGTAAACTGAAGTTGGACATGTCCACAATGGTCCACTTTCTCGTCCATTCGTCGATATACCTCACATGTTGGACAATTCCAGGACTAAAGGTTCGCATTTCATTTGGTACACTGTAAGAGAGAACTAGCTGACTTGAAGATTTACTTGTTAAGTTTAGATTCACAGCTTTTCCTGGTTTCACGATAGAAGTGTGCTCAACGGATATTTGATAAACAGTTCCACCGGGAACAAGAGGATTGGAAGCGTTGATGTAGAACTTATAGGTTGATACAGCTTGTCTATACGGCGGATGGGTTGTTAGATCAAGATAACAAGATTGCTCCGGGACATGCTCTACATGAAGAGGTAGATCTTCATCTCTAGGACAGTATTTAGGATGAGAATATGCTCCAGGTTCCATGAAGGATACATCGTATACCGTGGGAACCGGGTTAAAGGCTTCGTCCCAGGTACAGTTAAGGTTATGCCAATTCTCAGATACACACGAGAAATTTGTAACATTAAGTGGAGGGAAACCAACAAACAACCTCTGTTTACAGATTCCAATACTTCGGTTCTTATTCTGAACCTGGCACTGGACATCTACAGTACCTACTGTATTAGCTATAAAGTTGGTAGATATTGTTGTGCTATTAACAATCCTAGATTCCAGATTTCCGTGTGGAGTCCAGAAATACAAATCCTCAGCTCTAAATCCTTGCTTGGCATAGTAATCATGGTCCGGGTTGAGTAGACAGAACAAGGTTTTGTTTGAGTTGTGTTGCAGGTAGATATCTCCCCTGGGTAAGGATACACCGGAGGGAGATGATCCAGGGAGACATGTATAATCCATGCTCCATACTCCTACAAATAAACTAAATGCTATTAGTAGAGTCTTCATCACTTTTTATCACTTTGGATCCATGTTTATTACACCAGGACGGAATTGATTGACTCCAGGATGGTTTCAACACTGGCCATAGCTCCAGTTCCTTTATCCCCGCAGACTAAAGTCTTAACCTAAATATCAACTATAGAAAATGTAAAGCTTAAAATATAACATTACGAATATGCTGTAAATCTAACCCAATGAGCTGATTAATGGAACATTATGCTTGAAGCGATATAAGTATCTACAACATTATTAAGAATAAAACAAACTTCAAGATATTGCCGTTATAATTTCAATAATGTGGAAGATATCGTTGTTTATCTTTCTTGAACCTGTTCAATTGTTTCATTTCCTTCTTTATATCAGTTGTAAAAATCAGCCAGTCGCGTTATTGAGAAACTTTAATTAGAAACGAACAATTTTAGGCTATGAAAACAGATTTAAAGGTTTAAAGGGTACCGCTCTGAATCTGACATGCACTCGAAAAATGGAGTGTCACTAAAAGTACGCCTTCAGCCTTTTAGTAGAACTAACATAGTGATATCATGCGAATCACGAATAAACTGTAGATTAAAACAGTTTCCCCTATTACTGTAACATTAAATTTGAAGCAAAGAACTTGTAGTAGATAACAGTTTTGAGAACAGCGAAGAAGTGTCTTTCAAGAATTACCTCTTCAGAAATTCTTCAATAAATGCACCCCTCAACATAAATAACGCCGGCCAGGTTTTCCTATCCTAATGTGTTGGATATGTTTGCACCTGTGGTTCTAGAACTGTATATCCCCATCCCTGAATAGTCTGAAGCTGTGGACGGGTAACAGGGTGCTCAAACATATAGGTATTCATTGCAGGAGCAACAACAATAGGTCTAAACATTTTAACAAATACAGGGTGAGCAGGGACCGGGGGGGGGGGGGAATAAATGAATTATTGCGCCAACATTTTTGATCCCCCTGGAAATTTTTACAGGGAAATCGGTCAATTTTATGTTAAAACCATGACCAGGTGGAGGGGGGAGGAAGGAGGAAAATGTGTTAGCAGGATTTGGATTTCTTTTTAAAAACTTATTTTAAGTGAATATTTTATTTGAAAATCTATTTTAAAAAAATTTTAAAAAAACAGTGAATATTTTATTTGAAAATCTATTTTAAAAAAATGTCTGCTCTCTCTTCTTGCGCTCCTTAATTTTACCAGGGGAGGGGGCGTTCCCCCAGTTTTCCAGGGAGGGGTAGTCCACCCAATTTTCCAAGTGGGACGTCCCCCTTCCCCTCTTTAAAATGCCTCTGAGGGTGAGCCTCTTCAGATTAACTTTCTTATCAATCTTTAATAGGATTTTGAGGCAGTCACAAACAATAATTAGTGATATGTCCTAAAATAATTAGCTAAACCATTTTTTATATCATTAACACGAATATGCGTGAATTCTGCCTACCACATCCCGATAGGGGTTCTTGGACTAGATTAAAAACTAAAATCATCTACATGGAAGGAATTTTTTGGTCAAAATACCGGTCCTGGTAAGTAACTTCAAAATAAAATCCAATAAGATGCGACTCAACTTAAATAATTTTAAATCCACTCCAAATTTTCAGCTTCATTCTCCTGGGACATAACACAATTCAGCAAAATTGCAAAAATTACAATATCTACCAAATATTGCAGACAAAAGAAATGTCTGCAAATATGATAAAAAATATCTTACTTCGTGAAGTCCCATGCTCTAAGTACACAGGTTAGCAGGTTATCAGCTTGACCATTAGCAACCTAGTTAGTTACTTATCTATTTATTTATTTACTATGAATCCCTTTTTACAAGAATGTTTACCAGGTATCTACTCATCCCACCGATCCATCTTATACTCATTAAGTGTTATGCGCGAGTAGAAGTAGCGAGTGCCGAATCCCTATCTACCTATGACTGCTATCTTTAGCCCTCCTGTCTGTTTAATTTAATATTTCTCTTAAACTATGATAGTATGATTTCATATAATAATACTATTTCATAAATCATTAGTAACCTACTTAAATATAGTTGATATCTTAACATAAAACATTAGTAACCAAGTTACATATTGTTGATATCTTAACATAAAACTTTAGTAACCAAGTTACATATAGTTGATATCTGAACATAAAAGATTAGTAACCTAGTTACATATAGTTGATATCTTAACATAAAACTTGAGTAACCTAGTTACATATAGTTGATATCTTAACATAAAACTTCAGTAACCTAGTTACATATAGTGATATCTTTACATAAGCCATTAGTAACCTAGTTACATATAGTTGATATCTTAACATAAAACATTAAGAGACCTAGTTACATATAGTTGATATCTTTACATAAAAGATTAGTAACATAGTTACATATAGTTGATATCTTAACATAAAAGATTAGTAACCTAGTTACATATAATTAATATCTTTACATAAACCGTTATAACTCCACAAGAGTATAAATCTTATAAATATCAAAATATTGACAACACGTGTTTTTTATTTGTTTTAACTATTATTCAAAAATTTCTGTAAGACTCCTCCGAAGCTTCACAACAGAATGTTTATAAATAGTTGTTATGAAGTCAGATTGAAAAATAAGTTATTTTATAAAAAAATAATCATTTTATTTTCTCAGTTCACCTTAGCAAGTGTGTTAGCGTCTAGGGGAGCAACTATACAGATATCTGCCCACTTTCTCAGCTCTATATGTAGTACAGGATCTCCTCTACTCTTCCTTAACAGTGTACAGTTAGTACCAGCATACAGGGTGTCACAAATAGATCTTTGCTGTAGAAGATTGATTTTTTAATTATTGCAACCAATTGGAAAGCTGTATATTTCAACTATTTAAAAGAATAACAATATTGGTAAATGTATACTTTTACTTTTTCATTGGCTTGTTAAAATTTTTTTTTTCTGTTTCTGTAGCCTAGAACAGTGTACATGATGTATAATGGCGTTATGTCTATATTTTGTAATACAAAGTTATACAAAGAATACAGCATGATACAAATCAAATCAAAAACAACAGATACAAAATAATACAAAGAATATGATCTTACTATTTCAAAAGATAGATCAGGAAAAATAAGTCCTATTATACACTTCTTATTATAATAAGAGGGCACTTCCTTTTCTAGAAAAAATTGTAACTCTTACTTTCTAAGTCTTCACTTTTTCAATTTTCCTGGATTTTTCGGAATACATTAGAAGCTTTTCAAAACATTTTTTCCAGGTAAGTTTCTTTAATTTGACCGTCCATAAACCTTTCCTGTGGTCATGAGAGTTGCCACAAAAAAATGGTTCAACCGTTTTGACCGGTATTTGATACAAACAGACAAACAAACAAACTCACAAGCAAAATATATAAATACCAGCAATCCCACTCGTGAGTATCAGTTAGATAATCCACTCCTAGAGATTCCAACGGGGGCAGGAAATGCTGAGAATGCTCTGTCACAACTTAAAACAAAGAATAACAATTTTTTAAGGCAATATGAATCTTTAAAAATAATATTTTATGCTGAAGTTACAAATGTGCCAGCAGATTTATCTTTCAACGATCAAAATATATATGTTTGAATAAATTTACCTAGTTTAACGGATATTTCAGAGTTTTCTTTTAGTTTCTCGAGGATTTCAGGTATTTTAATACTAGCTACACTTCCTGTGCAGCCCAGAAGAACATTTTTCATCTGAAACAAGTTCTTGTGTACAGTACAGCACACTTTAACAATAACAAATTGTTAACAGCATGGATTATGTGGTTCAGTTCGAATAGCTAGGTTTATCTGAATGTATTGTTGTTTTGTGTTGGTCAGGGATATGATTATTCAAGAAAATTTAAATCCCTGCATTAAACAAAAAAAGAATCTAGGTATAATAGCTAACTTTAACTATTAATTATAATCAATTTTTTAAAATTATATGTGAAAAAAATCAAATATAATTTTAACTCAATAAGAAATTAAACCTTTTTTCTTGTAATCTTGCAAAGGTCATAACGAGTAATTCCAAGAAAAGCTTGTTAACATCGTATACAAAATATTGACTAGTGACTATATGACTATTCATCCCAGCAGGGGGGCGATTGATGAAATATACAGTGGGCCCCATACAAATTTTGAATGAGACAAAATTTCAGCAATCTTATGTGACTTTTATGTTGTTATAAGTAAACAGTTTTGTCAGTTGCTTTAAAGTCAACTTATTAACTATGCAAATAATGTGTTTTATGTTCTTGGACTAATTAAAATCATAACTGAAGTCTTCTAGTAGTCTTTTTATTCCACAGTTTTTTGAGTCTCACTAAATCTGATATTATTCTGATTATTTGTATAGTTTATCAGCGCCTTGTCGTACATAACAAGGATAAGAGCACCGAAGGGGATGTAGAGACCGTTCATCACCAACATGTTCCTCATGCTTCCCATCATCACACGCTTCGCCTAGGAGTACAACAAAACTGATAATTTATATAATATATATAAAGTTGAAAATACCATATCAGTCTCCACTTGTGTGTCGAGAACTCTTAAAATCCTTGGTTTTCTACAATTGAAGTAAAATATATATATTTATATATTTCAGTTTTTAAATTTCACATTTTATTTTTTAAAAATTCTACTTAACATATTGTTCCACGTCTCATATATATATTTATCTATTTAGTATTTTAAAGGGAGTGTTTGCGAAAAATGGCACTTTTTTTATTTCTAACTGTCGTTTGGTTGTGAGAATTAGATTTAAACCATCCTCCAAGGACCTCAATATATTATCTGTTTAGCTTGAGCTACCTAGCAAACAAGAAATGCAATTCAAAGTCGATTCCCGGGTTTGCTCCAGCAATAATGGGATAGATTAGAAGGTATCTTATTATTATTGCATCCTATATTATAGAGATAATCTAGATACAAGACTTAATACTCTAGGCTTACCACAGGAATGCAACCTTTGCTACACTCTCCATTGTCAGAATCATGATGCCAGTATTGATGAGTATGCTACTGGAATATGTGAAGCTATAGATAATGCAGCAAAGTTGTGCCTACCAAAATCAGGAGGACTGGCAAATGAAAAATCAAAAGGGATCTTAGGTTGGAATGAATATGTAAAACCATATCAGGCTGAAAGTAAGTTCTGGTTTGGTGTTTGGCAAGCAGCTGGGAGGCCAAGAGAGGGAGAACTGTTTATTTTGCAGCGAAATGCTCACATGCAGTATAAATATTCTATAAGAAGATTAAAGAGAGCCAAAAGTCAATTACTTCAAGATAAATTTACTCAAAAATTGCTCAATGGAGGAGGTGATATATTCAAAGAAATTAAGAAATTCCGGGGACAAAATACAACAATTTCAAATTGTATAGATGGAGAAGTTGGGGCCCAGAATATTGCAAATCACTTTCAAGAAATCTATGAAAATCTGTACTCCCAGCATACTCTAGGAGAAGATTTTGATAAAGTGCAGCAAAATATACAAGAAAGAGTTCATCATGGATTACAGGATGATATAAATAAAGTTAACAGCCAGTCAGTCAAAGATGCACTAAATAAAATGAAAGCAATGAAAAGTGATGCATTATTTGACTTCAGCTCTGACTGCTTAATTAATGCATCAAACAAGTTAATAGATCATNATAAACATAGAAAACTTATATACCTACACCATTTATATATGTATTTATATCTTTGTGTGTGAATAAATCTTTATAATAATATTAATATAAAGAAATAATATCCTTAATTAAGTTTTTTGTCACAATATTATATGTTAATAGAATTTTTTACGATCGATTTTTACGTGAGGTTACATATTAACTAGTCAATATACATTTAATATTTTAATTAATTTTTTAATATTCGGTAGAATAAATTCAATCTCGTTAATTGAATAGATGATGTGGTATTTAGGCACCACTTAAATATAATTACTACCGCTAGAGAGTTTACATCATAAGAAGAACCCCGCTCAGTATATGGTTTATTATATAAGGATGGTTTTTTATTATTAAAAGGACTGACATTGTAATTTCACGTGACCTTCCATTCAAAAATGGGGACGTGTCCGATGCACAACGGTACGAAAGGGAAAGGACAGGCAAGGGAAGGGGAACCCAGAAGGGAAATCTAAAACTAAAGAATCACATGAAATTATCGTTCAAATATATTTCTTATTCCTTTATTGAGAGTAGTCTGGAAGTTTACATTTTTGTACAAATGATTGCTCGCATGTTCATCAGCTTGTAAAATGCGTACTGTTTTCGGGTGGAAGATATATTCTATTAAAAATCCACCAATTTGATGTTCCAACCNCCCCAAGATATCAGTTAAAGAGACAAAAGGCGTAATTTCAAGTGACCCTCTATGCAATTATGTTAACAACGATATCTCTTAAAAGCTTTAGCTGATATAGTAAAAATTTAATTACAATGTTTTTGTTTCTTTAATTTGTTTTCGTTTGGGGTATCTCTACGAAAGTGACTGGCGCATTTCTTGCTTAAAGAAGCAATGGAGAAACTCAAAGATATAAACACTTTTTTGAGTCAGATAAACGACGGTATCTTTACATGTTTTATCAAAATAAGGTTTTAAGGGTGTCGTTATAAATCGGGCATGCATAGCCATCTTTGCATGGAGGGGCGCTTGAAATTAATAAAGTAACTTAAAACAAATCACCCCGGAATTTTCTGACATGGTTTCTCTTTAAGAATATCTCAAAATCGATTTTATATCTTCTTGTATGTATTTACTAGCTTTGAAACCCAGCTTTGCCCGAAAACTAAACTTAAAACATTTAAACTAAGCTTAGAATATTTTCGTGGTTCTTACGAGTTCTTTAATCAAGATTTAAAGCGAATCAAGGGTCTCACGAGTTATGATCGAACAAAAAAACAGACAGACAAAAATTCCAACTGTATATTCTGTATAAATATAATACTTAACAGGTGTTGGGTTAAAAATACCTTTCCTCAATCATTGATTAACGAGGAGGAGGGNGTAAAATGATGACGGACCAGTCAATATTGTTCCATTTACAAAAAAATGAAAAATTAGAAATTATCTGAGCTGTAAAAAGTGGACTGAGTAAAAATGTACACTAAAAATTCTAAAAAAGAAAGTTTCTGGTTACATCAAATATAGGATTAAAACCACAAGAATGTTCTTAGCTTGGTTTTGAGATTCTAAATTAATTGAATCGACTTTTACGACTTTATAGGGAAAAATAGTTAAAATCGTAGTTTAGGACAAAGCGCGTGGGTAATCGGTGGGACTAACTATGATCCCCCTGTAGTTTCAGGAAAAATTACTCTCAAGGAAGACAAGTTGCCCACTATCTAAACTAAGATCAGGATACAGTACCTACCTAAACTTTCACATTTCTAGAATAAACAGCAACATAACAAATATCTGCTTTAACTGCCAAGGAACTCCACATAATACAAACCACCACATTCAATTGCACTTCCAAACCCACCCACCTAACCCTAAGCAGTCTTTCCTTAGACTACATGAAGAAGACCTATTAAATGACCTGATGATTGGCTAGAACAACATCAACAACAACATGACCCACATGTGCAACGCTGGGTTCCCAAGCTAGTACTGTATATAATTTGTTCTGTGCTCACTTTATTATATAAAATCTTCATAATGAGAGTTTAATTGTGGCAGAAGTAATCGACTGAAGACACTATTTGTGTCATATTTTATGTGTCTAATTGTTGTTAATGGGCGTTTTGGGGGCTGTACAATACATTGTACACTGTACAAATATTATTTCAAATTGATCCTAGATGAAAACCTTACTTAAGTCCATAATGCTACAAACCAGAAAAATCCCCTAACAAAATAAGTATTTACCTTATCGAAGGGAATCTCTGCCAGACAAGCTGAGCAGGAGGAGAGAAGCGCCCATCCTACCTACACATGTTTAAATTAATAACAGACGACGACGGGAAGCGCAGGTTTAAGATTGTTTAAGGTTATTCGAGTTTTATAAGACTTCACAACAATCTAAGATGAAAAACCTATTTTGAAATTGTATGCTCAAAAAGTTTGTGTTTATTACATTATACAACATTTTTAGTCTAGCCATAGATATCAACCAAAACTATTTTATCTTTGGTCTGTTATGGGATAATAGCAAACTTATAGAAAATCGGATTTTGTTATGTGCTAAAAATCTCAGAAACTTTCAGGCCAACTCCATTAATGCTAAAAAATCCCCAAATGTGAGAAAACGGAACTCGAAACGATTCCTATCCCTAGTTATCAAAGGGATTTGAATTCTTGTCCGAATCAAATCATAATTCCATAATCCAATTTCATAATGGCTTAACAATACTAAGACTTGAGAAAGGCGCCTAAAGTATATTGCTCTAGGCTAAAAATGCATAAAAAAATTTGCTGACTAATTTGACAAAGTAAACTGTGTACTGTACTGTTAACCCTGGAAAGTGCTATGAAGTTTATTTTTGTAGAATACCTAAAATAGAAAACGCTAAAATATGCAATCAATGAAAAGATTTTTTCATTCAAGTGATTTTGGAAGATCGAAAAATCCTACAAAAAAATATCAACAAATAATTGAGAAAAAAGTTATTCAAGAAAATTCAAGAGATATCAAAGGGGAATAGATGGAAACAGGTATAAAGAAAGTAAAAGAATATTTATTTGTCTGATGCAGTTTAAAAGATTTTCAATTTTTCCACGTAAATGAAATCAAATCGCAAACTTTTTTGGGAGGAATACGAACAAGGTAAATCGTCGTCTAAATTGAATTGATGGGAGGGGGGTAAGAATCCTAGAAATTATACACCCCATGCAGTGGATTATGAAATTTCTCTCTGTCAAGATAAGTAACAGATGTAATCTTAGGAATCATGTTACTCAGTATAATTAATACTGCAGATATAAAAAAAAAATATTTTGCATTTTGTTTCTAGGCACGATTAGCGTAATGTAAAATAAGCGTTAGGTCTGACCCCCCCGGCCCCCCATCCACAATAAAAAATAGATTCTGAGACAAAAATATCGTTAATTGTAAGTTAGTTAAAATAATTTGGTTATTCATAGAAGTGGGACGATGTAATGCATCGCCTTTCAGGGTATGTTACCCTTTTCAAGTATTCATAATATTTATAATATATGGTCTGACATCATTTACGTATTAGGGTGTACACTGTACATTAAAAAAGTTTACCACGTACAATTTCTTCTCTGATTTATGTAAATCTACGAATATTAAGCTGAACATTTTCTAAATCATAGAAATACACAAGGAAGAAGTTTGCACAGACCAATTATAGATTCCGTATTAAAAGTCCAAGAGGTGACTATGGTGACTTCATTCAGAAGCTTCCATTTCCCAGGGTGCTAGAAGTATGAAAAAGTTTTTCTAGTCGGATACAGATTGCCAGGTTGTAAATCACAGTGTTAAGAATCTTTTATAAGTTTATATTCACAAAAAGAAGAAGTTAAAGCCATGGCGCTATTTGTCTATACATTTGAAATGGAGAAACTTTTCTTTTAGATATTTCAGGCCCAATCCAAGGAAAAATAAAAACAAATCAGGAAAGATTTTCTCTCGCATTCAGGTGACTAAATTAAGTGAAAAGGATATTTAAAGGAAGTACGGAAAAAAGCCTTATCATCAATACAAAACTAAAAGTTTTTAGATGTTCACAGTGAAAACAGGGTAATTAGCTCTACTAAGTATATTAAAATGTACAGCTTTCAACTGTACCTTTCAAAGTCAAACAACTTGAATAACTGATTTCATAAAAAAGCAAACCAGATAGAGATAACAGTATAATCCCTGTCCTGTCAACCCTCAATAGAAACATCATTAAAGAGAAGAAGGAGATGGACGCAAATAAGAACCTCTGTAGAAGGTTGATGGAGTCTATGTAATGTCTCTGTCCAGCTAGGTGGCAGCTGCAATTTGCAGTGTCGGGTCGCAGATGTTCATAAATTTTAACATTTTATTGTTATATTGTTCTGGTTTCGCTTAGATACCATTTTAGGAAATAAAAAGCAATTCTTAAATTGGATAGTTCATTAAACTATGTATGCTCGACATTTTTCATCGTAACTGTTCTTAAAAAACAACTATTTTATCATTTTCAAATCCGATTTTTTTTTGCATGGAACAGTTTCATTGTTACAAATATTAGATAAATATGAATTCACAAGCTTTTATTTCCAATATTGAGAGTTCTAGATTTCAAAATGTAAGTGGGAACCTTTTTTATGTACAGCCTTTATTATATAGTAGTAATCCCTGTCTGTTTGTCCCATCATCTCATGAACCCGTCGACCGATTTGCCTCAAATTTGCATTGGGAAGCTCGGGAGAACCATGAAAATGTTTAGTTTAGTTTCCAGATAAAGCTGGGTTCCCAAAGCTAGTAAGCTAAAAAATAACTCAATTTTTCTTAAAAACTGGAAATACTGGAGTTCCCGTCAGTATGCAATCCTTTTCACAAAAACAAATTTGGATCATTAAAGTTTTAGGAAGTTAAGTATTAAGGAAGGTAAAAACAGAAAATTTATAAAACTAGTTATATATCAAGTTTCTAAGTTTAAAAAATCAAAGTAAAGAAAAATAAATGGCTTCTAAAGAAAACTCCTGAGATTGTAAGTTTTCAAAAACTCTTTGTAATATAATGAAAGAAAAAGATTTTAATCAAATTTTAATTGGCAAAAAAAAGTGTTATCATAATAATAACCCCAGTCTAACAAAGGGAAAAGAAAAATAAAGTATACAAAAAGTTATATTATTAAAATAAGTATGAAAACAACCGGAGGAGAAAGAGAAGTTCTATTCTCAGAAGACCAATCATTTAGTGGAATGGGGGTCGCCTATCTAATAAAAAAAGGTTCAGATTCTTTCATCCTAATGTTCACACATTACAAAATGACAACAGACAATAGAGAAATTACATAAAATGGGAAAACACAATTGCAAAAGTTGAAAAACCCAATTTGAAAAAAAATTTAAAATTTGAAACTTATAACCGTTTACACGGTTTGTAAAGATGAAAATATTATTTACTCTAAGTTTACACTGTACAATGTACAGTTGTACACTGTACAGTGTACAGCAAATATTCGATTTACCTGACTCCGAATATTTTCCTCCCTACACGAAAAGTAAAGTCCAAAAAACACTCCTGAAAAATGCACTTTTATAAATGTGTAGTGGTTAATTTGTTCTATATTTCTTAAATCTGAGTACTAGACGTAATATTATTGGAAAAAGAATTAAAAAATCTAAATTTTGGGAAAAATAAATATTTCTGATCATATTTTAAATAGAAAAAAGAAATAAATATAATATTTTTTTTCTTCCAAATACGCTCTTTTTAATCTTTTCCTACTTTTAAAATAAAAAAGTGATTATTTTTTTTGATAATTTAAGATTTCTCATTTAGATTTTAAGAATATTTTTTTAATTTATCTTCTATCGGATCTATTGTATAAACCCTAATTATAAATGTATTTAAATCAAATACCTGCGTATGGAACCGTAGAGAGAGAATTTCTGAATTTAATCTGTCCCTCGATAACTCCTCGTCTCACGAAGTCGAAAGGAAAGACGGCCCCAGCTCCAAGAAATCCTATAGGTACTCTTTTTAAACAATAAGAAATATAATGAAAAATATCATGTAAAATAAGAAGGAAAATGATATGGGCTGTTAAACTAGATAAAAGTACATAACTTATGACAAGTACTGTACACTTCTATATTAGTAGATCGACCCTAGAGGTTTTCTTCTTCATTGGTCCGTAGACAAGATATTAATATACATTTACTCCCAGTTCTTTATTTGAATAAAGAAACTACGTTTCAATGAAAAGATGAGAGTAAACTCGTAAAAATACCTAAAATTATCATCCTAAAGTGGTTTATTACCGGGCGTAATAATAGGATAAAATAAATTTGAAACGTGTTAATTTACCAAATCATCAAAAAATTAAAAAATGAAATTTAATATTAAAATATAAAAATTTCAAAGATTTATTTTTTTGGAATAATTAGAAAATCAAAAACTAAAAATCAAAAATATAGTTCACGTAAAGCAGCCCAATGGCAAGACCGATGTACAACAAAATTCCATCTATGTAGTACAATTAAGAATATTTTACTTTATACAATAACAAGGAAAATGAGATGGGCTGTTAAAACAGAATAGAAATATGAAAACTAAGGAAAAACAAGAGTATATAATGCGGAAAAAAAATGAAGAAATGTAGAATAATATTAACCTGACAATCCTCCATGCAGAAAAGGGAATCCTGGGATAGAGTACAGTTTCTCATCCTTTCTTAGTGTATACTGTATCATACCATAGCTTACAATTCCATGAAAGATGAAGGCAGAAATATAATCTGCGCAGAACATGACGAATTCTTGTTCGCATCTGCGCAGAACATTATAGAGGTTTCTCTGTAAAAAGATATATTAAGATTGGAAAGGGTGTGGCCTAGTTTTCAGCATGAATAGATTGACAAGGTTTATTCACTAGCTTGCTAGATCACTTCATAACTAGCTTTATAGAGCGTTAACCTAGTCACAATTGCCTAATTTATCCTGACAAGCATTATAGCTAGTTCTAAGACAAACTAACCGATTGTGCAAGTTAGATAACTAAATGAATAGCTAACAAACTATAAAGCGTTCAAGCTAGCTTATTAGCTGAGTAACTGAGGCGCAAACTATTTTTCTAGTTAAATAACAATCTGATTTTCTAAGTAGAATAATATACATCAAAGCAAAGTCAAATACAAAAGAGTTCAACATATACATACAAGCTATATTCCACAATTACTCATTTCTAAATCTTGTCACTTTATAAAATCTACTTAAACAAAGTAAGTTTATAATCGACAATAGCTAGGTATAAAACAAATATAGTGATTCGTAGAAATTTATGAAACGTTCGGCAGTTACAGCATGAGATGAAAATCTTAACATTTAAGATATTGAGAAGCATTCAAAATCAAACTTTTCATTTTACCCACTTCCTAAAAAGAATAAAGAGTCCAATTGTAAACTTTTAAAGCCGAAAAACCCCAGTCTCCTTTGTAATATTAGTTAACCATAATAAACAGGATGACAGGATGAAAGTAAAAGGAAATCCTGAAATCTGCATAGCAGAAATAAATACAGAATGTAAATTCAATTTTTTCTCCCTTTCAATGTAATTCATTCAACAAGAATCTAATCTAAAATATTCATTTTTCTTTTACTCCAGGTATACAATAGTTTTTCCTTCAAACTTATTATAATATAAATTAAAACAAATGTCAAAAATAAATAAAAATTTTTCTTTGATCTATGTTATTTATGACCTTTCTTAAACTTATATTACGTACTTTAAAAGTCAAATTTTTTTATTTTTTTCTAATAATTTTTTTTAATATTTCAAATTTTTTATTTTTTTAGGGATAAGGAAAACAGAAAAGCTTAAAATCCTAATAACTGGGTTTTCTCTTGAACTGTCTAAACTTGTGTCCTACTGACGTCACAAAAAGAAGGTTCGAGATAATTTAAAATTGTTTAACCAGAATTCCTATTAAAATGGTTCTACGCAGGGTAGAAAATAATTGGGATGCATTTTTCCGGCTTTTAAATTTTTATAGCTTTGGGTTGAATAAAGAGAACTCTAGTCTCCGATCGTTACAAGAGGATCTGTTTGATCATTTTCAAGAGAGATCCTTTCACCCTCCATCTCGATTTCACTTGGCTTATCTCCAGCATTCTCATTTACATTTTCAATTCTTCTATCTTCAGGAAAAGCATTTGCGTTCTCCATTTTGACGTCCTCCGTCCCCTGGTTCTCAGGCAGGTTCACCGTGAAGGAGAGTCCTGATCTTCGGTAGAAGAGAACATACGCGTCTTCTTGACCTTCTCCTTCAGGTATCTTACGGTCAACCTGAATAATTAAACAACTCAGATTAAAATATCAAAATGGCGCAATCTCCCTACGACTCAAAACGACAGTCGTTGTAAGTTCATGTGACTCGCTATATTAGGAGGGGCATGTCCGTGCCCCATTCACAGCAGTATCCTTTAAATTTGTTTATGCATTATACAATCCGAAGTTTGTACTGCCTCAGAATTAGGCTTAGGAATATCAACCCTAGTGCATCAAGGACATCATCTCCTTGACCCTTCTGCACACCTGCATCCTTCAAACAAGTGACAAAACCCCATTTAAAACATTTAAACCATTCGTTTCCAGGATTTTCTCTTTCTAATAACATGTTGATAAAATCTCAGTTAAATATACCTAAAATGGCCATCCTAGAGTTTCTTAAGAAAAAAAATAATGAAAGAAACTAACAATTAAACCCTGTTAACATTGGTATTCCTTGTGCATGTTGTTAATTTCCTAAATATAACTAAAAGAAAATTACTTATTTTTAATTTCAAATTACCAAAATCCAAAGTACCAAAAAAAACATATTTAACACTTGCATAAATTTTCAAAATTACGAAAAAATGGGATATTTTTAAACATTTTGAGAGGGCCTTTAAAATTATGGTGTAAATCTTTATCCGACCAATAATGTCGTTTTTCTAATTAAAAAGTGCTAAATTTGGACAATTTCATTCTTTACTTTTAGAGCAGAAATTGCCGAGAGATTCTTATAGAGACAAATTAAAAATAAGGTTTAAAAAAGAAAATATTAATATGGACGGACATCTTTTATAGATTATTGATCAAACAAAGCTTGTGAAGTTGCCGTTATGAATCAGACATGCCGCTCTATAGGACGAGGAACACCTGAACTTACGTTTACACTTACAGTTCCTTCCATCCTTCTTTGTGAACATTTTAATAACCTAGTTTTTCCAAGATAATATTTTGATTAGACAAGATTGGTTAAAACATTTTGTTTAAACAAGATTGGTTAAAACATTTTGTTCAAACAAGATTTGTTAAAACATTTTGTTTAAACAAGATTGGTTAAAACATTTTGTTTTAACAAGATGGGTTAAAACATTTTGTTTAAAGAAGATTGGTTTAAACATTTTGGTGAAACAAGATTGGTTAAAACATTTTGTTTAAACAAGATTGGTTAAAACATTTTGTTTAAACAAGATTGGTTAAAATATTTTGGTTAAACAAGATTGGTTAAAACATTTTGTTCAAACAAGATTGGTTAAAACATTTTGTTCAAACAAGATTGGTTAAAACATTTTGTTTAGACAAGATTGGTTAAAACATTTTGTTTAGACAAGATGGGTTAAAACATTTTGGTTAAACAAGATTGGTTAAAACATTTTGGTTAAAAAAGATTGGTTAAAACATTTTGTTTAAACAAGATTGGTTAAACCATTTTGTGTAAACATTTGTTTAAACAAGATTGGTTAAAAAATCTTGTTTAAACAAGATTGGTTAAAACATTTTGTTCAAACAAAATTGGTTAAAATATTTTGTTCAAACAAGATTGGTTTAAACATTTTGTTTAAAAAAGATTGGTTAAAACATTTTGTTTAATCAAGATTGGTTATAACATTTTGTTCAAACAAGATTGGTTAAAACATTTTGTTCAAACAAGATTGGTTAAAACATTTTGTTTAAACAAGATTGGTTAAAACATTTTGGTTAAACAAGATTGGTTAAAACATTTTATTTAAACAAGATTGGTTAAAACTTAAAACATTTTGGTTAAACAAGATTTTGTGGCAGGTTAGAGAAGAGGAATGAAGACTTTGTCTAAAATATTTCTATCTAGCTGGTCAAAATAAAAATTCAACATTAACATTATTATGTTGTTGTTGCTGGCACAAATAATAAGATCTGGCTAATATTGAAGAATTAACTCATTATTTCATTTTCAAGTATGTCATACTAATTTGTAAATTTAATATGGAAAAATATAAAAGAGTACCCCCCCCCCACCCAATAAATTAAAGAATCTGAAGGTTCATGACTCTTGACATTACCTGGGAGTCATTAAAGTAGTGCCATGAGGTAGAGAGAGGATGTTTGGCGTATGCGGTATAGTGTCCGCCAGACGGGGATCCGGTGTGACAGATACTGGCGTATAATTCAAATAGTTCTCCGCCCTGCTGCAGGGGACCTAGACAAAAGAAAATTATAAAAATACTACAATAACAATAACAACCTACTCTGGTTAGGCGGGTCCAAACTACATAGTAAATTGTGATTTTTTTATTTGTATTATCTTGTGCTATGTAGTTGAATAAAAATATGTATGTAAAAAAATATGTAAACCCTTTGTTTATAAAATAATATGAAAAAAATATAATATAAGTTGACATTGAAAAATGGGCAGGCAAAACTTTAAAAACACTGTTTATATTTCAGCATATCCATAGTCCATGAAAGAGTATTTTGATTTTGCAGGGGGGGGGGGGGACCTCTCGTCTTTCTCAACTTTGCTTCTCTGCTTGTTGGGATAAAAAAAAACCATCGAACGGCTGAACCGATCCGGAGGATTTTATGAATGGTTAAGTATTTTAAGATACCGCTCACAAAAACCTTTTATTTATCTAATTATTAGAAAATTCTTGAAGCAAATCGAAAAAATGTTTCACTGTTAGTTCGAAGGTGAAGTAACATTCAAAACTAAAATTATTTATTGACGAAAGGTTGCGAAGAATCCTGAAAGTCAAGTTTTGAAAAGTGCAAAGAGAGAAGAGTAGGCAGTGGCCAGTGCCACTCATATTTGATATTTTTGTTATTTCATCCTAATTTAACGCGTAGGCCGGGATTAATAATTACTCCTAATGGATACAGTTACAAAACCATTCAAAAATAGATATTTTACAGGGGATTTATTGTAAACAAAGCTTTTTTTGTTGCATTAATTCGCAATATACCCCCCCTCGCTTTTAAAAATGTTCTCCTTTATCACATCAGATTCATGGTTGTCGTCTAGTTCGATATTTCTATCTATCTATTATGCCTTCCTAACAGCACAAATGCTACTAGGTACCCACCCTTCCTTCTATTATCTGCCTCCTGAGCCGTAAAGCCCTAACTACCGTGACCTGTATCTACAGCCCGAATACAAGAACGAATAATTTATATGATGAAGGATTCGATGATTATGTAATAACTAAAATGATAAATATGTTATGTAATGAGTAATGATCAATGTCGTCTATTTGTGCATAATTTTGCATATTTTTCTCTTTTCTTTTGGAAACCTGTATTTTCAAAAATTTATTGAAACAAATTTAAACTACACCATTTATATATGTATTTAAATCTTTGTGTGTGAATAAATCTTTATAATATAAAAAATAGTCACAAGTGAACCAACATTTAGAAGATAAAATTATCTATATCAAGAGAGCTTGCCGCTAAAATATCCCTAGAAGGTGCACTGTTTCGGTTCGCCTTATATAGTCTGTATGCCGTTTACTATACTGCGTGCTTTAGCAGCTTAAAAGTCGGTCGGGTGTTTGAAAGAAACCAGAGTTTACAGTGTTATTAAAACTATAAGATTAACCTGAGAGGAATGGGTTTAGATCCAGATCTTTAATTGGGAATTCCACTCTATTATCTAGCTTGACACTACCAGCCGTCCCTCCAGGTCCCTTCTCCAGGTATACAAATCTTTTGAGAATAATGATGAGAAAATCAGGATATCTCCATACTGTCAGGGTCTTCGTAGCAGTCTGGTTCTTCCTAATTATTAAAGGGGCTGTTAACGTAAATAAATTCATTCTTGGTTAATAGTGACATCCATGATTAACAACGGCAACCTTGAAACCTTTTCCAAAGCATCGATGATGAACATAGAAATGAAGGTTTTTTAATCTGTAAAATAAATTACAGCCCGCCGATTGTATATTGTGTCACCTCAAAATACGTTAGAAATAATATTTTCTATAGACTGAAAGAAAAAATATGAACAATTTCTATTTAAAATATTTAAAATATTTACTTTAATTAAAGATTTTCTTTAAAAATGGCACATGAACTCACCTCAAACTTCCATTTTTTAAGATTCTAGATTTACTTTTCAAATAAAATCCCCCTCCACCCCCCCCGGTTCTAATGATAAGGTTCTTCTATTCCTCTATATTTGTTGGAAAAGTATTAGACGCACTGCTAACTTATATCTCTCACGTATTAGATTATATCCGCATAGTTCCAAGCATGTGCTACAACCATTATCTCAAGAACATTTTCATTCACTGTCAGTTCAACTCAACCCAATTTCATTTTAACTCTAACTTATCCATTCTTTTAAATCACATGTCATTCCATTAGCGATTCATGGCGGTATGCTTTAAATCTTTTTTAATGAAAGAAAAAAATCTTTGCCTTTCTTTACAAAATATTTTGACCCTGTGACTGCAACATAAGTTTAAATTGAGTCACGGATTTCTTCAGCAAAGTGAATGAAAATTATCAGTTCAAATAGTTCGGAAATAAAAACGATAATTCTAATAGAATGCGGTTAAATTAACGGAATGACGGGAATTAGCGTTTTTTTAAATATGCATATTTCATATTTAGCGATTAAAAGTTTTTGAATTCATAAATCGAGATAAGTTACCCTAAAAACCTTCTACAAGTTCTCGAAGTTATACATCTAGATTATTTTTTATTTCTTTATTCCTTTAAATTTTAGATGATTTGTTGCTGTTAGTATTAGTTCACCTGCAGACTGGACAGAACCAAGGATTATTCTCATCCAGGAGCTCTCTGCAGGAGAAGGCCTGGAGACAGTCATATAGGTTTAGGTTTGTATTAAACCTCTCTTCCTCCATGGATGGATCATGTTGAACCCTGCTCCAATCTTCTAAGAACCGACATAATAGAATATAAAAACAGGGGACATAAGTTCCAAAACAGGTGTATGGCCCATTTCTAACACTGAGTGTTAGAAATGCCTAACACTGAATGTTAGAAATGGCCCTAATCGCGTTTTGTCCAATGAAAAAAGTTTGAGATTTAAGACAAAATTAAAGAAAAAAGCCTGAATTAAAAAATTCAGTAAACCAATCCAAGATCCCCAAAGAACATAACTCTTAATTTTCGAAAAGTGATAACAATACTTAATTTAATGTAAATGGTACCATTTTATTCTGTTAAGGAAGTCGCAAGGTTCATGAAAAAGTTTAATGACGGACTTTTGTTCTTATAAAATCTGAAAAATCATAAGAGCTGTCGTAGTACATTTTTGTGACTTTCTTCAACTCAAAATCCAAGTAAGAATAATGGAAACATTGCTTAAGCTCTCTCTTTTATCCTTGTCAGCTAATGGTCCATTTGTTAATGGTTGATGGAGAAATATCACAAAACTAACATTAAAAATCCCATTAATCAATAATCAGCTTGGATTCTATTGTCTAGTTCCCTAAAAGATTCTTCTCTGCTGCTCTGATCCTGAGAGCAAGTTTATCTCCAGGTTTAAGATTTATATCTCCAGCATCTACTAGACTAGACACAGAGCAACCTCGACACCTGTTTCCGTGCTCACACCTTGAACACTTCTCTCCGCTCTCGTCGACTAGGACCAGGTTCCCCTCCTCCCCGGGGACCAGGCCCTGGACCAGGTTCAACAAACGAGAATATTTAACACAGTTTGGAATCTTGAGAACCCGAGGATGACCGAAGTTTGTGAATTTATCTTCTACTCCAACTTGGAAAACTAGAGGAACTGTCAACAGTCTGAAATAATAATTAGAATAATAAAAACAAACAAAAAGATTGCGTGGAAATCAGTTATACTACACTGCTAAGATAAATCTCCCTACCCCCCCCCCTTATCGTTCTAAATAGAAATATATTAATGAAAAAACTAAAACATATTCATAAAAACCCTCTGAATTAAGCATATTTTAGAACCACAAACAGTAGTAGAATTAAAATTCAACTATCAAATATCTTTTATCAGTAAGTTAATTTTATCGGAAGAATTATTTTATTGCAAAAAAAGCTCTTAAAGAAACTGTAAACTCAAAACAAATTCAAATTTTCTGAACCCTACATCTTGGCAACCTGATAATCTTTTTAATCTTTCAAACTTATATTATTTTATCTAGCAGAATCTAAAAATTGAAATATCGACTGTACCAGGTTGCAAAGATATAAGGATTAACCAATCAGAATTTGTAGCGAGTGTTCAAAGTTCGGTTCATTGCTTGCGTCCAGAACTTTCGTTTGCCGACAAAATAAGAATATTTATTTAAGTTAAAACATATTTTAATAAATTTCCTTCGAGTATGGTTTTGGTTTTTGAGAGTAAAGTCTTAAATTTAGTCTGCAAAAGGCTAAGTGTAGAAAGTAAATAAAATGTGCAATAGATATATAATATTCATATCTGCAAAAAAAGCTTTCACTTCTATCAAATATCGACCTGATATGGAGGGATTTTAATAATTATTATAAATTAATTTGTTTAACTAAAAAACAACGGGTTTAAAGCATAAATAACAAAAACCTAATTTTTATAATTTTTAATATTTATAATTAAAATATTACGTGATTGTCAAACCAAAATCAAATGTAGAAAAGAAAGATTTATCTTGGAAAAAAAATTTAACGAAAAATTGATGTAAAATGTTTTCTTGAACAGATTCAAATAATAGAAATTAAAATATAGAGAACCATCTTGATGCTGTTTGTTTACGGTTTAGTCAAATTAGATATTTTTCTGGCTTCTGATTTCAAGAGATGTTATTGTTAGGAATAAAAACAGTGTCCGAATTTAATGAGTTTGAGCCGCAACTTAAATCTGCCAAAAACCGGTTTCAAGTGAGCGCTTGCTTTAATCTTGAAAAATTGAATACAGTTATGAGTGGAACCAACCATATTTGAGCCGCGGCTTAAATTTAAGCCGCGGTTCAAATTCTTTTAATTTGGCCTCAGGTACACATAATACATAATCCAACTTTTGGAGTCTTTCTAAATATTTAATTAGTTGAGTATTTTTAACACTTGATCTCTCTTAAATGTTGAAATATAAGAGAGCAGTCTCCAAACTTAATATTCATCTCTACGGAGCTAGAGTAAATCCTGAGAGAGAATCTAACCTGAGCGGAGGTTTGACTCCGACCGACTGATCTAGCTGTAACCACTCACTCTCTTCGCACTCCTGGAGACAAACCGGACATTTTGCTCCGGACTCAGAACTCTGCTGCACACACACTCGTCAAATATGTGAATATAAGGAAAATGAAGTAACAATAAGATTTAACATACACTTAAATAAAAATGTTTTAATATTGCAATATAAATATAAATATATAAATATATACTTTGCTTGTCAGTTAGTTTGTTACCGATAAACGTCAAAACAGATAAACCGATAGGACCCACATCTTTTGTGGGACCTCACATGACCCCAGGTAAGGTTTATGGATGCTCAAAATTAGAAAAATTTGTTTCCAACAAATTTAGATTTTCGTCAAATTTTGAAAATCCACGGAAAAATATGATTAAATCCCCGTAATTGTTTTATTTTGTACAAAGAGAAGATGCTTACAGATAGAGCCACAATTAAAAGTTGAAATAATAGATGGGCGCCGCCTAGTAACTTTATATTCCTACTCGCTTGGGAACCCAGCTTTGCCTAACAACTAAAATTTCTTTAAATAAGCCAACTTACTTAACATTAAATTTTAAACCAAGTTAAGAACATTCCCGTGGTTCTGCCAAGTTATCCTATCAAAATGTGAGGCCAATCGAGTAAAATTTACGAGTTATGATTTGGACGTACAAACAAACAGAGATTACTACTTTATTATATATTAAGATATAGAAGCTACCAAAATATTCAAAATGTTTCGCCCATTTACAGAATTATCGTCGAGAATTTAAGTCACGTTATATTTGCGCAGTTTCCACTTGAGAATTCCAATTATAAATATTTTATCAGATAAATGAAAAATTTAACATTTTAAAAATATTTAAATGAAATTTCAGATTTTTCAACATCATGATGATAATCAAAACAGTTTGTGGGGGACATTCTTATCATAAAATTAAAAGCATAATTTAATTTTTAAGTATGTAGTAAAAAGAACCTTGTAACATTCTTTTAATAACGATGATAATTTCAATCAGATCGAGTTTAAAGTAGTAAAATGTGATGCTGTTACTATTCGATGTGACTAATTAAATGGCGATCTACTAAACTAAACGTTTAACAGTTCCTTATAATTTTATATTTCAGAGTGTGAATGTGCCTGATGCTTGATGCTTCTCTCTAGGCAGTCTCTACAGATAATACAGTTACACTGTATGTGTGTTATCAGGTCGGAATCCGCCATATCCTCCAGGCAGATATTACAGCTTCTCCACCCCTCCATTCCAGCTCCAGTTTCTCCTAATACAATGATATTACAGTTTCTCCACCCCTCAGTTCCAGCTCCAGTTTCTCCTAATACAATGATATTACAGTTTCTCCACCCCTCAGTTCCAGCTCCAGTTTCTCCTAATACAATGATATTACAGCCCCTCTAAACCTCCATTGCTGCTCCAGTCTCTCCTATTACAATGATATTACAGCTCCTCTAATCTTCTATTCAAGCTCCAGTCTCTTCTAATACAATGATATTACAGCCCCTCTAAACCTCCATTGCTGCTCCAGTCTCTCCTAATACAAAGATATTACAGCTTCTCTAATCCTCTATTCAAGCTCCAGTCTCTTCTAATACAATGATAATATTGAGTGTTCCTGTAAATCTCCCTTACTACTCCAGTCCCTCCTCACACAATGATAATTTTCCATTCTCCACACTCCAGTCCCTCTTATTACAATGATAATTCAGCTACTTTTAATCTACATTCCAGCTCCAGCCTCTCTTAATATCAAATGTGTAAAAGGCTGAATTTATTGGTTTATGGATTGAATAATTATTTTTTTTTTAGCGAACTCCGCCACTTAAAATTAGGAGTATATATTTTATCCTTAAAGATACTATGAGTGTAATGGTGCTTGAACTAACCTTTAGTATGAGTTCCTTTCTCTGTGAGGGTTCCTGTACTGGTGCTAGAACTAACCTTCAGTAAGAGCTCCTGTCTCTATGAGGGTTCCTGTACTGGTGCTAGAACTAACCTTCAGTAAGAGCTCCTGTCTCTATGAGGGTTCCTGTACTGGTGTTAGAACTAACCTTCAGTATGAGTTCATTTCTCTGTGAGGGTTCCTGTACTGGTGCTAGAACTAACCTTCAGTAAGAGTTCATTTCTCTGTGAGGGTTCCTGTACTGGTTCTAGAACTAAGCTTCAGTAAGAGTTCATTTCTCTGTGAGGGTTCCTGTACTGGTGTTAGAACTAACCTTCAGAATGAGTTCATTTCTCTGTGAGGGTTCCTGTACTGGTGCTAGAACTAACCTTCAGTAAGAGTTCCTTTCTCTGTGAGGGTTCCTGTACTGGTGCTAGAACTTACCTTCAGTAAGAGTTCCTGTCTCTGTAAGTGTTCCTGTACTGGTGCTAGAACTAACTGTAGCTCCGAGATCAGATCTTGAACTGGACAAGGAGGAGAGCATACTGGAGCTAACACCATCTCCTCCAGAAGAGAGCTGACTACCTCCATCTGCTCCAGTAGAGAGAAGACCCCCTCCATCTCCCACCGACAGCTGACTGGATAATGAACCAAGAACTGAGGAGCTCACACCCTCCATATTCTCCTCTTGATCGGGAATCTCTTCATCCTGAAAAAGATAAAACTTTTTTGTAACTTTTTCAACTGGATCTGCAATGTATGACTGTACTCTATGTAAATGGTGTATTTTTAGTTTTAATGATAACTTAATACCCAATCTGTAAATTTATGATCAGAAGTTTCCTAGCAGCAAAGTAAAAGTATGCAAGGGATAAATATTTCTCTAAAAATCATTCCTCCTCCACCTCAAAATATTTGCTATTTTCCTTATTACGTTAGGAATAAAAAAATTTCTGTGTTTTATTTGCGAGTTAGGGAAAGTAAACATTTTTATTGGAAAATAAAAGAGTATAAGTTCAAATCCAATGGTTAAGGGTTTCCCAAAGAATTTTCGAAAAAAAAACCTTGGTTATTTTTTAACAATATACACCCCTGCAATCTGCTTTGAAACAAAAACCAACGATTGTACTAACTAAATCAATATCATGAAATTTGAGTTGTAATTATTGTAATCAACCTTGTCGTTTATCTGTCTATCCTTGTATATTTTAACGCACTAACCTGAGCTAATTTGATTGGATCAGGTTCAGCCGTTTCCTCCCCCTCCAGAGATAGTTCTAGAAGTTCTATAGCGTAGAGTTTCCTATTGGTTGTGTTTATAAACTTGACCCAGACCGTGTCCTCCAGCTGTCTGGTCAACCTATGCTTGGTTACCTCACCAAATATAATCTTAGAATCACAACCGCTCAACCGTCTCTCTATCTGACAACGGATTTCTCCTAAATAATTAACTTAAAAATATTTTCAAACAAAAAAATTTGTATTATTTAACCGTATTTGATGTGTTCGTTCGTTTGATGTGTTATACATTTAAAGTCATTGAGTACATGATTGGAAGAGTGTAATGCACAAATGACAGAATAAATCTTTAGTCATCTTTTGCAGATATTCCTAAAAACTCGGAGTAAGTGCATTAAACCAATCATAAGAATTAAATATACTCAGTGTTTCCAATATCGTTACCATAAAAAATGGAAACACGATCGAAAAACTATCGTTACAACACATTCGTTTCTGCATCGTTTTGGGGATAGCTTTTGCAACGTGTTCTTGCAAATCTTGATTTTGTGTACAGAAGCAAATGTTTAGGATGAAAAGTTTAGAAAACTTTCTTAAAACTTTGGGAATGAAAGAAAATAAAAGAAGACGACGACCAATTGAAAGCACATCACTAAATATTCTTTGGCCTAAAATAAACATTTTTACTTAAATTAGCCCTGTTGTGCAAGATAAAATAATTGAACCATTATAATGAACATTGAACGTAGCTAGGTGTGAACTGCTTTAATTAAAATCTATATTTGCAAGTTTAGGTGCAAAATCATTGACAAATACGTCATTATAACTGTTAATTTTAATTGAGTTGATTACTTTATCTTTTGTTTGCAGCAAAATCAAACTGATGAACCTGTACCACAATTCAAAGAACAAATGTTCTGTTTCATGAATTAATTAAGAAAGATTCAAAGAATAATATATTTAAAAAATATATTTTTTAACAATTAACATTCATTCAAGATGAATTAATAATGATACGTAGAAATATAATCGTATTTTTAATGTTTTAAATACTTTAATTATAAATATACTTTGCTTGTCTGTCTGATTGTTTATTTGTATCCAATAAACGTCAAAACCGCTGCACCGATCGGGCCCAAATTTTTTGTGGGACATCACGTGACCCCAGGGAAGGTTTATGGATGATCAAATTTTCAAAAATTTAAGTCTAAAAAATTCGATTTCTGAATCTTTTGTAAATCCACGAAACTTTTTTTTATAAAATCCGCTAAATATTAAGATCTGAATAACTATATTACAAACTAACATATTAATCATTAGGTAACATCAATTGGAACTAACCATTGAGACCTGACTAACCAGGGGTTAATACTTTATACCCCCTTCCCCTCCCCATACCATAATTTTCAAAGATTTAGGTAGAACAAATAGAAAAACGGAGATTAAATTGAAGGATTTTCCCCTTTTGATACTTTTTGATCAAACCCTTGTTTCTAATTTTGTAAATAAAAGAATTAAGGAGGAGGGGGGGAAAATTCTAAAATGAAATATATACTCCATGAGCTTACCTATAGTATCATGTTTGGAGACTGTAACGAGGTGTTGGACAGGAATCTTCCTGGCCTGAACCAGAGTAACCTCTATCTGTAGATCGTTAGCTCTAGGCAGAGGAACAGAGAGGTACATAAAGGGTTCGAAAGATACGGAGATGTGTGAACACTGTGAGCAGATGATTGTGTTCTTGAACTGACCCTGGAAGGTGTGCGCGAGGACGGTGGAGTTCAAGGACAGATATTTTTCCCAGTACCTGTCCGCCTCTATAGCTTCCTTGAGTCGAGCAGGATCCCGAGCTGTTTCTAAAATAAAAAGAAACATGGAATTTTATATATAGTTCGAATATTTTATAAAATGTTCCCAACATTTAATTAATTGCGAAGTTAAAACCAATTTCAAAAGAAATTTAAGAAGGATCTTAATTGGCATTTTGCAAAGAAAAAGAAAACAATTTTTTGTCCTCAGTGAAAAGAAGGAAGCAAAATTAAGGGTTAATAATTTTCAAAAAAAGAACGGAATTTAACTTGTAACCTTTTTTATCGAGTTTTCGTACTTTTCCCAAAATTATTTGATTTTCCCCCAATTTCTTTAGAAAAAAGCTTCAGTGACGGTCAAAATCAGTCAAGGATACCTGAGCAGCATGAAGGGGGCTCTGTTTGACTATCCAGTACATCCTGCTCACATTCCTTCCTCTCCTGTTCACCCTCCCTTCTGTCCTGTTCGCATTCTCTTCTCTCCGTCTCCATTAACACATTCTTCTCGTTGGACTCCAACCGTATTCTCTTCCCAAACTTATCCTCCCGCTCAAACTAGAAAAAATACTTCTTTTTTAAAAAGATTCTTAAATTCAAATCAAACCAGACTTCTTGCCTCTAGGACTGTCCTACTTCCATTCTGCAGTTTCAAGATTTAAAATTTAAAAGAAATTTTTTTCTGAATTCTATTAACAAATTGAAGAAGATATATTGGTGCAATATATCATAATGAACAAAAATCTTCAATCCAAAGAAAAAAAAACTACAAACACTTGATAGAAGATGCTTTTAACAATTTTTAAGTTCTTGATAAAAAATTTGCATTAAACATCCCGAAAAATGCAAAGGCACAGAATTTCTTCTGGAAACTTGGGGTTTAGGTATTCCAACCATCGTGCATCCAAGATTTTAAATGGATGAAATGAGTTTAAATTCTTTTTTTTCACGCGTGGAGATAAATCTTTTACCAAATGGTCTGAGATCCGTCGGTTAAAAATTTAAGTTATTTACCTGCTTAGATTCCTCGACCTCAATATTACAGCTTTTCACCCGCTTTACATTCATGTTCTTCTCTAAACTGTGGGACTCCCTGGCATTCAGGTTTTCAATGGTGGCGGATGGACGGGTGTTATCCATATACCCGTGCCTAGAGAACTTTTCACTGTCAAAGTTAATCTTGTTGTTGAGGGATGAACCTGAACCCTCTGTAATATTCATGTTCACGTTCAGGGTTTTATGCTCTTTCAGAAAATCCTCTATTCCGACATTCATCGGAGACACGGCGTTATTCCTGGACTCCTCGCCACAGTTCAGGGAGACACTGTTCTCACAAAACACGACCTGCTTCTTCTTCAGCTGATCGTTTGAGACCAGATTACTTGTCACTAGTCCCACGCTATCATCGTCTACAAGATCTAGATCAGACTCGGTGGTGTGACTGTCCAGGCTTGCAATACTGGCTCGGGACCCGCCGTTCCAGGTCGTCTTAATGCACTCTGGTATAGGAGCCATACGGATATTCGAGGGAAACTTATCCTCTAGAGAACTATGACTGGTGTAGGATTTAGGAGAAGCTGAACCTCGAGACTCCATCCCGTCTCCGTTCACGTTGGTCTCGAGGTTTGACACGCTCTCCAGGTCCTGGCAAGGATAGGCACGATCCAAGTCGGAAACGCTATCAACGTCTTTTAGGAGTTTTCCGCTGTCATTAAAGCTGAAAAGAGTATCCTTCCCGTCACAGGAAACTTCAGTTGAGTGAGGAGTGTGGAGTTCCATACTTGTGCACTCGGATAGTGGACCCTTGTGTTCAGGTTGAATATTTATCAATTGTTCATGAAGAGAATCAAGTAGGAGTGCTAGAAACTCCTGACAGTCGTGCTGTCTAAACCCCTTGAACTGAGAATGGTTTTCTGACAATGTATCCTTGAATTTATTTGGTTGTATCACACTGTATTTTCCACTGTATATTTGTCTGGTTAAAGCTGCGAAGGATTTAGAGAGAGCAATTCCAGTGTTATTCTTCCGGTCAACTTCCTTCATACTCAACTCAGAGGGGGAGAAGTTCAGGAAGAACTGGATGATACTGGGGGTAGCGAGGACACACTGGAGGCCACTGTTCATGAAACATGTGTTACCCAGGTTCCGAAGTCCACAAACTCCAGCCTCTGCATCCTCGCTCATCACATCACCGTTCCGGTTCTCAGAGTCATCAGCAAACAGACTTCCTGAATTCAATAAAACGCACTTTAATAAATGAAATCAGCATTTCTATATTTTTATCAAAACGAAGTATTCTGATAAAACGTGATAATCTTCTATATATATATATAAATATATATATATATAATTGTAAATTCGGGAGAACCACGTAAATGGTCTTGGCTTGATTTTGAGACTCATAGTTGAGTGGGTCAACTTTTAAAGCGAAAATTTAGTTTCCCGGTAAAATCGACCAAGTGCGGGTAAACGGCGGAATTAAAAATGAGTATCCTGGGCAACGTCGGGCACTTCAGCTAGTTATTAATAAAGGAAAAGATATTTCAAATTGTATTTCTAAAGACTGAATTTTCAACTCTACCTGTGATGGTATCATCGACTGTTAGAACCTCTAGATCTCCAATATCAGGGTTGGTGGGAGGACCGTACTCTAAAACAGGACCGTAGTCCTGGAGGACAGGTAGGTAGGAAGGACAGTCTGGTACAACGTATGAGTCTGGAGAGACGGGTAGATCAACATCTATAGGATCTATAGAGTCTACACTGGGAGGTCCGGATAAGTTGCACAGTGCGTCCCCCTGGTAATATAACTAAGGTAACAAATTTAGAACATTTTGTCTAACAAGATTATGACACTTAATATTTACCAAAAGTACCGTTTACTGTTAACTTCTTGTTAATTCATTCAGAATTTCGTTTCCTAACACTTTTATTGAATAAGCAAAGACAAGTTTATTTCGCTACAAAAATGAGAATTTTGTTTTATTTTGACTGCAAGGGGTGGAGCAGCGCGAGCATATATTACCTGAGTTTCCATACTGGAGGGATTTTCATAATCCCCAAGAGGATCCGGAGATGCACGGAGAGTATCCAGGTCATGAAGCTTAGCGGTCAGCGCCGCAGCAAACTCAGCACTAGTCCCGTCCTATACATTCGGTATGATTTTTAAAAATTCTTTTATCTTAAGGTCCAGTGTTCCTTGAACATGATCTTTTATGAAATCATCACAAAAGTGAAAGTTAGTACATCTGATGTTTCTGTAAAAATCGGGTTTTAATCAAGCTTTAAGAATCTGCAGAGAAGGGTTTATGAAAATACTTGATTTTATTTTTGTTAATTGTAAACACACTTTTTATTCATTGCGCCTCTCTTAAATCTCCCTTAGAGTTAAAAAATACATCATTTTTTTATATAGAATCCGAAGCCATTACAACTGGTAATTAAACAAACACGAAAGATTTATGATGGTTCACCAGGGATAAAAAAGAATAACAATTTGATTAAACCCTAGATTTCTCTTGATAAAACACTCCATTAAATTAATAATTGAGAGAGAAAAGTTAATATTTGAATGAAAATAAAATTGAAAATAATATGAAAAATCTGGTTTATACTGACAAAACAAGGAAAAACTTAAAAATTTGGAGAAAACTAAATATTTCTGGATATTTCTAGTTTTTTCTTCTCATTTCAGACATTTTTTTCTGAACTCTCACGTTATTTCTCCCCACTCCCCCCCCCCCTTCCCTGAGATTGGTTGGGAAAGGGGGGGAGTAATAATGAAGACTTTGTTGAACTGAGAAAAATCACATCACTTAAACAAATAATTATGAAATATTTAAACCTGTGTTGTGGAGTCAGGTTTAGTATCCTTCAGTTTGCTCTTAAAAAATAAGATTTAGTAGAAAAATTAAATATCAAAAGGGATGGTGGAGATATCCTATTTGATGAGGGGGGGGGGTCCCTGCCTTCATTTTTGGTTGAAATCGTCCAATTTTTTGGCTGCACGTCTAATTTGTGTTTGAATTTCCTAAATAAGACTAAAATTAGACAATAATGACTTCTCATGACCTCTAATGACCTAAATGACCTCTAATGATCTTGACAAATAAAAATGTTTCAACTATGGCTTTATATATATCAAACGAAAACTAGGAACCTCAGGAATACAGTTGCAGCAACGAATCCAGTGTTTTACCTTCTAATGACCTCTAACAACCTATAATAACCTCTAAAATGAAAATGTTTAAACTATGGCTTTATGCATATAATTATCAAAAGAAAGATAGGAACCCAAGGAATAAAGTAGAAGAAACGAATCCAGTGTTTGACCTTCTAATGACCTATAAGGACCTATAATGACCTCCAAATTGAAAATGTTTTAACTATAGCTTTATGCATATCAAAAGAAAGCTAGGAACCCAGGGAATTAAGTAGTATCAAGGAAAGTAGAAGCTGGGTGTTTAATGAATAGGGCAAACATAATCCTTGCAACTAATGTGTGTGTTTAATTTTTTTTATATTAAGTGCCTATAGTTCATTGTTACAAGGTCAATAAATATTCAATTTGGAGGTCATTTAAGGTCATTAATGATAATTAGAAGGTCAAACACTGAATTCGTTACTGCCATAGTATTGCCTGGGTTCCTAGCTTTCGTTTGATATGCATTTGTTTGAAGATTTAAACAAAAAATAAAGGCAGGGACCGCCCCCCCCCCTCATCAAAAAGGACATCTTCACCATCCCCTTTTCATTACTGTCTGTGTGCAACGAACGTCGAAACGGCTAAACCAATCAAGCCCAAAATTTAAGTGGGAACTCGCATGACCCAAGAGAAGATTTATGGTCAAAGCTGAAAATGTCGACATTTATTATTTTTGAAAATGCGCCTATTTAAAAATGGCGACTTTCAGAACAGCAGTTAAAATCTAAAATTGGTAGCTTTTAAAAGATTAAATATAACGATTTTAGATTTTATTGAAGAAATTGAAATGGGGGGAAAGGGGGGGTATTCAGAATAATCGAAAACTTACCTTACTCTCTTCTTCAAGTGAGTGTAAAGTTTGGGAGGTGGAGCTAACTACCCCCTCCCCCGGAGAACCAAACATTGTCTACAGTTACACCATACATTCAATTCAGTCAATAATAATAAATACTATAGAAGTAAAGATCTCNGAACAAGGAACAGGTAAAACCAGGTTTACTTAAAATCATAAAAATAGTTGGAATTAAATCTAGAAGTCATTAATTAATAATTCTAATAGATTTATTTGATGTTCGTCCAACTAGCATGACATAAAATAGAGAGAAAAATGTGACAGATCCCCAATTAGATGTCATTGATTGAACATGCTTAAATGGAAAAGTTAGATGTAAATGTGATGAATCTATTGATTTGCGCGGAACTACGATATTACTTTCGTCTGAATTGAATGCATAGCTGCCTTGCTATCGATCTATCTGAAAGTATACAGAATTTTGGACCAATAACAGAATAATAACGAGACAAACAAATTAACGAGACCATAATTTGAAAAACTAGAATAGCGATGTGGTTATTCAATTGATTCGGGCTTAAAGGGACTGCCCACGATCTTAAAACAGTACATGAACTAAGACATATTTTGCTTTGTTTAGGCCGATATTCTAAATAAAACCGTGAGCAATCCCTTTAATATGGCTGAATTGTGATCATAAGTAGTATAGTGTGATGTAAAAAGAAAGCAGTTTAATTAATGCCGGATATGAATAAATATTGTAATATTGCATTGTGCAGTTTATCAATCAATAATATAATATCGAAACTTGTGTACTGAGTACACAGACCGTTTAACAATATGTACAGGGCGGTAAAAAAACATGGGAATTAAGTGAAGATTAAAAGAAATTGTCATTATTTAATATTTGTGACATTAAAATCTGCACAGCTTCAGTAAGACACTTTCGGAACCCATTGAGCCGGAGAAAAAGCTACTCTAGAATTTTGAATCCTAGTGTGTTAATTTTAAAGTAGATTAAAGGTCGTAACTTAATCCTAATGTTTTTTTAATCCCTGTATTTCAACATAGTTGCCGAATAGAATACTGAATATCTAATATATCGAGTTTTTAAGAGAGGTGACTAGACTGTAAGTTATTAGAATCAAGGAGAGAGTTGCAAATATAAAGATAGAGTTGAGTAGAGCGTAGCGGAGCGGAATATGTTGGATGGGTTTAGGAGCTTCAGCTCCGGGATTGAACATGGTGTAAGGAAACTCTCCGGTCCGGTAGAACTCCTCTAGCATCTTCTCCTTGTCCTAAACCAAACTCTTCTCTTCATTTAACCAGATTTGTAAATAATTTGTTTATCATAATAATAATAGTAGCTGTCAACCTTTCATTATTAAAAATAAGACTTGGGCTCAAAATCATTTAATTCACAAGTAAGATAAATAAATTCTACATGGAAAACTAACTTTTCTAAAACTTAAAAGTTTAAATTAGAAATTATCAAGAGAAGGTTTCCTGATAAAGCTGAACCATCCACTTAAACATTTCGTCAGGATCCATCGGCAACTCTTCCACATCAAACACCCTAGATATAATATTCTTTTATCTCTGGATAGATTACACAATCCAAAGAATGTATAGACACAGAATTTCTTCTGGATACATTTAGGGCTCCATCTTTCAGTCCAAGCGTGTCTCAGACATAGTCTGTGATCTATCTGAAGAATGCTCCCATTATCCATCAATTACGAAAACCAATTTGCTGAAGTTTTAATACTATTTTTAATCTTAAGATTTATGAAATATCCACTATAATATTCCACTATACACCTACTTACTTAAATGCTGGAACAAATTGATAGAGTTTATACAATATACAGTATTTGAATATACAATATACAGACACGACGTAGAACTTCTATCTAAATTGTCAACCATTACTTTCATGAGTTTTCTACTCAAGTCTTATCTTCAACTCAAACTTATAAAACTTTTTAAAGATCTATAAATCCTGAGTTTGAGCGCAAATTCGACTATCAAAACTCCTACTTTGGAGTTGGATACGTTTTCAGAAATAGTTTTTTTTTTAAATTATTAAATAACGACAACGAAAAATAAAGTAAAAATTATAAAGTAATCTAATTAGATGGTTAGGAACATATTTCTCAAAAGAAATTTGTCAATAAATCAACGCTAAAATCCATTATTTCGTTTTCATTATTATATTGAATTTCTAATTTTCTTTGAATTTATTCGCAGATTTCTTCAAATTCTTCAAATGTCGTCTTTTCAATAATAATTCTAGAAAATCTGTGAAGATCTTTGTGAATAATGAGGAACCAGAATAATGAGAAAATAGAAACTAATAATTGAACAAGATTACTTATTTTCGATGATAAGATTAATTTTTATTTTCTCAACGTGTTCCTATACATGACGTCTGCAGTTTATTGTAGAACTTTTTTTACATTTTATGTCGTCGGTATTTAATAATTTTAAAAAACTAATTCTGAAAACGTATCCACCCCCAAAAATGGAGTTTTGAACGTCGAATTTGCGCTCAAACTCAGGATTTACAGATCTTTAATGAGTTTAATATGTCTCAAATGAATCTGCATACTGCATACTCAGTTCAACTACCTTACATAGCCGGTCACTCCCTTTAAAATAATTCTAAACGTTTAAGAAAAGCTAGTTGTGTGGACGCTTGATTTTACATCCAATGTGGGCAATTTTAAAATTGAGGATTTATGCTTAATCCTTCAATTAAAGTTACCCCTACAGAGATATCGATAATGCATAGATGTATAATAAGGAAAAATTAGAGAGAGATCGGGGTGATGATTTTATTAAATTGCTGATCTGTACAAACATAGTCCAGACATTCACGGGATAAAAAATATACAACATATACATTTACAACCGTTCTTGAATTCATTTTTAGACTTGACAAATATTTTATCACGACAAATATCAATGTTGAAAACTAAAGAATGTCAATATTTTAGGATTTATCTTTGAAAAATATGGTAGAGAGAAAAATCGAGGCAACAAAAAAAGATGGACGATTTATTTGTACAGTTCAAAAAGTTGTACGTTTACATTGTTTACCTGTAGTGTACATGAGAAGTACATGGTGGTCTCCAGCCGGTGATAATTGAAACAAGATCCAAAGGTTTTCCTTCAGGGTAGGCAATTGTGACATCAACAACCTGGAGGGAAAGTAATGAAAGTCGGTTAGTAGATCAATTGTTGACCAGAAATATCTCATTTCAAAACCAAATGCTAAAAGTACAATTAATGCTGAATCCTACAAATCCAAAATATGTAAATTTTGGTCAAGAATTTCTCCTCAAAAATTTGAAGAAAAAAAAAGAAACTGACCGAAGAAAAAAATATGTCAAAAATACTAACCTATTAAATCATTTTCATATTGATATGATATTTGTATCTACAAAACTTCCTGACCCAATTCATGAAACCGTGTTTCCGATACTGGGTTTTATTGCGATACTCTGTTTCAGGCCCAATGAGGTTCCTGTGAACAAACCCCCGTTTAATAAATCCAGTTGTACCTTTTTAATATGAGTGGAGGTAGGAGAGGTTCCTGATGGACCGAGTACATCCATAATAACCTTGAGTTAGAGTTTCCATAATTCCGGGGTGGAAAATTCTATTTTAGAAATTAAATTATCCGGAAATTTGTTTCGTTCAGTGGAATTCCTTCCGGGATAATACCAAATTAAACTGAAACCGGAATTTCTCCGAGTTTATACGTTACATAACCCGAAAAATTTTCCTGGTTCCGGAAAAACGATCGGTCCAAAACTGATTCGGAATTCCGTTCCATTAGTGTAATGGAAATAAGGAAAAAATCCGAATGATTTCCTACGTAAACCTTAACCCGGAATTCTGGTGGAAACTCTACCTTGAGTGCTCCAGTTCTAGGTACTGTCACGTGTTCAAACAGAGGTAGATCGTTCTTTTTTGCAAAACTCTGACTTACAGCCTGAAATTGGGGTTTTCAAGCGTATTATTATTATTGTCATTATTATTATCATTATATTCATTATTATTATTATTATTATTATTATTATTATTATTATTATTATTAGAAATTGTTCATATCTCGGGCAATATTGAAAGCACAAAAAATGCAGACCACATTTTGGAAATGGCAGGACTAGGGGAATTTTGTGATTATTATCTCTAGAAATTTACTTCTAAAATTAGGTTGACAAATAAAAGCAGCAAATTATATCAAAAATCAAGACGACATTCAAGGCCTCTTGCATACTGTCATGTTTCGTGGGACACCCTGTACTTCTTGGAACACTGCTATTCATTTTTTATTTGGTTTACCACGACAAACTATTAGATAGTTTTTTTAATAAATTTCTGAGCAAATTCGTTTAAAATTATGTTGTGTAGCCGATTTGTATCATTTTCGAATCTATCTGTAAATGTTCCAAGCTAAGCATCCGACTATTGTAAAAATGACCAAAGAACAAAATTTTCTAAGAATTTATCTAATATTGCAAATGAAACCTATGTAGATAAATTGTCATCGAACAAGGGGGAGGAGGTGGAAATGATTTTTTAAGAAAATATATACCCCTAAACGGGTAAAAACTTAACCTTTCTTTTCCTTAGGAATCCTCCTTCGGGGAATAGAACAAGGCAGTCACGTTGCTTGGTTTGGAATACACGGGTCAAGTGCTCCCTAGGTTACGATCAGTGTGTTAATCGGGAAAATATAATTTCAAATTATATGGATATTTCTCACGACTTTAAAACAAGAAAAACATTCTTAGATTTAGAACTTTTAAAAAGAACAAATCTTAAATTTCATCCCTAAAAATAAAAACATTTTAAATTTTTAACCTACGCTACGTTAATTCTTTAAAACTTTGGTTATGCAGATACGTTTCTCGTTTTCACATTTTCTTTTTTTTTCAAAATGAACAAAAAAATTTATCATTTTTAAATGTCTTTGCGAAAAGTTATCAGTGTTAACATTTGTCCCTGAGACTTGCCAATATGATGAATTTTAAGTAAATTTCAAGTATATTTTTGAAGAGGAATATTTAAAGAATATTGGATTGAAAGAAGTCAAGATATTTCCTAAAATAAAACTTCCTTCAAAATATACATTTTATTCAATCATATTTTTATCCATGCTAGAATTATGCATTTCTGAAAAGTTTAAATTTGTTTAAATGTTATTTTTTAAATCGACTAAACAATTAAACGTCCTTTTTACTAGATTGTAAGATAACAGAAAAATGGTTTTAAAACTGATTTCTTGGGTTAAAAAAAAACAATCAATGACCGTAACAGCAAGTTATTAGTTTTTAACTCTTAAGAAAGGANGGGGGGGTACAGTATTTGATTAAATGATTTATTTCTCAAATATCAACTGAAATTTTACCTGAGTTCAACTAAGGATCGATCTCTGGTTTGTTTGCCAGCTTGGATAAAAAAATCATCATGAATCCAGGAGCAAGCTCCGAAATTTGTGTATTTGAAAACCTAATATTTATATATTCTTCTCAAACAAATATACAACAACTTCAGAAGTTTGACCAAAAAGTAAAAATATAAATTTGTATTCCAGAATTCATTAAAAAATCGTTATTTTTTCACACACATCAAACCTGACATAATTCATAAAACATTATCTTAAACAGGGCGGGGATGGGGGGGGGGTAATTTTTCAATAAAAAAACATACCCCGGTATATTGGGGAAAAAAAGATTATGACCAATTAAGTTTGATAACTAATTAATTTTTAAGGTTTCTATGACTAAAGTGAAATGCATCAATCATCATGAATTATAAAGAAGTGAGAAAGAATATAGGTTTCCTTATCCATGAGCCACATGACCCTTCCCCCCATACCAAACCTCGGGGTGAACAAGGTCATCAGGAACGGAACATCTAACAACACCTTTATACTCAACAAACAATATGAAAGGGTAGAAATATCAATGTAGATCTTAATTTTCGAACTGTGTTTAAAAAGCCGCGTTCGGATATTTGAAAGTTTTAATTATTTATAACATTTTTGCATAATAATCATTAAATACATAACGGAAATGGTGTTAGAACTTTAGCCGCAATAAATGAATCCGAATTTATAAAAATAAATATGGTTTAAAAATCTAAAAACGAAATGAATCAATAAAAAATTTAGAAATATTTATAATTTAATCCCGGGAAAACCATAATTCTTTTTCACAAATTAAAGTATCACAGGGGAACTGTAAGTGTAATTTCAAGTGTCACTCCGTGAAAAGGTGGCAATGCCTCATTCACAACAGTACCCTTAAAACTTTGTCAGATCAAGCATAATTATAAATCAATGCTTATGATTTTGAAAAATATTTATTTTCAACTGTGGTTTCTCTACAAAAAAGCTTGAACATTTCTCCTGCAGGAAAACATCATAGAATTATCAGAATTAAAACACGTTTAATCTAGAAAACCGACAATATCTCACACATTATTGATCAGATAAAGATTTCAAGCAGTGCAAAGGATCCATATAATTTTAATGCGGATCCGGATACTGTATCCGCAATGGAAAAATATCGATCCGGATCCAAATCCGGACGGATCAGGTTTCCAGGTCATAAAATTCAATAATTTTCCATTTAATCTTCTTTTTTTCGCTTATTTCATTGCTTAAACTTGATGAATCATTCAGCGATAAGTTTTGATAATCTCTTTTTTAAGAATTTAGATTTGATTTTCAAGAGTGATCCAGGCAGCCCAAATGTTGCGGATCCAACGGATCCGGATCCTAAGCACTGACTTCAAGGGAAACAATGTGATTCGGGCATGCTCTCTTTCTTTGCATGGAAGTTTACTCCAAACAACGCGATTTGTCCAGAAGTAACTGCTAGGTGTATAAAGGTTTCCTGCAGTGGACTGATGGTTAGGCATGAAGAGAATTCGTTCCCTCAAACTAAAACATAAAAACATTCAAAATTTTCAATTTTTTATTTCTAAAACAAGTTTTTCATTTCATGAACACCTTGCAGTTCTAAAATCTCATTTATTAACGTTGAAAATTTTTAAATCTTGTTGATAATGAAAGTGTTAAATAAATCAAATTTTTGGTTTTTTCAACTCTCCAAAACTCAGAAGACCAAAAAACAATACCAGCAATAGTGATTTACCCATTTAAATTAAAAGGTTAAAATTTCCATTCCGTTGTAAGCATAATTAATCTCAACTCACTCCCCCACCCCCTCTCTCCCCCTTCCTTAAATTGTCATTTGCACCCAGGCCCCCTGTCTATATGGGCTTTAAATCTATATTCTATATTCCTCGACTCACCTCAAGTAATATACAGCGCCTAGTCTCCCACTCTCTCTACTTCTTCTCTAACCCCACCCTACCAAACCCAACACAACTCAAACCCTCTCCTACTCTCCCACCAACCTTTGATCTAATGAGTCTCCTGACTCTAGTATAGTGTATCCGGCACTCCAAATCCAGCAGGATACCATGGACAGCATCCAGGTAAACATTGTCTCCTCCAGCTTTAACAAGAACAAATCATATCAAAATAAAAATAAAATATAATATAGAAGTTTTGCTTTTCCAAAAAAACTTTACTTTATACATTTGAGCAATCATACTGGAAACATCTATATATAAATTTGGCTTGTCTGTCTGTCTGTTTGTCTGTCTGTTTGTATCCGATAAACGTCAAAACGGCTGAACCGGTCGGGCCCAAATTTTTTGTGGGACATCTAGGGACCCCAGGGAAGGTTTATGAAAAATCAAAATTTCAAATATTTGTCTCTATCAAAATTCGATTGTCATTAANTGTATTGAAATAAATGTAATAGACAAATGTATTCAAATATATAATGAATGTAAGAGACAAAATTTCTAGTCTATATATAAATTTGGCTTGTCTGTTTGTTTGTATCCAATAAACGTCAAAACGACTGAACCGATCGGACCCAAATTTTGTGTGGGACATCACGTGACCACATGGAAGGTTTATGAATGATAAAAATAAAAAATAAATGTGTTTTAAAGGTTTTTAATTTTGTAAAAAAAATTAAATTCTTAAAAATCCGCAATTTTTTTTTAAAAATCCGCAACATTTTTTTCTTCTTTGTTTTAAAATGTAAACAAAAAGAACATGTTCACAATTTAAATAGAAGACGGGCGACCTAAAAGCCTAGTATTATTATATTTCATTAGATTTTATTAAATGAATTTGTTAATTGTGAATAAAATCAAAATGCAATCAAATATACAATGATGTAAAACGTGTATACTTATAGATATCTAGATTTAATATACATGTCAACTAAGTACCTGGCTGAATATTTGAGAAATAATACTTTATTAATTCCCAATTTGTTTTTGAAAAGATACTTGATAACAGAACAATTCTTCTTAGTGTTGAAAAGAACCCAACTTTTCTTATCATATTACATTAAAAAAAACGTTTAATGTCAAATTCAAAATTGAGAAATATTTCATTGAATACTTTTTCTCTGATATGACAAAAATGTAAAATTTTGTATTATTTGTTCGCATCTTTAGTTGGTTTGTTCACTAAATTTAAGAAATTATTATGATATAGAGAATAAATTCAACGTACAACATTGTTTCAATGATCAATCAATGTGTATGAATAAACATTTTACTTAACTCACCAAGTAGTAAAGTTGAGGAAGAAAGTAGACTAAAGGAGAGAAGAGAGTGAGTATAATAATATGGGCTGGAATTACATAAAGGTTGTTGAGCACTACCCAAACCGTCCTAAAACATTTAAACACATAGTTAAGTGGTCGCAAGAATATATTTGGAAGTAGAAGACGACCTTAAGGATCCAATTTAGATAATTTGAGGGATGTCTTAAAACAGATAAAAACTGGAGTAAATATTTTCACTGGGGCCTGGAAATATTATTTACTTTTTAAAAATGAATTCTGACCATCTAGTTAATATTTGTTCATCTAACTGGTTTTGCGTTAACTGTTTCGAGTATACCCACTAAAAGAAAGTTAAGTCTTTCTTTTATACTGTAATAAAGATAATAATAATAATATATCATCCATGGTGCAACAAAAATTAATGAAGGGTTGATATTTTATTTCAAGTTTGTTTAAATATGAGTAACCCCCCCCCCCCCACCCTGAATTTACTAATGGGCTATAATAGGGATGGGGGAAATTATTCTTAATGATGTGGGAGGGGGGGGGGAATAACAAATTTTACATCAAAATGCAAGTTATACTTTCTTTTTGATACTTCTCTTAACCTATTTTCTGGGTTGAATGATCTTCTAAAGGGAAGTATTGAAGAAAATATACATCCCTGGAGTAAGTCCTGCAAGAAACATACCTGCCGAAGTAGGTGGCCCAACGAACCAATATCTCTTTGGTTCGAGTTTCCATTTTACTTCTATTTGTTCGATCAAGCTATACTAAGCAAAGCTTAAGCATACTGAAAAAAAATCATTTTCAGTAAATATAAAAATAGCATTTGCAACTTCAAAAAAAACTGAGATAAAAATGATAATCTGTACATTCTAAACCTTGTGACAAAAATTCTAAAAACAAACACTATATTTCACTGGGAGAAAGTAAACATTTTTTCCACATTTAATCCAAAAATAAACACTATCAATTTTAAAATATCTATAAATCCCCCTCCCCCCTCCGATCAATTTTGTACATGGTATATCTTATGTAACACATTGATACATCTTATCATGCGTCCGGCCCCCTAGCCTGTCCTAGTCGCGGCTCTCAGCCCCCTAACCTGTCCTAGCCGCAGCGCTCGGCCCAGACATTGTCTTAACCTAACAAAACCCTAAAATAATTTTTATAGAAATAATAATATCGCTCTGTCCTAGTAAACGACCAAAAATCGTATACTAGGACAGACCCGAGGGCGGGGGCCCAAAAATCATTTTCTAGGACGGACCCAAGTAATGCATTTGAACTACAGTATAGTAGAATTATCTATTTTAATTTCTATAACCGGTTCATTGACATTCCCCGCCTCGATATTACCTCCAAGATGCTATAGATTTAAATTACATTTTATCAGAAAAAATGAAAAAAGCAAAAGCAAAAATCTAATTAATTTTATCCACAAATTGAACCATTTTAATGCATTTAACACTTGGTTTAAGCGTCTCAATTTACAGTCTTAAAATACACAAAGTTTTACGAGAACTATTTACGGCAACCAGCCCGTGCTCTGCGCAGAGCGTAAATTTCTGTAGGATTCAATATAAACTATCTAACATTCAACCGACTGTCCAACTCGTCCAACTGAAGAAGAAAACTCCCAAGATTAATATTAACTTAGTTCTGAGCATCACATGTCATATCAGATAGCTCCAAACTTTAACGTCAAAATAAACAAATAATGTTCGAAAAACCTAATATTTTCTACAAGAAATGTTGATTTTTCATTCTTCTTAAATTTTCTAATTAGTCCCGAAAATCTTAATTTAGACTCGATGACGATCTAAAATCTGATGTGGAACACCCTGTATATTTTATATGTGTGTATTAAAATTAGGCTAGTATTTTTCATATTTTTAAATTAGGCTACAACGCAAAAAAAATGCCAATTACACTATGGTTTTTATCACCTTCGTATCTTTCCTTAACCGCAAAATTTCAGATTCTAAAACTAAGTAATCTTCCTATCCAGACTATCAGGTTTCATACGCATTAGAATAAAAAGAAAAAACTGACCCCCCACCCCGTGGAATTGGTCCCCAGATAGAAGGGAATGTTCAGATAACTCTTCATTCTACATTTATGATATTATTTAAATTGTATTTATATTTTCATACAAAATTTTCATAAAAACATTAGTAGTAACTTTTACTTCCCAATTATTAGGCACTGCTTTATCTACGATGATAAATATTTTAACTGACAATTTTTCCCACTTTAATTTTGAAATGCATTTGATAATATATATATATATATATACAATATATACTTTCTCACAAGTTTTTATTCATCTACATCCGATATATCAGAATGATCGACCCATTCATCTTCAGAAGTATTTTCGGAATCTCTATTTCCAACAGCATTCTCTATCTCTTGATTTAATCCTTCCCACTCCTAAAAAATAAAAATAAATAAATTAATAAAAATAAAAATTATTTCTTCGGTACTCCTAATGCGTGTCTAATATTTTTCACCATCATTCACAGTTCTAAATTTGTTTAAGGTCAAGTGTTCTCGTGTCCAATGTTGTCTAATGAAAATGTCTGTTTACCTCTTTATCAATATGAACCTCTAGATACTGTTGCTCTGCTTCATGCCTACTCATTCCCATTGTCTAAAAATATCACAGATCACGAAGCTGTCAACGTAATTTTAAGCGACTTTCCATTTTTAGAGCTACATTTCCGATTCACAACGGTATCCTTTAAACCTCTCAATTCAAGATTATCTTAAAGAGCCCAGCAGATATAATGATAATTTGTTATTGCTGTTTCTCAAATCAAATCCGAGTTTTAGAGACGTCCTACACCCACACACCTAAATTGAAGTGAATCTACTGAAGCAATAAGTGACCGACGGCTTTATGAGATAGAGATAAGAATAGAAATTAAAGAGGCATTTTTAAGATAAAAACTATGATATCTCCCTCATCGTTACTCGGATAACCAATTGAATGGAGCTCTGGCTCACTTTAAATTATGTTGAAAATTCTTTTTTGATAAGCGTTAGAAGCTACAGAATTAGCAGTAGCACGTCTGTCTTGTTTAAGATGTGCATTATTATTTTCTGAAAACCATACCTTGCGAAAAATACTGATTCATTTGTTTATAAATCTCTAAAAATCAAAATGATTTGTTAAACTGGAGATCATTTTTGAGTCTTTATGAAGAGTTTTCCCCTTACAACTTTATTCAGATTCCCCCTGTAAAGTAGTTACTAACCTCGTATTTATGAATAAATGTTTCCGGGAAAAGTACAAGACTGGAATACGCAAACCCAACCTCAGGTCCCAAATTCTTCAAGTTCGGATCAGAACTCTCAAACGTTGGCTGGAGTAAAGAGAAGATTACATTTCAAGATACAGATTTGGCTGGAGTACTCTTCTTTGCAATTTGACGTAAAGGAATTGAGTCTTTGCTACAAATCCCAATTTTCGAATACCTATATCTCTAAAACCAGATGGCTTAAACCTTTGATATTTCAAACTTTGATTATTTGATCCATGAGAATTCATAGTTTGAAATATCTAGGGTCTACAATATTGCGTTCAAGACATAAAGGGATTTAAAAAATCAGAGTTTATGGCAATGACTCAATTCCTTTACCATATTTTAACAATAATAGGATACGAGCGAAATATGTAGGTGTATTTGCATGGAATTCAAAAGACACCAAACTTTTTAAGTTGTCAAACAATTTGTTTTCTTATGAGCTAAAATCTTGCTCATTTATTAAAACCTTAAATTCTTAGACCAATGAAAACATTTATTCTTACACCAATAAAAACTAATATCTAATCTGTTTCTATATATCTATCAATCTTTAAAAGAAAATAAATTGATGTATCTTTTCAAGTTCAAGCAATGTTTGAAAGGTAAGTGAAAGATCATAAGTAGTGAAAATAAAAGAAATTTTATTTGCTTTCATCGAAATTTGAGAAGAAGAAAATCTAATTTCACAAGCTTGATTCTTAGACTTTGCAGCTCTTCTAATATGAAATTACTATATCATAAGTCTTCAAACAAACAAACAAACAAACAAACAAACAATCAACCACCAGCCCATAGAAGTCAAGGCTACGTTCAAATCAAAAATAAAATTAAATCATGATGTTAGTGAGTCCTGCTATCCACCCCCAGACTTGAAATGAACATACTAGTTCAAGAATGAAGTGAGGTCTCATAGCTTGTACCATATTAAAAGTAAAAATTAAAAATGTTGTTTTTAAAATATCGATTCTCATTTTAACGCTACATAAAATCAAAAATCTATTATTAACCTTGAATAGGGATATGCTTTCAGTTTGGTCGTTTTTTGCCTATACTTTTTTTGTATAAAGAAGACATTTCATTTTAACGCTACATATAATAAAAATCTATTATTAACCTTGAATAGGGATATGCTTTCAGTTGGGTCGTTTTTTGCCTATACTTTTTTGTATAAAGAAGACATTTCAAAAAATGCTTCAATTCAGAATTTCTTCTGGAAAATTTGGCATAAAGTAATTGTAAGAGTAGCAAATGTTTTCTTATTTTTTTATTCTAAACATTTGCCGTTCTTAAGTATGTCAAAATTTGATCCTGGCAGAAGATTTATGCAAACACAAACCAAAAACTTTTGATAGTTTTTCCCATTACCATATTTTTAGAAAAAAGAGGTGCCAAAGTTTAATAAAAGCAAACTTTAAAATAGTACAATTTTGAACTCTTGGAAATTTTATTAAATTTTTTTCTAAAAAAGATTAACAACACTTACCTTGAAGACATTTTGCGTGATAAGGTTGATGATGTTCGAGTCCTGCTCGAAGTTCCCTCCGAGGAAGGACGGGTTGGAGAGTCGGTGGAGTGTACTCATCTTCATTCCGTTACACTGCTCACGCTCTTTTCGAACCAGGAACAGATCATGACGCCGAGATTTAAAAGTTGTTTTCATTATGCCTTTCATCCGAGATAAAGCACTCCTGTCCCTAGTAAATAAAATGTTTTTAAACAAACAGTCTATACGGAAAAACATTTTAAAGTTTACTTACTTAATCCACTGTTCCGCTATTGTAGAAATTTCTTCATTTAATTTACTTCTAACAGAGGTTAAACGTATTGTGTTATTACTTCTAGGAACCTAAAGAACAGAAGAATAAAATTTTTGTTCTTAAGTAAATTAGGAATACTTTACAAGAACTGTAATCGTTCAATCAATCAGAATGTTAGGGATGTCCTACGATCCACATATCAATCAGAATGTTAGGGATGTCCTACGATCCACATATCAATCAGAATGTTAGGGATGTCCTACGATCCACATATCAATCTTGAAATGAATTTACTAAATCAAGAATGAGATATGGTAATTTAAGTAACTCTTCTATCTCCATGCAAAGATGGCAATGCCCGATTTACAACGGTACACTTAAAAGCTTTGTCTGATCAAATATGAACTAGATATCCATGTTTTTGTTTATTTAAACTGTTTTTAATTTTTGGGATTCTAAGCAAAGAAACAATGGAGAAATTCACAGAATAAAAACACTTTTTAAATCAGAAAAACGACGTAGAGTAGACGTAATTTCATGTGACCGGCCCTCCATTCATCCTTGATCAGACAATGGTTTAAAGGGTACCATTGTGAATCGTACATGACAATTTCAAGCGCTAGCCTCTTGAAGAATAAAAAAGTTTATTTACCTTAATCACAGAGAAATGGTTGTGTTCCGCCTTCGAATGTTTAGTGAGCTCTGGATCTGATGTAAATCTTTTATCGCAGTTGGGATGAGAGCAGGTAAAGTTGTGTTCTAAAGATTCATGGTTTACCGCCTGTGTTCCACACAAAGAACATAATGTTTCCTCAACATCTGGATATGCAAATACTCTGTGCGCTTCAAGGATATGCGCTTCTGTTAGTTCCTGGGTTATAAACGATAGCGTGCACTGGTAGCACTTGAAAGCGTGCTTCATCTCCTTGTGCTTGAGAAACTCAACGGTGTTAGTGTACACAGATCTGCAGAGAAGGCAGAAGTTGGCACAACCATCTCCTCGTTTACTCTGCTCTTTCTCACACATCTTAAGATGCTGAACTATCTGAGAGTTTTCAACCCTTTTTTTACAACAGTGACATTCTGTCATAGTTCTTTCATTCTTCTCCAAGGGATGATTAACAATAGAACCAGACGACTTGGTCTCTTCATTTGTAGGTGTAAAGGTTCTGGAGTTCTGAAAGTGTGAGTTTGCATGTTGGGATAGACTGTCTGCGTCAGAAAACACCTGATTACATTCATAGCACTTGTGCTCAGAACTGTCCAAGATTGATATCTCCGAAAGATTTGACTGTTCCAAGAAACTTATGTCATAGGTATCATCCTCAAGACTGGTCTCACGCTTGTTAAACAGTTTTTTAAATTTCTCCTGAGCAGGTTCCTCAGCTGGATTGGGAGCTGTAGCTCCATGTTTTTGATGTAAATGAACCCTTAACATGTATTCTCCAGTAAAAGATTTCCCGCAATCTTCTTCTAGACAGGGAAAGGCGTGTAGCGCATTAATATGAGCGGCAAACTCTTCAAAATCAATCAGATTGGTTTCACATAACTCACATGTTTCCAGACCAAAGTCACCTTGATCAGCATTTTCCGGAGTTTTTACTTTTCTCGTGGACACTTTGGGAATTGTAAATTTTTTGTTGAATGTTTTCTTTTTAGGACTATCACACATATTGTCTAAAGGTTGGGCTATCTTTATGGATAGAGATGATGACTCCTTAGATTTCTTAGTGTCCTGGCCAGAATGTTTGTTAGGTTTTGCAGTTTTAGAAGCTCTAATAGGTTTAACAGGTTTAGGTTTAGATTTAGTAGTATTTCCATCAACAAATGCATGACTGTCTCTCATATGTTTAGTATAAGGTCCTTTCCGGTTAAAATTGATCTGACAATATTTGCAACTAAAAAATTCATTTTGCAGAGAATTTTCCTCTTGGTGATCTCTAGCTACATGATCTTCCAAACCGTGCTCGTATGTGAATTTGAGGTAACAAAACTTGCATTGCTTTGTGTGATCCTGCTTCACATGAACATTATACTCGTCTGGTTTCATTTTAAGATTGCAAAGAGGACAAGCTAAATGTTTCTTTCTCCCACGTTTCTTCTTTTCTTCAATAGGAGACGTCCTAGGTTTCAAGGGTGATTTAGCCATCTCCGCTTTCCGTTCCTCTTCATCACTACTCCCGAGAAGATCATCCACATCAGAGAGATAGTCATCATTATCATCCTTGAGTCTTACAGGGTTGGATATGAAGGAGGATATGTTCTCAATATTCTCTTCAACAACATCCACTTCTCCAGGTGAATCTCCGGGAGAATATTTTCCAAGTTCATCATCATCATCACTCCAGTCATCTTAATACAAATCTTTTAATTTAGAAATCTATGCATAAATTTGGCTTGTCTGTCTGTCCGTTTGTATCCAATAAACGTCAAAACGGCTGAACCAATCAGGCACAAATTTTGTGTGGGACCTCACGTGACCCCAGGGAAGGTTTATGAATGATCAAAATTTGAAAAATGTGTGTTCAAAAGTTTTTTATTTTTGTTTACAAATTTTTCAAATCTTGAAAATCCGCGAATTTGTTCATAAAATCCGCGAAATTATTTTCTTCTTTGTTGTTCAATGTTTACAATGAAAACACGTTCACAATTGAAATAGAAGATGGGCGCGAAGCGCCCAGCGCCCTAAAAGCCTAGTATATATAAAAAGAAGGTAGAGGTAGGAGAGGGAAAAATGGAATAAAGGAATGAAATTTAAAAAAGAAATGAGAGGTAAAAAAAATTCGGGCAATAAATATTCAAAGACGACATTGGTATGCAATGTAATCCAAGAAACTAAATAAGAAAGGTTCAGTTAATGAATTAAGGTTTCTAATTTTAAGATTACCAAGTTTGGGTAACTACAGTATAGATGATTTAGAAATCAATAAAATCTTACCAACTGTCACTGTTTCTGGCTGATCATGGTCATAGTTAAGGCTTGTGCTCTCTGACCCAATCCCAGATTCTGAACTACTTATTGGTCTGTTGGGTGTTGTTTCCTTCACCATCCTCTCTATGGCCTCCATAGTTTCTCCAACATCTCCAGTAGTATCCTCAGTAGATTGTTTCATTGCATCCTCATGGATTTTAACATGGTTTTCCAAAAATTGAAATTTGGCTGCTAAATCTTCGTCCACATCAATTTCTGTAGAAGGCACAGGGATAGGAACTCGAAGAATGGAGTATGAGTTGGAAACGATCACAGATGTAGGCTTAGATTTGGTTGGTTTAATGGTGGTTTGAGCAGAGGAGGTAGAAAGATTGGTTTGAGAAGTTGAATTAGTAGTGGAGGTGGGAAAAGTGTGGGAAATAGAGGTTGTGTAGGAGAATGGAGTGGAAGTAGAAACTGAAGATTTTTCACAATTATTAATTAAATTTAAAGGTTTGGGGGCAGCATTTAGTTTTGAAGTGAGAGAAGGATCTGAGTTTAAACTAGAACTGGAAGGTTTGGGAGTTAAAGAGATTAACCTTGTCGCTTGAGTTTTCATGATACCTTCTACAGAAACATTACTTGTCTTCGGTAAACAACTTTTACTTCTATATGAGCTCCTGGATGGTTTAGGAGGGACTGCTGGAACTAAGTGAGAGCCCTGGGGAACAAGAGGTGTATGGTACAAATGAAAGTCATTAAGATGATTTGGAGGTCTTCGTTCTCTTAAGTTTCTAATTTTAAGATCAATTGGTTGGATTCTTAGTTCATTTGAGTTTAAACTGGGGAATTTATTAGGGATATCTTGAGTTGACAATTTCTCTTGAACTGAGTCAGGTTTTAGTTCCTGCTTTTCCTGTTGAGGTGTTGCTTTAAACTCCAAATGAATCTCTTTCTTCTCATCTTTGCTACACTTCCTCCTCCTTATAACAGCACTAGTTGCTGGTAATTGGTTAGAAGAAGCAGGTTTATTAACTTTGATAGATTGATATTCACTCCCTCCAGAGTGAGTGTAGAGATTTGAGTGAACTGAATAGTTAAAGGAAGCCTCAAATCTTGCCTGATCAACATTTGCCTGCGAATTTAAACGCATTTCAGAAACAATATTGCCTGATACTGGTTGTCTACTAGGATACCTATGGTTGGAAGTTTCTCTGCAATCAATGTAAGATCTTGAACTTCTGGAAGAATTATCCATTCTTTCAGAATATTGGTTGACTTTCCGTCCTTGGGTTCCAGTTCTCATGTTGGACAAAACTGGCTGGAAACCAACTTTTTGAAACCACTTGTCTTCACCTTTACTGTTATACTCTGAGTAGAAGAGTCCCAATTGTCCCTGTGGTTGTGGGTTTCGAGAAAGAAATTGATCCTGTTCAGCCAAGTAGTTAGGTTCAAAAAGGTTAGCGTCGTTGATGTTAAAGTCGCATACTTCATTAGAAAGGTCTGTATCAAGAATTACAGCACCTCTTCCCACATGTTCCTTTTTATCAAGCAAAGCACTCAGTCCAGTGCTAACATTTTCTTGGAATAGAATTTTCCGGGTCTCAGTATTCACTGTCTCCAGGGTAACATTTTCAACATTATCAGCACTTGCATGATCTGTTTGAGGAATAGGAATGGTGGAGTTCTTCTTCATGGCAAACTTGATTCGGACTCCGTCACTCTTAATCTTTACCCCCGACATGTCTTGTATTAAATCAGGATTGGACTGATTCAAAGAACTGTTTTGCTCTTGAGCTAATTTAATTTGATTAACATTGTATTCAATATTGTCAACTGATACTTTTAATTGTTCGGCTGGTGTGGTTTCCTCCTTTGAAGGAACATTCTGCTCCAAGAGCAGAGCAGATTTGTTCAAAGAAAACCTAGCTTGATTCTCCAGCCTTGAATCTAATATTTTCAACCTTCCACCAGATTTGCTGGGTCGACCAACTCTTTTAACAGGTTTTTGAACAGAAGCAACAATGTCTGTAATTACTTTATCATCCGTCTTAATTTGTTCAACTACAGGAGTTGCAACAGGATGAAGACAAGAAACAGATTGATCTTCTGAGGATTTTGTTTGCTTTGTTGAAGCACAGGCAGAATCATATGAATTGGAATCAGAGCTGTTTTTTTCAACAACAGTTTTGGTTTGATCAATATCGCTTTCTGATAGTTTTTCAACAGATACAGCTGGATTTGTCTCGATTTCAGTTGTTTGCAATTCAGTTTCAACAGATTTACTTCGTTCTAAAACTGATTTGGATTGTTCTTCTTCAGGATGAATTACTTGCTCTGTCTGAAAAGCACCTGGGCTCCTGTCTTGAAGGAAGTGTTGATTTTGTACTAATGATTCATTTTGATCCTGGGACAAGCAAACTTTTTCTAATTCTTTAGAAACAACTTGAGGCACAGATACATTTTGTTCCAAGGCATCGGGTTGTATTAAGCTTGGCTTTGGTTTGATGGACTGTTCTAGGGTTTGACTCTCATCAGATTCTTGGCTGATCTCTGATCCTGAACATGATAATTCTAACCCTTGATTTTGTATCAGGATTAGTTCATCATGGTTCTCAAATGAATTTTGTTCAACACTGCAGTTAACATTTATTTCAGCACTTTCTTGTTCTTTGAACAGCAAGATCTTTTGAGCAATGTTTTTCTCGTATATTGATGAAGATGATAAACGATTTTTTCTATTTTTGGCTTGAAGAATCTTTGCACCTTTAACCTCTCTCCACGAACCTGTTTTATTCTCTTGCACTTGTTTCACAGAGCGTTTTAGGAGACCTCGTCCTGAACTTAATTCAGACTCATTAATGATTGAATTAGGACTAGATTTAGCTTCAGGTAGATCAGGAATTGTTTCACTTGAAGCCAAGGGCTGACCTAGATCTATGTTCTCCGGGTCTTGAGAACTGTGATAAGAAGAGACCGAACTATCTAAAGAAGGTTGGGAGATATCTTCCTCTGACTCTGAATCTATTGAGTATGGAACTAAACTCATCCTTGTCTCTGGCTTCTTGTTAGATCCAGCACCAAGTTTTATATCGAACGATCCGGAGTCAAAACTTTTCTAAAATATAAAAATTTATGTGCTTTTTTAAGCTAGGAAGAATACAAAACCCATAACCCTTTATATCTAATATCAAAAATATTAGGGAAACCCTTTAAGTCCATCCGTTAGGAGAACCCAGACAGGCAATGTAAAAGCTACATTTAAAAACTACGATCCCTAAAAATGCTTTATTTTCAGGTATGGCTAAGCATAATTTTCTTTGATATACAACAAAATAAGTTTATTAGCTATTTGTGTAATTTTTTAAGTTTTCGTGATTATACCCAAAGGTCCTACCCCTCTACCAAAAACAAAAAATATATTTTTAAAATCTCAACTCCTAGGTTTAAACAACATTTTAAGCGCAAAAATTTAAATCATGTTCATCCCACCTAATTTGTTTTTAATGCCCCCCCCCCTCTCTGTTCTGTTCTAATTATGATTCTTTTTGTATTTTACCTGAACATCATTCTCTGGTAAACAACTCGCATGAGAAGTTTGACCATCTGCATTATTAACCTCTTGAACAGTCTCTCTTCTTGAGCTGCCATCTCCAGATATGGCTTTAGATACAACTCCAGGTTTAAATTGACCAGGAACTAGATCCCCATCGTCTTTAGGAGATACAGCAACATATTCTTTAAAAACGTTGGTGTTGGTATCTTCAGGCTTATTTTTATCATCACAAATATTTAGTTGGGAGTTTTCTTCCATCTCAATTGATCCTGCTTCTGCGGAAAGATTTGAAAAATCTTTAGTCTCTAAACCATATAGTTCAGAATCTTCAGAGGCTTCTGTCAGATGCGTTTCTCTAACCTTATGTTCATTGGACTTTAAACTTTCTTTAGTCTTGAATGCAGAAGCAGGAGTAATTTTTCTTGTCTCCTGCTCAGCAGAAGGAGAGCTTTCTCTAAGCTCATGTTTTACAGACGAAGAACTTACTCTCAGCTCCTGTTCAGCAGATGGGGTTCTTCCTCTTGGCTCCTGTTCAGCAGACGGGGAACTTTCCCTTGGCTTCTGATCAACAGTCGAAGAACTTTCTATTTGCTCCCGTTCAGCAAATAGAGAACTTTCTCTTGGCTCCTGTTTAGCAAAAGGAGAACTTTCCCTTGGCTTCTGCTCAACAGACGGGGAACTTTCTCTAGTCTCCTGTTCAGCAATTGGAGTATTTTCTTTTGGCTTCTGATCAACAGACGAAGAAATTTCTCTTGTCTCCTGTTCAGCAAATTGAGAACTTTCTCTTGGCTTCTGCTCCACAGACAGAAGGCTTTCTCTTGTCTCCTGTTCAGCAGACGGAGAAATTTCTCTTGGCTCTTGTTCCGCTGACGGAGAACTTTCTCTTGTCTCCTGTTCAACAGATGGAGAAATTTCTCCTGGCTCCTGTTCGGCAGATATACTAATTTCTATTAGGTCATGTATAGGAGAAGGTGAACATTCTCTAACCCTCTGCTCGGAAGACCGAGGCCTTACTTTAAGCTCCAGCTCAGTAGATTCAGAATTTTCTCTGGGTTTCTGCTGAGTAAGCTGAGTAGATGGAAACGGACTTTCTCTCAACTCTGTTTGTGCAGGCATAAAAATTTCTGAAGTTTCAGGTTCTTCAGAAAGAGAACTAACTTTTGTCTTATATTCTATCGACTCCAAGGATGAAAACCTTGCTCCTGTCTGGGGTTCAGAGACACTGGGGCTTTCTTTGGTGGTTCGGTTGTCAAAATTTCTTTTCTCTGGATTAGAAATAGAAATAGCATTATTACAGGTATCTTTAATAACTCTATCCGAAGGTAAAGAATTCAACCCCGTTTCCGTGGTTATCACAGTATTTAGGAAAGACAGAGTTGGTTCCGAAGACTTGGTGGAACGTGTCTCCTTTCTACTCTTTTTCTTGTTCTTCGACTTCAAATCACTGAGTGGTTCCGTGGTTTTCTGAGTCTCTCCTAAATCTGAATCAGTCGCATTTTTGCTGGTTAAAGTAGGTTCAAGGTTTGAAGTCTCTAACTCGGTGGGTTGAACTGAAGTTACTTCAGATGACTTGGTTGTGTTTGCCCCTTTCAAATTCTTCTTAATGGATTTCTTTTCTTTTTTGGCCTTCAACCTCTGAATTAAAAAAAATATCGAAAATAACAAAGAAACGTTATTCGGGCTTTGAGGTAGAATAAAATCTTAAGATTAATAAAAAGATGGCAAATTATAATTCTAGCACGTGCAACAATAGGACATTTTATTAAATTTTATTTTTTTGCGTGAGTAATGCTAATTCTTTTTAAACTGAAATGATGAAGATTTACCTGTTCAGTTTTAGAAGGTTTTACTTTTCTCTTGCTTCCTGTTTCCAATATTCTCTCCTGGATTGGGCTAGGATCTACCGTCTCAACAGGTTTCTTTACACCAAGAGGAATAACAACTAATTTAGCAGAGTTTTGTTTTTTTATGTGGGTATTAACTGTATGTTTGAACAATTGATTGGGATTTGAAAACTTAAAGCAGCATTGAGTGCACTGATATGTATGTTGACCTTTTTTATGAGAAGCGAAAGATTTAATATCGATCCATTCCTCACATTCTGGACATTGTTTAACTTGAGAGCACTTGACCTGAGGATGCTGAGTTTTCACGTGAATATTCCTCTGTAAAGTCGTCACAAACGTTCTTTCACATTCAACAACAATGCAAGAATATTTATGATCAAGCTCAGTGTGATTCATAAATGTAGAATTTTTTGAAAAATATTGCAAACACTTATCACATTCATAAAACTGCTGAGAGGCCCCTGCATTCAGCACAAGTCCACTTCGCTTACGCTGTTTTTTGGTTTCTCCTGGTATGACAGTAGGGGAGGACTCCTGCTCCGCAGCTGCATATGGAGTCAATACATCCTGTTCTATATTATCACTAGAAAGTTTGGACTTCTTTTTCCGTTCTGGTGATTTCTTTCCAGAAGTTTTCTTTATCTTGAGGTTTGCGGGGGTAACAGGAGCAAAGTTCTCGTCAGTTTGACCCTGAAAATGTGGTTGCACAGGAAGCTGGTTCGGTGAAACTGATATATTTTCAGGTTTATTGACAACAGGAACGGGTTGTTTATGTTTGTAAAGTGTCTCTGGGTCAACTTTTTCGATAACATATCCATAATTTCCTAACTTTCCGAATAAGTGAAAATCGATGTTATGAATATTCAACAACCGTTTTTCATCGAACCTAAAAAAGATATTTAAAAAAGGAGTAAATTTGGATCTACGTCTGAAATGAAGTAATGTGTTGGATTATAAAGATAACTTACGCATAATCACACCCAAGATGGTTGCACTTGAACTCATGAGGAGTTCCCATATGACGTTTAAACCCAGCCGAATGAAACTTTTTCCTGCATATCACACACTCCTCTTCCGTACTAGGATTAAAGCTTATCTCAAAACTCTTTCCCGATGATTTTCTCCGTCGTTTAATTTTCTCCGGTCCTGATCCAGAAGATACAGATCGCTTGCGTTTGCTCTGTTCTTCTGGATCGTTCAGGTTTCTCTTCTTCCCCATCTTGATTTTTATATTGTTAGTCTGATCTTTCTCGATTTTACACTCGACCTTCTCTGGTGTTTTAACTTCATAAACCCTAAATAAAAATTGATTAAAATTTCGAACTATTTCAATATATATTAATTTCAAAACAACTGTGTTTACCAAATTAATTATAGTTTATCCAATGACAATTTCTGGACCGAGCGCTACGGCCGGGACAGGTTAGGCGGCCGAGCGGTGCGGCCTTCGATTTCAATTATTATCATCAAAATTAGTAATTATTGTGAATTATTTCAGGGTTAGGTTAGGATAAATTCTGGGCTGAGCGCGCGGCTAGGACAGACTAGGGGGCCGAGCGCCACGGCTAGGACAGGTTTGAGAGCCGAGCAATGCGGCCATGAGTTATTATTTATAATAACTCATAAATAAATTTCATGTACATTTTTTAAATGAAGGGGCTTGAAATCGTTCTCGAGGATATGAGAAGCTTTGTTTAAACACGTATAACACAGCTCTGGAACTAGGTTTATTGTACACAAATAAAAATAATTTTTTACATAAATAATGTGGAACTAACACCTTTTTAATTACTTTGTGAGGTTTAGAGCATCTTTAACACAGAACTTTTGTTTATCTAGTACTTCTGTTCAAAAAACCCAATTTTTTTTTTTATTTTTACAAAAAAATTATATTCTTCTTTTTTTACAGTAGATGCAGAGGCGTTTTTATTAGTCTCATTCAAAAAAGAGAAACCTCTCGTGAAAACTCCTCATATTCTGGAATAGTATAAATACGGAAGGTTAACCTTCATTACAAGGAGGGGAAGGGAGGGGGGG